GGGGAGGGGGGGGGGGGGTTTCATACGCCACCGCCGACATCGGCGAGCGCGACTCCCTTACCAGGCGGCGGGGGGGGACGGGGACCTCGACTCTCGTGTAGCGGAATTTGGATCGCGAGGCACGATGCGAGAAAACGCTATGCGGGTCTTGTCGCGGCATGAGTAGTACCGTCGGTACGGGGGTCAGAGACCAAGGCTGGGGTGTACTGTGGGGCAGGTTCACTGGTTATCTCGTGAATGTCGAGCACCCCACCGCAAGGCTGCGGAGCATGGGCCATGTCGCGGTGGGCTAAGAAAAGACGTTGTATGCGCGACGTCGCAGCATTCCTGACGTGGTGGTGCCCCCCTCGAAGACTGGTGGGGAGGGAGGGGGAAGATCTGCAGGCAGGCCGGTGGGAAAAGGGCCGGCGGCAAAAGAACCTATCTGTTGCGTTGCGGGAGCGAGTGTAACGTACGTTGAGAGAGAGAGGGAGAAGAAGAAGGCGAAGTCTGGCGCCGACCGGTGGGACGAAGGGCGTCGTCCGGCGGGGCCCTAGTGGGGCACGGCCGCGGGAAGCGACGTTGACGCGGCGGAAGAGCAACATGGCATGAGGAATGTGAAACGACGGTTCGAAGCGACGGAATCGATATGGGGGGTATCCGGCATTGTCCGCGGCCTGTAAGTAGCGGCCTCAAGGAACGGTGAGTATCGGGGCTTCGATCGTTCGTCGGGCGTGGTCGATGGAAGACTTGGCGTGGGCTCGCTTATCGACTGGCGGATACCCACGACGTTTGGAACCGTGCTAGGATGTGCAGAGGTCCATATTATCGATGAGACGATGCCAAGGAGTGCGCGGCGTGAAAGACCACCGGTGGTTCGCAGCGCGAGCAGGAGTGCTATATGCGTCGAGGCGATGTTCGCGAGTGCTGCTGCCAAGTCGTTTCGTCGATGGAAACTCGCAGTCCTGTTCAGACGACCCCTACACCTAAACCCCCGTACGTGCCGGCCCGCTCACGGTCGAGGACACTGGCACGAGTTTTAGCCATTTGTGACGGTAGATGTCGGTCTCCGGACCTTTTTCGTCTGGCCCTGATAGCTGTTCAGTGTTCGGTCATCTAGCCCAATCCGTCGGAATACGCGAGTGGTGCAAAAGTATACGGTGTAGGTCTATAAGTAGAAGCGTTAGAGTTCGACGCGGTCTCCATTGCGGCGGGTGCGGCGAAGCGACCGGCGATTTGGTCGGGCGGTGGGGTGCGCATGTGCAGTCGCTACCGATGCTGGCCGGAAGGAGGACATGGCTGCACCGTTTGCGCGAGACCGGGTTCCGGTGAGGCGATGTGCACTCGCAAGAAGGGAAGCTCAGGCCCCCCATCTGTCCAAGCGGGAGCGAAGCTGGCGACAGCACGTGCACCGCCGTCCGCTTTCAGCCTCGTTCTCACCTCCCACTTGCAATCGTGCCCGATGCCGAACACGAAACGCTGTGCGGCTTGGGGCCCGACCACGCATCCGACTCCTGCCCAACGGCGCCGTCGTCGCTTCGTGGGCACCCATCCGGCTCGCCATCACCCACCGAATCACGCCCAGACCCGCGCTCAGTTCCCACTCCCGGCTTGCACCCCCCGCCGTTTCAGCCTGACTGAGGGAGAGGGCATCCACCGCACCCGATGTAACCTCGACAAGTCGACGACCGTCTATGTTCAGCAGTCAGGAGTGCAGGCACCGCCATCTACCCCAGTTTGAACGCGACGAAGGCGGGGCCCATCGCTGTCCAGATCCCCGTTGCCATCCGCGCTTGCTGGAGCAAACGACGTATTATTCCTCATCCACATGGGACGCCTCCCGCTCCTAATGAATAACGGCCTTCCTTCGCATATGGTGAGAGCGCTAGATCTCGCCTCTCCACGAGGGTGAAATGGGGGTTCTAATCGTTCCAATTCTTTTCCAACGGTTTTGCATACCTGCCCTGGCGTGCTCTATAGATAACGAGGCGCGAACCCCTTCCCTCGGCCGGGCTCTGAGTGGCTCGTCGGGAGGTTCAGTGATATCACGCCCGGATTGGGGCAGTCCGACCGCTCTTGGCGGGTCATTACAGCCCCCCAGATAGGTGGCGGGTACGCTCTCCCCTTCTCACCGGTTCTCCGCACGGCGCGCATCGCGCGCACACGCTCGAACGCATCCTTGGCTGTCCCCGTCGGAGCGCGAGGGAACGCCATGACAGGAACACCCAATTCCGGCCCCTTTTGACGCGAGCACACAGATTTTCCTCCTCCCTCTACGATTATAAAAGGGAGGGCGATCTGCTATCTGGGAGGTATCCCCATCCCGCCTCTCCTCCCCCCCTCGCCTTCGTTGCGACATGTCCTCCGCAACGACGCAGCACGACCTCGAGAAGCAGGCCGCGATCGCCGAGGTCCTCCATGCGGACGCGGGTACCGAGACCCCGAGCGGCGCGTCCAGCGGCACCGTTTCGCCTTCGGGTACCAGTCTGCAGGACAAGGACGAGGACGATCTCAAGGATAAGGTAATTGCCATCCTCCCTTCGACGACGTTGGCCTCGACTAAACCCCTTCCCCAATCAGGTGGACGAGACCGAGGGCATCGTGACCCAGCTCGAGTCCTACCCCGTCCCGCCCAAGAAGGGCAACAAGATCACTCGTTTCCTGTGGCGTAAGTCGTCGGCCTTACTCCGGACGTTATCGACCCACGCTGACACAGCATCTATCTTCCTGCAGACAACTTCTTCTCGACCTACCGGAAGATCTTCACCGTCGTGTTCTTTGCGAACATCACGGCGCTGATCGTCTTCACCGTGAGGAACAAGGGCCTGCCCAAGGCACCCGAGGTCGGCTCCGCCGCTTCCGCCAACCTCATGGTCACCATCCTCTTCCGCCAGGAGAACTTTGTCAACATCGTCTACGAGATCCTCTGCGCGTGCCCCCACTCCGCGCCGCTCTGGCTCCGCAAGCGCCTCGCCAAGGCCTTCCACTACGGCGGCGCCCACAGCGGCGCCGGCGTCGCCGCCGTCTTCTGGTACATCCTCTACACCGTCATCGCCACCCGCGACTTCACGCGGATGAAGAACACGGCGTCGACGGTCAACGTCGCCACTTCCTACGTCCTCCTCGCCCTCTTCTGCTTCATCCTCGGCGGTGCGCACCCGTACTTCCGCCGGACCTACCACGACTACTTCGAGGCCATGCACAGGTACTCGGGCTGGTGCGCGCTCCTCACCTTCTGGACGCACACCATCTTCGCCGGGCTCGAGTACCGCAAGCTGGAGCCGAACCCGCCCTCGCTCGGGACGTACCTCATCACGTCGTCCAACTTTTGGACGTTCGTCATCTCCTCCAGCGCGACGCTCCTGTCGTGGGGCCGTCTTCGCCAGCGCGACGTGTACCCGGAGATCCTGTCGGACCACGTCATCCGGCTGCACTTCAAGTACAAGAAGATGCCGCCCTTCTACGGGCTGAAGGTCTCCACCCGGCCGCTCGTCGAGTGGCACGCGTTCGCGACCGTGCCGGACGAGGAAGGCTTCTCGGTCGTCGTCTCGAACGCCGGGGACTGGACGAAGGGGGCGATCATGAACCCGCCGAAGAAGCTGTGGGTGCGCGGGTACCCGCTCCACGGCCTGCTCTACACGTCCAAGCTGTTCAAGCAGATCGTCGTCGTCGCGACGGGGTCCGGGATCGGGCCGATCCTGTCGCTGCTGTACGCGGACATCACGCCGCGCCGCGTGCTGTGGTCGACGCCCAACCCGGAGACGACGTTCGGGGACAAGATCGTCGCGGCGGTGAACAAGGCGGACCCGAACGCGGTGATCTGGAACACGCGCTCGCAGGGGAGGCCGGACATGGTGCAGCTGACGTGGCAGCTCGTGCGGGAGTGCAATGCCGAGGCGGTGTTCATCATCTCGAACCCGAAGATCACGAAGAAGGTGGTGTACGCGATGCAGACGAGGGGCGTCGCCGCCTACGGCGCCATCTTCGACTCGTAAAAAAACCCGTCGAACGAAGAACGATAACGCCTGTATGATTTCTGCACGCTTTGACGAGACTCGGTGACCCGGGTATATATCGATGGTATCGTTGTTGATGTTGTACCCCTATTCCTGTACTTTATGCCTCCTGTCTCCATACTGTTCGAGCTCGCTCGCATGCTCTCCTCCTGCCTCACCCTGTTACATAGACGCATCTGTACTTAGACGAAATTTCACGCCTTTCTGCGCACTTATCGCGAACGTGGTGAGACCAAGCTCAAGGTTGCGATTGCGCGTGTGCTACCAATAACTTGTCATCTTCTTCACGGCGATGGCAGAACCTTTTCCGCTCGAAAGACATGGGGGATCAAATCTGCGCGTGCTAGGAATACTTGCTTATCTTCGTCACAGCGATAACAGCACTCCTCCCGCTCGACAGAGAACCAAAAGTAAAGTTGGCACTAGCACCGCGGGATGCCTTGTGTGCGTGCGAGGACTGCAATCTAATCTGATAGCTATCGTCTCTTACTACTCCCGCAAAGCTCGATAGGGGTGGGTTAGAGTGCGGTTTCACAGGTTATCGAGACCCCGTTGCCACACGCAACCGCGCAGGTGGGTGCGGCTGAAGCGGCTGGAGCACCCGCTCGGCTCATGTCGAGGACGGGTTTATCACCTTCACGCCGTGCTATGATGGAAAGTGCCATTGCGCTGGCGTTCGAGGCATGCGGGACTCCCGTTCTCCCGTCACCGCTGGGTTGGTGAGTGATAACATATCCAGGTGAGCGGCTTGGAGCATATGCACTCCGCCATGAGAGTGCTGTATTGCCGATGCCCAGGAGGATACACGGAGCTGCATGACGTTGTTCCATTCTTGCCTGCACAACCTGGTAGATAGCACTCCACGCAGTCCGGTACCAGGATCCAACCGACTCTTCGATGTCGAGGCATCGATTTACACGTGGATTAGACGAGGCCCCGAGCTTGGCATGGAGGAGCGGGTATAAATAACGGTCCTGATTTTAGCCCCTGTGAGCCCGGGTTCTATTAACTTCCCATGTCCGACGTCGGCGGCACGGCGGGCAGGCACGATTAGCTGTGCCGTGGGATAGGAGCGAGAACGAGCTCGGGATCCATGGAGCACCGTCGCATATAGCGTTTCGGTGGCGGATCTCGAACGCTTCAAGTTTGTGAATGGGTGCCTGTGCGAAATTTACGCGCCACGATGGCAGGTTCTTGGTCCCTCTTGTAATACGGAGTATGGTCTCATGTCTGCGGCTCCATGAGAGTCTCGGCGACCGTTTGTACGCATGTCGTTTTACACTCGAGCAACACCGTGAGTTGCGAGCGCCAGCGGGTGAGAACCGGGAGGTCGGGGTTGTACTTGAAGAAGGCGTTGATCGAGCGTCTGATGAAAAAAAGCGTGTAGATCCCGTCGGCACACCTGAGTATGCGCCCATGACGATCGACCGCCAAGCGGTCATTTGAGGAGTGAAGAATGCGCCTGCGATTGTATTGCAAGAGGGTCGTAACTCGCTTCAACCAACCGCATAGACGTTATGTACGTGCCGAAGGTAGCTGGAGTGTCTGTTGCGCAGTCACCCCGGTTCCAAGTCATTCGTGCGTCGCATGAGCTCGAAAATTTTCTACGCATGGTTGGCGGCAGCGACGTAATCGTGGGTGATGCCAACCCTCAACGATGCTGCATGACGAGCACAGCAGCCGAACGGAATATCTGATATCACTTGTGTGAGCGCCGATGTCATCGTTATCGACGAAGTACCTTCACGGGTCGAGCAACATATCGAGAAATATCTCACCGTGAATGCACGGTATCAGTGCAGATGGTGGTGCTGATGGTCTTCTAAGGCCGCACAAAAGCCCAAGCCTGCAAACGAGCATTCGCTGCATCATCGTCGGCAGGCCGGGGTCAATATTAGCCATATTGCCGTCCGGCAGTGGAAGGAACGGAGGCGGCTGGGCATACTCTGGGCATCAACATTCGGGGCACCCTAACAAGTTCACGATCAGGTCGTCGACGCAGGTCCGATCGATCCCGCGCATCGCGAGCTTTGCAAAAAAAGGTGAACAGCCATAGCAGGTCCCTGTTCCTATTGACCCCCCCAGTGAAGGCAGATCTGTGTTTCACTGGCACTGTCGCCATACATCCTTTGAAAGAAACATGCAAGTTGCAGCTGCGGGAAGATATTAAGAGGAAAAGCGTACGTCAACATGACGCTGGAGCGGTCGCATGGACGGCACCACAACAGTCGGGGAGTCACCGTTCCGAAGATAAACCTGAAGTCCGCCGGTGGAGTCCGCGATAGATGCACGGGGTACACGTCTTTCGCCTGGATGTATGCATGAGACAGAGGTGGGTACTTCAAGGTCAGAGCAAGGGAAATCGCCAAATTTACGCAGAGGATGTCATCGGCATCCCAAGAGGAGACGACACGGATGGATCATGCTTCTGTTTGGAGACCCCTCGTAGTCATGCAAGATCGCTGCGGAGATGGCGAACGTCCATTTCGCGTTGCTGCGGTATCGTGCCGCCCTTAGGCAGCCAAGTGAACCGGTGAGACGAGACGAGCTTTGGAGATTCTCAGGCATCGAGAAGACGACGACACGGCACGCACAGGTACGACGAGGCAAGCCTGTGAGAGCGCCATTGTCATATATCACAATTTCGTCCAGAGAGTTTGTCCAAGGTAGGATCGTAGGGATGTAATAGACGTCGACGAAGATTTGGTCGTCGCGGGAAGTTGTACGCCCACCTTGACAGAGGATTCTCGGCTTTACAGTTTCAGTATCTGGAAGAAATATCAGAAGTACTGGGCCCCTTCGTCAAGTGAGGTATTGATTAGGAAATGTCTTGGTGTGCAGCGACGCTATGAGGTTGTGCGGTACTTCCAGATTGAAGCCTCAGGTTAAGTTTGAGCTCAGAATAAGCGCCGGGACACGACGAGCGCCAGGCGAATCCCGGCCACCTGATTGGCTCTCACCTTCTCTCCGCCGTCACCACCACCTCCCTCCGTTTACCCTCTATCCTTTCTCGCTCGTCATGCTCGCCCTCCGGAATGTTCAAAGATTAGCGACACGGCCATGCCGGAGACGATTCATCTCCACGTCGCTCTCGCGGCGGTCCGACGCCTTGTTCGTCGTGAGTGTCCGGAATGCACCGACGACCGTGCTAGCAACTTATGTAGGCTTTTTGTAGCACCGGGACACGCCGTATAACAACCCGAAGGTACTTAATCACTATACTGGATAGTCAGAGAGCCCGCCAACGCATGTGTATGATGTACTGCTCAGATCCCGTTCGAGTTTACGCCGGAGAACATGAAGCGCGCCGAGGAGATCATCTCGCACTACCCGCCGCAATACAAGAAGGCGGCGGTGATACCGCTCCTCGACCTTGGACAGAGGCAGAACAAGGGGTGGACGAGCATCAGTGTGATGAACTACGTCGCGAAGCTGCTCGAGCTTGCGCCGATGCGTGTGTACGAGGTCGCGACGTTTTACACCATGTTCAATCGGTACGTTTGTTTTATACGAACCCCTTCAATCGTCTTCCAAGATGTGTCCTGTATCTACCTCGCTCTTGAGCCCGATGGCTTACCGGCGTGCGTTGCGCAGGGAACCGATTGGCGAGCACTTTGTGCAAGTCTGCACCACGACGCCTTGCATGTTGGGAGGATGTGGTTCGGAGCTCATTCTCGACACCGTCTGCCAGCACCTCGGTGGTATCAAGCCCGGAGAGACTACCAAGGACGGCAAGTTCACCGTGATTGAGGTCGAGTGCCAGGGCGCGTGCAGTAACGCGCCAATGATGGTCGTCGGCGACGACTTCTACGTGCGTGCCCCTACTAGTCTTGTCTTTGGATCCTCCTTGTCCATGCGCCCACTCCTCATTATATTTCCTCTGGGGCAGTCCCTTCGATGACGTCGATAGCCGCTACTCTGTTCCACCGCCCTTCTGTCCGCTCGGCTTACACTGACATTCGACGTAGGAGGACCTCACTCCCGAGACCACGCGCAAAGTCCTAGACGCCTTTGCGAAGGGAGAGAAGCCCAAGCCCGGTCCTCAGAGTGGGCGCAAAACGTCCGAGAATTCTGCAGGCCTTACCGCGCTCACGTCGAAGCCATACGGTCCTGGCGAGCACTGTACCCCGGAGTTTGCGTGAATGCGATGCACTACCACAAAACATTGAGTACGGTGGGTGGACGAGGGTAAGAGGCGGTGGTAGATGGTGGAGTAGAGAACTGCATATATATTTTCGTTTGATCTCATCCGTTCGAGATGATCCAAATGAGCCCAAGATGAGCACGGCGCTGGTGTAGCGTATACGTGCCCCAAGGGGCGCGCTGCAGCAGGGGCCGCATCGGACGCGAATGCAGTGAAAGGATGTGGCAAACTATGAGATTGATCCGAGTCGTCAAGGCTAACATGATATACGTGACCGTTCGTGCGGGTATATATGTGTGTTTGCATGCATGCAGGCTCGACATTCGGCGAGCAATAGGTGAAACTGTCCTCTTCCCGAGTGTTCCGAATCGTGATCATGAGTGCTTGTTTTCGTACCCCCGAGCCAACCTAGTCGTCACCCTCGCCGTCATCGAAACCGGCCATGCCTTCGCCGCCTTCGGGTAGACGCTCGAGCAGGTACCTGACGATCGTGACGTATCCATCAGCTTCAACCAGAAGGCGCAAGCGTGAAAAGCGGTAAAAAAAGGCACCCACTCGATCTCCTCCTTCAGATCCGCGCAGTAGGTGTCGAGCGGGAGGTCGGACTCGTCGCTCCCGAACGGCATCTCGATCTCGTCCGCGATGCCCTCGATGCCCATGAAGGTGAACGCGACGACGGTCACGATCGGAATCATGCCCCAGCCGAGGTCCTGAATCATCGTGAACGGAAGCGCGAAGAGGTAGAGACCGACGGCCTGCTTCAGGTGGATGCGATCTGCATCATACAATACCGTCCAGACGTGTCATGCAGATCATGTACGCGGGACGCTTACAGGACTTGGGAATGGGCGTGTTCGCGACGCGTTCCATGTTGGTGAGCATGTCGACCATGCCCTGCACGAGCACATTCATCGCGTTTGTGCCCGCGGGGCCAACGGTCTCCAGTAGGCCATCGCGCTTGAAAAGGAAGAGGGCGCGGTTGATCTCGTGCGCTAGCCTGGAAAAGTCAAGTCAAACGTTGTACGTCAAACTAGGTCCGAAGCAGTGAAGGGAAACCCACAGGAGCGGCAGAGGCAGGCTAGCGGCATCCGCGTGGGGGTGGAACTCAACCGTCGTGTGCGAGGTATGCTGGGACGAGCCGAGGAGCGGCGTCGTGCTCGTCACCGCGGCGAGATTCTTCTTGGACCGCTTGGGCCGGACGCGCTTGGTCGCGTTGCGCGAGGACGCGGCGGTGTGGCTGCTCGCGCCGAGGAGCGTCGGCGTCGGGGTGAGCGAGTCGTGCGAGGACTCCATCGCGGCGTAGCCCTTCCCGCCGTTCTGGCTCTGAGCGGCGGACGAATCATGCCGCGAGCGCTGGCCAAGGTGGTCCGCCGAGTCGTTCCGCTGCGTGCTGTACCCGCTCTCGTCGAATCGCGCGAAGCCGGCGGGAAGGACGGCGCGGAGGTCGGGCCAGTGCGAGCCGTCTTCGTCGCGGAGGTAGTGCTTGGTCGCGAAGACGAAGGCGAGGACGAGTTTGATGACGCGCCGCTTGCGTCTGCGGAGCTGCTCCGGGGTGATGTCCGAGAGGAGAGGGAATTGGGGAGTGGATTTGGCCGCGCCAGGAGGCGGGAGGGAGACGTTTATCCAGATAAGGCGGGTAAGGTTGCGGACCTGCGAAATGGGTTAGATAGCTGGAGAGAGGACGCACGAGGACAGAAACGAACATGGGAGGAGAGGGTGCCCCAGTCTTTACGGCCCTCGTAATAACGGTCGTAGGACGTCCCGTTCCTATGGTCTCGGCGTTCAACGAGTATTCACGTCGGCAAAGGACCGTGCGTACCTGAAGACAAGGATGAGACCGACCTGTCGGAAGAAGAGGCCGAAATCAGCGGGGCCGTGAAACGATCCAAGTAACCCGGGTAGGCGAAGCGGCGAAAAGGAAGGCGGGGAGATGGAACACGTACGACGACGGCGACAACGGGGATTACCGAATTAGTAAGATGGACATCGTGCCCTTTGGACCAAAGGTATGCGACCTGTGCCGGACGATTGAATGGGGTCAGCAAGCCGGCCAGCCGGCTAATGTGACGAGAGAGGAACCTACGCCGGTGGCAAATATGGTCACCGTCAAGACGGGACCGACGATACGACCGATGATCTACAAGCGATGCACATGCTGTAAGCATACGCGAAGCAGTAAAGAGGGCGAAAGAAAAGGGTGGCGGGTAGAACTCGGTAGACGGGCCAAGAGTGTTCGACACGGAAGAACGGGGAAATCAAAGGCGGAGAAGGGAGGAAATAGACGTACCGAGCCTTCGACGGTGAAGATGTCGAACAGCCAGGAGTACTGCAACGGGCACGCGAGCAGTCAGTTCGCCGTCGCTGCATGGCCGGCGCGAGAGAAGACCTGTCGAGTGTTGGGCCATGCACGCGTGCGGGTTTTGCGGTCCATCACGCGCGCGCCGAGCAGGTTCATCTCACCTTTCTGAGCTTTCTCCGCGAGACCAGTTTAGGCTGTCGCGTGTCCGGGGGTGTGCGTCAGAAAGCGTTGCGCTCTGTCTCGGTCGATATGCTCGCTCACCTTGGGCAATGCCAGCGAGAGGCTGGACTTGACCGTGCCAGTGCCCGACGCCATCTCTGCCCTTGATATTATACCTGATCTTGACGGGCTTGGACCGCGGCCTGGTCGTTGTTCGCGACGAGCAAGGGAGATGAGCACAGCCACGAGATGCGGGGATCTTGGTGCGCGTCACAGGGCTGGGCCGTGCAGCACTGAAACGGTGCTGAACGGGAGGGCCGGGCAGAAGGCTGTAGCGCATTGCGTCTTGATCTGCGCAGCGGGCACGAATAAGAGTCACCGCCACCGCCGCCTTTCACCTCCTCCGTCCCGCCTGTCCCATCCCCGCCCGCCGCTCTCCGTCGGCTCAGTCTCTCTGAGATTTCCTCGACAAAAAGCTCGATTATTTATTCTCTCGAGTTCTCACCAAGTGCCAGCACAGGAGGGCGCGATGCCAGCCTTCGACCCCGTCCGCGACGCCGTGCGCTCGTCCCCGACCGAGGTCGGCCCTGGCTTGGCGCGGCGCGCGACCGATCTTTCTGTTCTCCTCAACGACGACAACAGCGCCCCAGCACCCACTCCTGCGCATGCAGACTATGACTCCGCCACCTCCCCGCTGTTCACGCCGGGACCCTCGACGGCCGGCGCCCAATCCGCCACGCATTCCTTCCCGTTCCCCAGCCCCGCCGATCGCGAGGCCCCATTCGCATATCAGCATCAGCAAATTCAATACTACCCGCTGGAGAGGGAACGAGAGAGGGATAGGGAAAGGGCTACGCCAGGCGGATCGGGGTCGGAAAGCAGCAGCAGCCCGCGCCCGGCGTCCTCGCGGATGTCGTCCATCCTCAACCCCGTGGACGAGCCCCCGCTCTCGTCCTCTCGCCCTGGCACATCCGGCTCGTCTACTTCGCGACCCTCGTCGTCGCCCGCAAGCCGCTCGCCCGTGATCGGCAACCTCCTGCGCCCGACCCCGCAAGCGCCGTCCATGCAGACGCCAGCGTCTGTCCCCGTCTCAGGCGCGGGCCCCCGTCCGCGGTTCAGCGCGCCGTCGACGGCCTCGACCGCCCCATCGCTCGCGTTTCCGGGCTCCCTTGGCCCCTCTCTATCCTTTCCTGCGCCTATCCCCATCGACTCTCGCCCGCGAGGTGGCGTCGTGACCAGCCCATCGGAACAGGGCCCGAGCCCGCTGGCGGGCGTGGCTCCCTCCGTCTCGTTCACGCCCGTTGTAATACAGCAGCGCACGTTCCAGACAAAACCACGACAAGCGAGGCAGCTTCCAGCCAAGGTGCGCGAGGCACAGCTGGCGCGAGCGCAACAGCAACAGCAACAACAACAAACGGACCATCAACCACCATCCCAGCCGCCACAAATGCAGGCTCATCTTCCCGTCGCTCCACAAACGCAGGACCAGCCATCTCAACAACAGCAGCAGCAACAGCAACCGCCCCAAATATCGCTCCCGGGCCCATCCCGGCCTTCACCTCTCCCCATCTCCGCCCCCACCTTTCCTTCGCCCGCCTCCGTTCCGCTCGCCCTCCCGCGTCCTCCCACCCCTCCACCTTCCTCTCGAGCACCACCACCCCCTTCTTCGTCACATCCACCAGGCGGCCACCTGTCACTGCCGACGGCAACTCCCGAACAACCTCCGTCGGGTACCTCGACGGTGCCCGGTCCCTCCACCGCCTCTCCATCCTCTCACTCCCTCTCCGCCGCCTCCGCCGCCCCTCCATCGTCGACACCTTCCACCACCGTGACGTCAGCGCCCATACCGACCTTAGCCGGACACACCGCACGATCGCCGATGATGGCCGAAAGCCCGCGACCACCGCAACAACGACAACAACGGCAAGGTACCCTAGCCTCATCCCCTTCGACATTCTCGCTCCCGCCTAAACCCGTCCAAGCCTCGCCTCCACCTCGTAGTCATGAACAAGGACAGGCACGCTCGCGGGGCACGCCCTACGCTCCCACGCGGCGATTCACGCAGCCCGCCAGCTCGCTCCTCATGCCGCTCACGCCCGCCGAAGCCGACTTGTACGCCGAATGGATGACCCGCGGCGGGCTCGGCGCGCGCCTTCTCAAGTCCAAGAAATCCCAGGGTCACCAACAGTCTGGCGCTCAAAGCAGTCAGCATCCGCATAACGACCAGCGCCGGAATGGGGAGAGGTCGGGGCGGGAGGAGGTGGGCGAGAAGCGGGAGCGTCCATGGGGCGCAGAAGGGGAGAGACCGGTGAAGAAGAGCAAGGATGTTGGCTTGGTCGTAGAGCACTGTGAGTTTGCAAGACTAACCTTTCCTGTTGCTTGCGCTTCTTTTCCTCCTCGCATATGCCAAAATTTCGCTCCTTCCGTCTGTTATCGCCGTGGAGCCTACCACTGCCACGTTCATCTCCATACGGCTGAAATCGACGCGCATATATTCACGCATTCATCCGGTCTCTGCTCCGCCTTTGACATACATTTGTCCTCTTGATGTATTGTGCCCGCTTCTGACTGCTTTGCCCGTATAGACAACGCCCGCCCGGACGTCGGCCCGGACGCCCGTAGGCAATCACCCATCATCGGCCTCAAGTCGTTCAACAACTGGGTGAAGAGCGTGCTCATCCAGCGCTTCGCGCATCCCGCGCTCGCGGCAAGTCCGAGCGCGGGGCGACATACAGGTGGTGAGCGACCCTTCCTGTCTCGTTGCTTCTTTACCCCGTTCGTGTCTTCTATTTGCACTATGTTCTCTTCATTCTTTTACGCGTCTTTGGAATTTCGCCCATGCTCTTTTCATCCTTCCTTATTCATCGTTCTTTGGATCTTGTTTCTGCGCTTCGAGGTGCCGGATCCTTTTTGCGAGGGTTTCCGTCATACGGTATCGACTGCGATCCGATTCATTCTTTTCCAACGTTCCAAAGCATGTTCCTCATGTTTGTTTCACCTCACCGAGGTGTGACTTTGCGGGCGCTCGGAGGCAGATGTGGGTTGTTTCCTACTCCCGCATGCGCGCAGCTCTTCGAGTCTTCCTTGTGTTTCAGCGTCCCTTGAGCTTCGAAGGTCCACGATCTCTGCGATTCGTGCTTTATCACGCACCGCACCCTCGCGCGCGGCGCTTTTGTCATTCTATCGGTGCCTTCCGCGGGGACCGCAGACATTGGGCGGTCGCGCGCCTCGCCCTTTATCTCGCATCTAATCTGGCGCATGAATTCGTCTTATCACTGCCCTTTGTCCCTGCTTCTATTCTTATCACGCCGAACTCCGGTTATTTTTTCCCTGCCCGCCTGGCACCGCTTTCTCAGGTCCTCGATTCTCGCGCTCCTCGGGGCCGGTGGCTATGTCGCCTATGCCAAGGGGCTCGCGATTTCATATGCATGTGCTGGCGCGCGTCATGGACGCGCCGCATGGCCCGCGCTGGCGCATCACGCAACGCGGATGGTGTGCGACAGCATCTGTCTTGCGCGCTTTTAGACGGGGGCCGATGTTCGTGCAACCGTTTGTATTTCTGAAGCCGGCGGAGCGCTCCCAGCTGCTGTTGGAGTGATGTTGCGCTGCCTGGGGTTCTTGATGCTATCACGCGTTATCTTTGCCTGCCTTGTGCTGTGGAGAAAAGCTATGAGATGATGGTGCGGGGCTGACGGACTGTTTGCGTTTTGGCAGGTTCGGGCCATGCCGAAGCGATGAGTCGAAACGGCCGGTCGGCGAAAGGCGGTAAGGTGTTGGACATGGGCTGTGGAAAGGGCGGAGACCTGATCAAGTGGGCGAAGAGCCCCGTCAGGGAGTATGTGGGCCTCGGTACGTTTTCCTCTATTGGCGCATTGAGCGAGGCTGAACGCGATCTGGGACGTAGATATCGCTGCGGTGTCCGTGGAGCAGGCGCGGGGGCGCTATCAAACGCTCAAAGGATCGCCTTTCCTAGCAACGTTCGCCGCGTTGGACTGCTATACGCACCCGCTATCGGCAGCGTTAACTCCCGCCCAGCTGTCGGTACCCTTCGATGTGGTACGTGCCGTCAATAAATCCTCTAGGGCTGCTCATAGATGTTGTATAGGTGTCCATGCAATTCTGCATGCACTACGCGTTTGAAACTGTGCAGAAAGTGCGGCGCATGCTAGAGAACGTCAGCAAGTGGTTGCGGCCTGGTGGGATATTTCTTGGCACAGTGCCCAACGCCGACATCCTGCTGTGAGTTCGGCCCTTTCTTACGTCTCCTTGACCTGAACGCGTCGCCTTTCGTCGTCATTACACGCACATGACCTTGCTTACTGTTGTCTTGACATCCTCAGGAGCCGCCTCGACGAGCTGCCACCAGACGCCGAGGACCTCTCGTTCGGCAACTCGGTCTACAAGATCACGTTTGAGGATCGCGTCAAGCGGCCAATATTCGGTCATCGATACTCTTTCTTCCTGAAGGATGCTGTCGAGGACGTGCCCGAGTACATTGTCCACTGGGACAACTTCACGCAGTGAGTTCCCGTAACCCTTGCATCGCCTCATCGCTGGTCGTCTTCTCTGGTTCCTCCGGCACTTCTCTTCGCGAATCCTTCCCGCTGGGCCGATCGCTATTAACGTGTCAAGTTCTATTTGCGTCGATGACCTTGCTAGAGCCTATTATCTGATACCGAACCCGATGTGATATGTGCTGACCGAGGTTGTTCCAGGATGGCGGCGGAGTACGGGCTGCATCAGGTCTACAAGGAGGAGTTCCATCATGTGTTCACCGAGCATCAGACCGATCCCGAGTTCGGTCAACTACTCGTTCGCATGAAGGTCGCCGACAAGGACGGCAACAGCCAGATGGACGAGGACCAATGGGAGGCAGCCAGTACGTTGAACCATATACTGTGATTGTGTCGGATGCTGACATGGAGGGTAGACATTTATCTCGCTTTCGCGTTCGAAAAACGATGACGCTGTAACGCTTCATTGACGTTATATAATTATGTTCTTGCTTCCCTTGCTTTATGTAGTCTCTTGTGGTATTCCTTGCGTTGTCTCGTCTCGTGAATGTACGACCTGTGAATGCACTATCTGGACGTCTGGATTAATCAACCACGAACTTGAGTACTCGAGTGCCGTCTATGTGTCGTGGCTGTGGCTACCTTCTTATCGCGATCGTTCATGCAACGTAAGGCGTCTAGTTGTCGTTATGACTTTTTGGTACAACGGTGACTGTTCTATAGAAGAGGTCGAGGTCACTACATAACACTCGTGACGGGAAGCGTGCGTGCGTGGCGGTGTCGTTTGTTGATACAGATATCAGCGCATGGCGTTTCTACAGTTAGATAAGGAAGAGCAAGAATAACAGACGATGAAGAGTATCCCAGGGCACAAAGAGGGCGCAAAGTTGAGAAGGCCACTATGAGTCGAAAATAGCACCGTAGGCGGCGACGCCCCTCGTCTGCATCGCGTACACCACCTTCTTCGTGATCTTCGGGTTCGAGATGATGAACACCGCCTCGGCATTGCACTCCTGCACGAGCTGCCAGGTCAGCTGCACCATATCCGGCCTCCCCTGCGAGCGCGTGTTCCAGATCACCGCGTTCGGGTCCGCCTTGTTCACCGCCGCGACGATCTTGTCTCCGAACGTCGTCTCCGGGTTGGGTGTCGACCACAGCACGCGACGCGGCGTAATATCTGCATATAGCAGAGACAGGATTGGGCCGATACCGGACCCCGTTGCGACGACGACGATCTGCTTGAACAGCTTGGACGTGTAGAGCAGGCCGTGGAGCGGGTACCCGCGCACCCACAGCTTCTTCGGCGGGTTCATGATCGCCTCCTTTGTCCAGTCCCCGGCGTTCGACACCACGATTGAGAAACCTTCCTCGTCCGGCACGGTCGCGAACGCGTGCCACTCGACGAGCGGTCGGGTGGAAACCTTGAGCCCGTAGAAGGGCGGCATCTTCTTGTACTTGAAGTGCAGCCGGATGACGTGGTTCGACAGGATCTCCGGGTACACGTCACGGAGGCGGAGACGGCCCCACGACAGGAGCGTCGCGCTGGAGGAGATGACGAACGTCCAGAAGTTGGACGACGTGATGAGGTACATCCCGAGCGAGGGCGGGTTCGGCTCCAGCTTGCGGTACTCGAGTCCGGCGAAGATGGTGTGTGTCCAAAACGTGAGGACCGCGCACCAGCCCGAGTACCTGTGCATGGCCTCGAAGTAGTCGTGGTAGGTCCGGCGGAAGTACGGGTGGGCGCCGCCGAGGATGAAGCAGAAGAAGGCGAGGAGGACGTAGGAAGTGGCGACGTTGACCGTCGACGCCGTGTTCTTCATCCGCGTGAAGTCGCGGGTGGCGATGACGGTGTAGAGGATGTACCAGAAGACGGCGGCGACGCCGGCGCCGCTGTGGGCGCCGCCGTAGTGGAAGGCCTTTGCGAGGCGTTTGCGGAGCCAGAGCGGTGCGGAGTGGGGGCACGCGCAGAGGATCTCGTAGACGATGTTGACAAAGTTCTCCTGGCGGAAGAGGATGGTGACCATGAGGTTGGCGGAAGCGGCGGAGCCGACCTCGGGTGCCTTGGGCAGGCCCTTGTTCCTCACGGTGAAGACGATCAGGGCCGTGATGTTCGCAAAGAACACGACGGTGAAGATCTTCCTGTAGGTCGAGAAGAAGTTGTCTTCACGAGAGTTAGCAACGTAAACCACATATAAGGCGTTAAACGCACGGAGAAGGTAGCGAGTAACCTTATTGCCCTTCTTGGGCGGAATCGGGTATGACTCGAGCTTGGGAATGTCATCTTCGGAGTCCTCGAGCTATGATCATGTTGGGTCGTCGTACAACTTTCAGAGAAGTGGGCACCGAACCTTCTCCTTCTCCTTAATACTCGAGGTAGAGTTGCTACCACTTGGTAACGAGCTGCCCGCCTCGATGACGACGGGCATCACCGAGACCTCATCGGCGGTGGTCGTTTGCTTCTCGAGGTCGTAAGAGGACATCGTAGGAGCTGCCGTGGCTTGCCGGGGGTGCACCGGAGACCAAACTCCAGAGCAGCGCTGCTTAAATGCACGCAGCGAGTAACTCGACTTCACACGCCGGGGCGGAGCCGGCAGTGGATGCACGCATCATCTTCTTCAGGTCGAGAAAGGTAATTGCATATTCTTCGCGTTGGGCGGTACCCGGGAGCCTATCCAGCATACGGACAAAAGAGGTTGCCGGAGGCAACAGCTTCTGTTCCTTGCTTGTGTGAAAGATATGATGCACTTTCAAATGGTGGTAACGAATCCGAATGATTCGCGAGAAGGTTGCACCTCATGCCGTGCGGGTCGCCGACCGTTTAGTGCCCAAAAGACGGCGACGTGCCAATAGCCACTAAAGCCGTTTAATCGGCGCGCATGGGCCTGTACAGATCGAATGTCAAGAAGCGGTCGTGGAGCACGAACGTCGTGCGGGATGGGACCCACCTGGTAAAGGGCTCGAAGCCTGCGGCGCAAACCATGACATGTTCCACATGGGGCGATACGCACTCAAAGAGTCAGTTGGAGTAAGCGAGCCCGTCGCGACGGGCCTCACTGCGGGTTTGATGCACCGATAACCTCCATGCTCAGGCGCGGCCATGAACGCCTTTTCGAGTGAAGCACTAAAGGTTGCTAGAATCAATTGCGCAGCCTATTGAGAGTGCGCGGACCACCCCAAATTAGTAAAAGCGTCCTCGCCGGACGTAGGAGATAGGTAGTCAATGAGATATGGGCGAAGGAGTTGCTTTGCAAAAACACGTTGGTCAGATAATCATTCTTGCTTCCACGATAGGTCTGCGTACCTGTGCTGGGACACTGTTTTCAGGGTTCTTTTGCCGTGTGGGACGGTGAGCGATTGGGCATCGACGTCAACAATGTCCATCATGATCTCGAGCCTGAACCGGTGCACCCGTGAGAGCCGGACTTGATCTCCGATATACACGTTTGGCTTATTCGAACCTACGTCTGAATGAGCACCGAGTCCAAAGGATGCATAGAAAACTTCAAACCGTGTGTGATTTCCGGGCTTATGGCATCGAAGGTGCAGGCCAAGGCTCGTTGGGAAGCTCGGGCCCCATAACCGCGCGTCACGATGTGCGCATCGAGCAATCACAAGGTCTGCAAGAAAGCCGAAGGCAAGTGAGTAGAGAGTAGTCTCTCCGCATGGATTAGCCCCGCGATCGTCAGCACGGCAGCTTCCGATGGGTATTGGCTTGGGCTTTACAACGGGGGGATCAATTTCGTGAGGTCGGGACACGCAATATTACTCCGAGTGGCCGAGCCATATGTACTTCGGCAACATGCTGGGCGTTGCGCACCCAAGATGAACCGACACTAGGATGGACCTCCGTCCGATGGTGACAATGCCCGCAATGCCAAGGACATGAGGGTGGGGTGGGTGCCTTCGTTGCCTTCTGTTCCTCCATCATTCCCAGTCCACCCGTCTAGAGCCCCAATGAATGCCGTAAACCAAAGACTGGTTCCGTTCACTGGCCCTGGAGGGCGAAGCGAAACAGGACCCGACTCGCCATCTCCACCGATGAGGGAACTATAAGACCCGCGTCTCCCGAGGATTGGAGCATGTAATTAAACATTTGAGCGCAGCCATGCACGAGTCGCATACTCGTCGACCAGTTCCGCCTGATTGATCGCGATATGGGGTGTGATGAGTACCAAGTAAGGGGTACTTATGCCCATCAAGGCGTAAAGCAAGATATACCACACCACGTGGGCGCGTTGTGGCATTAGGCTGCTTTCAACGATTGTTTGTATTCTTCTAGGTTGCATGTCCTTTCCTGCATCTAAATCTCCGGCTCTGCTGTTGACTGACCTTTCTCTACACGCAAAATGGGCTTGGCGTGGTATCACCGACTCGTTCAATTGGGTCGTCGTGCATAATCTTGTCATGAGGTGAATCACCCTGAATGTTATATCCGCTTCGCTCTATAGTCCCCGCAACCGTTCCGACCACCCCGGATGTGCTGGCGGATGTCTGGAAGTTCATGTGTGATATCTTGGCTGCATTCTCTCATTGATGATTGTGTAGTGACCCGGAAGTTCGAACGAACGTATTCAAATCACTGCTGTTGAACATACTTTCGCTCGTCTTTATCCACTTCTTCGACCTATTCCTCCATCCCTTGGTCCGAGACAGTCAGGGGTCGAGCTGGGCACATCAAAACTTGGGCGGAGCTTACCAAATCCTCTGGCTTTGTCCCATAGTTGGAGCCTCGGTGTATCTCAACGTGAGTATCCTACTCCGCGTTCATAGGTGGATTGGTACGATCTGCTGAGCCTTGCTATGCTACAAATCCACGTCTCATAGACCGCCTGGTGCAGCCTCCTCTCGAAAAGGACATTCACGGTTTTACATGGTCCTCGCGCTGCGGCAGCGCTGGAGTTCCCAACAATCGGCTCCACGCGCAGAACACGGACATCCGCTGCATTACTGCAGACGGCGTTGATATCGGCGTATCGATGGACTATGATCATGGCAAGCGTGTTATTGGACTTCCTTCTGACGTTCGTGCCATGGATTGGTCGGCCTCTGAGCGTCATCTTCCTGTCTTGGGTCAACTCGTGAGATACTACAATCGGAGCTGCATGCAATTCGTTGAGAACGTGATATATCCAGGTATTACTTCTTCGAGTGAGTGACATGATAAGGACGGTGTGATCGCTGTGCTTAGACATCTGCATACAGATCAGAGTGGATCGGACGTGGCCTTAACCTCCCGGCCCGCGTGCAAAACTTGGAGGAGCGTTGGGCGTACTATCTAGGCTTTGGTACGCACGTTCTGATGACCACGTAAAATGCAGTACTGACTGTCATTATGCGGAATTACTCCGGCGATACACCGCCGTTTAGGTTTCCCGGCGGCCATACTATGCTCGCTCGCCAGCGGCCTGACAAGCCCGGCGTTATTCGCGTTGATTTTCCCATACGTGCGTTGTTCTACCAGCCCGAGTCAGTCTCGGGAACTGATTCGTCCTGCGGTGGGCTCTACCAGTTCGTCATCGTGTCAATGTATTCCCACCCGGGCCCGCCCGACCCGTACAATTCCGCGGCTTCTGCGAACCAGGAGTGGCAAGGCTATGGCAGCAGTTATGGCACCTCCGCTTCGATACTACCTGTGCGCCTCCCGGTGTTTGCAGCCGTGATGTGGGTGCACTATGCCATCATCCGTACCATTGAGGCGATCACCAATACGTTCGGCGTCGACGTGGATATGTCGCCCTTCCTCGCCGAGACTTACGGCGGTGGCTATCCGTACCACCACAACGTGGGCGATAGAGCGGACACCCAACGCAAAGCCGAGAATATGGAGGAGGGCATCGGATATTCCGATTCCGTGGAGCCTGCAATAAATCTCGTCGGAAGGCCGACACCGTCCTCCAGGGTCAGAATCGGGGTGGTTCGACGTAAAGCTGAGTGAAAGGTTGTTTTGCGGTATTGAATGAATGTCGTACGTTACGTTGCGTCCCTGTCCGTTCAATACGAATGAGTTATGTATCAGTTGCAGGGCCGGTAACTTCATCCCCATCATTACTTACGTTGAAATGCTACGTAACATGGATGTGGGCGCGTGCCGATGCTTGAACACCGGGCATAATATGGAGAAACCTGCTCTTCTGATCCAACTCCTATTGCAGATGACAGCTGGTCGTCGCGACCATGTTTGGTCCTCGTTCATCCTCGACTGGATCACAGCTGAGCAAGGTCACTGCATCTGCGTCGGAATTACGATAATCAGTACGATACCTCCGTCTGCACGCCATGCAGGATCATACGGGAGATCGGATGAATATTCGCAAACGGGCAGACCATATCCCAAGTATGGAATGTGGCACGGCCACATCTCGAACCTCAACATTCTTTACTCAGTGCCGTTGAAGGCAGTGCATCCGCGGTGAGTGCGATTTGGCCGGATACGTGTTCAGAAGGAACTCACGCTCAAACATTCCCCAGAAGTTTCGATTATACGTGACGTGCTGGTCTCCCCTTGGCCCATTCGTCCTGGCTATGCTGCTGTGACGACCGTCGGTGAACTACGGGGACCGCCCGACTCACCGACGGACTTCTCTGGGCTACCGACCAACTTAGCACGATCGCCTCAGGCGCGGCGGACTCAACTCGATCGCAAGCATAGGGCAAGACAGGTCCACGTACCGGCGATACAGCTTCGACTTACGCTCCACGACTGCGAAGTGTGGGGATCCCGTATGGCGTGGTAATTCGATCATACAGCCTCCCATCGTTGGTCTCCCCGCTCAGGTGTTGAACTCATTGACTATCTCAATCCACGTTTTCCTGGGCTCGGGTAGCTCTGCGGCCTTCATTATCGGCCGCACACGGTGCTGGGCAACTCTATCAAGCTATCTGCGTCAATACTGGTGCACACAGCGTCATCCCAACCACTCTTGACCTTTCTGCGCAGACGTTTCGTGTCGCAGCAGAGATGCGGACTCACGTCGGGCACTCTTATCGTCGTGGTCGAAAGCTGTCCGTATTCATTGCATCGGATGCGATCCTCGGACGGCGGGAAGCGCTGAGGCGGCTTTAGGTGGAAGCATCCCTTACACGCCGACCGCAGTCGCGATTCCGTAGCATCCCCGCCAACAACGGCCATCGAGTCCCATTAACCGACATGCAGACAAGACAACATCGAAGGGACAGGGCCCTAACCACGCGAGAAGCGCTGCATGTCGAATCGCGCAGATAGGGCGCGCAAGCAGCAAGGGCTTGCCCTACGATGGCGCACAGATGCCACTAACACCATGCGGGACGAGCAGATAGAACATTCGAGGATGCCAATGTATAGGATGGCGGGATGTGAGGTAATGGTTAGCGCCTTGATGCTATACGGATGCATATGGTCAGGTACTCGGTTAGGCGCACCCCACGAGGGTATCAGTGTAGACCCATCTAATCTTCGCAACGAGCACGTAAAAGTCATAGTACGTATGCCTTGTTATGGGGCAACATATTCCGATCTGTGTATGGGACTGGGGCTTTCCGGGATTCGTGAAGCGATCCAGATCAAGCACGGTTGCATCTACTGTCATGCATTTACAAGCAGGCCGGGCGAAGTTCAAAGGCGGTAGCAGTTTCGCATACTGGACAGCGAGCTTGATGAGGGCAATATAACAACGGCGGTCGTTTCCATGGTGATGGGGACTCAAAGTCAGTGCAGGACAGTATGTGCGAGCCTGCGCATTGTGAGTGTACACGGCTCGATGATGATCGCCCGCAGAATCAACTCGAAGTTATACTTGATCATGAGCATGAGGCGGGTCTTGATCCCCTGATTCCGTGCTGATCTCTTCGCGAACTCAGCAACGTCGCGATAGGGCGACTCGCAAGACAACTGAATGATTCCGGGTTCTCGGCAGATGTGGCGAATATACTTTGCGTTCTACCACTTCCACCTAGCTTGTTCAACGCGCCTCACATCCGGGATTGCGAGGCCTGCTGCGACTGTGACTCTTGTCTGTGGATGACGTGGCGAGTTGATGACCAGATAAGCAAGTTCAGACTTTCCGGAGGCTCTCGGCGTTCCTGGTCACGATTGTCCCCTCCGAGCTTCGCTTACGTCATAGAAATCGCAGTAGTCAGTCCCGGTCAGCCCGGTGGTAGCTTGGTGCCGTTTCGGTTCTTTCGCCTATGCTAATGCGGTCAACAAAGTTCACCTTATCATGCATCTTCCATCGACGCGTTGTCGACGCGACATATGCTTGTACTTTGTTTATCCTGCAGACGAGCAGGGCAGTCATACTCTGCGAATGAAGTCATGCGGTGGACAGCTTGGCGCGAGTCCGACTCATCCTAGAGCTGTGCACTTTTGCCAGCGACCCTCACGCGTTACCCTATTTGGCGTGAACTTCCGAGTTCGCCCATCAAAATATCAGCATCAACCGTTCAAACAACCCGTCGCATAGATGTTTCGTGCCCCGCCGCTCCTTGGCCCCAAATATAGCTAGCGGCAGCTTAGCCAGTCAGCGCCGCTCGTATCCGACTCGCAGCCTCGCACTGGCTATACACCAACCAGGTTTCTGGGTCCCTAAGCTGTGCCTCGAAATTACATACCTGGTCTCCAGGGATCTCGGGACGAGAGATACCCAGATACGCTGACGATCTGGTGTCAGCTTCTCGCCAGCTCGACTATTTTCCACCTGCAGCAGCTGTCGCCGAGGTTCCGTTGCATATATAAAGTTGGGCCAGGGCCATATTCACCCAGACAAACCCATCCACTGTACACCACTTCCTCTCCGTTCAACATGCTCGGGATTGCCAAGAACCGCTATACATTCATCTCTAGCATCATCGCTGCCGCCACATGGCCCTTCCACGCCATGTAAGTCTCGTCTTTCATTGACGACCTTCAGCTTCTGATGCCGGCCAAAGATCTCTCGTACTCGGCTTGGAAAGGCTTCCCTTCGATGCTGAACACCATCCATTCGTCGCTCCAAGCAGGAAAGACGGCGACGTACGTTCACCGTGCCCCGCTTTGAACACCATGGCCAACCATGGCTACTTGTACGTCTCCAATCGGCGAATGCTCATTGAGCCTGATCTGACCTCGGTATTAGACCGCACAATGGCAAGGACATCGGTCCTGTCCAGCTGATATCAGGCCTCATGCGATGCTTCGGCCTATCATTCTTCCTCGCCACCTTCCTCACCTGCGGGTCCATGCTCCTCATCGGCCAGTGGCGATTTCTATCCCTGTACGACTACTGCAGGCATAACGGCGTCGAACATGCCGCGTCCCTCGCCCACCCCGACGTTCGCCGCCACGACCCACAGCGCGGCTACGACGAATACGCCCCTTCAGACATGAGTAAAGATCTCTGGAAGAAACTTCTGCAGGATTCTGCAGATGGCCACGTCCTGACGGTGGATGACATCGCCCGAGCCCGCGTCCGCCGGGAGAGAGACACGACCGTCCCGCTCGACCGCGTACACGCTCATATAGCGCGCGGGGAGATCGGCCTCGTGCTCGACATCTTCGGCGGGCCCAAGCGCGAGATTCCAATTCCCGTACTTGAGCAGTGGTGGAAGACGGAGCAGTTCCCGCCGGGATGGAAGCCCACCCGCAAACAGGGCTTCGTGCGAACGGGCGTGACGGGCGAGCTCGTCAAATTCGGGATGGACAGCATAAATGGAATCTATCATCCTGTCATCGATCCGTTTCTCCGCATAGCACGCATATTCAGGTTAATCTAATGTACTTATGGCGAGTTCCCGCGGCTATACACCACTATTCTTATTTACTGTATTGGGTCTACACCACAATTCTATTCTTATTTGCTGCTTAGTCTTATCAGTTCTGATCCAGTTTTTCTTATTTGCTGCTTAGTGTTATCAGCTCTGATCCAGTTTTGGAAGCTAAGTGCGATGGAAATGAGGTCATGAGCGTCTCCGAGCGCTACAAAAGTTGCCCAAGAGCGCTAGCATCGAGTATCAGTACCCCGCCGTTTCCTCGCTATGCAATCCGTTGCTCACAAAATCCTGAAGAATCTTCGCGCCTCGATCATAGTATTCGTTGCGACGCTGTGCGAGAACATTCTCGCTCTGGCACACACCATGTGAGCCGAAGCCTTCCTCCGTATCGCGTCTTGCGTGGGCGAGTGCTCACCTGCAGCCGGTGTACACAGCGCCTTGTCTCTCGGCCTCATTCGAAAACCCCTGCACCTCCAGGCCCACCCGTATAGTCCCGCTGGCAAGGGGGACGCACGATCCCCTTGCCCAGCTCTGAACACTCTCGCCAACCACGGATACTTGTCAGTGATCATGAGATGCCGATATGTGGCGCACTACTGAGAAAACCGATATCGTTAGGCCCCATGACGGACGCGAGATTACACCCCTGCATCTCATCCAGAGTTTGATGCAGGGCTTCAACCTCTCGCCTTTCCTGGCATGCTTCCTCACGTTCGGGTCCTTCTTCCTGATGGGTCAATGGAAGCACATGTCGCTGAGCGACCTCTGCCGGCACAACTGTATCGAGCATGCTGCCTCCATCGTGCACGGCGATCCCAAGAAATACGACCAAGACAGCTGGGCAGAATACGCGCCCGCCCGAATGAGCTTACGCCTCTGGGAGGAGCTCAAGGAGGACGTCAAGGAGAGCACGGACGACGGTTTCCTCGACTTGCAGGACGTAGCCAAAGCGCGGGTCAGACGGGAGGAAGAGGACCAGTGTCCGCTCGATAAGATGCATGCGCACATCGCGCGAGGGGAGATCGGTTTGGTTCTCGATATCTTCGGGGGCCCGAGTCGCCGCGTACCGATGAAGTGGCTGGAGGATTGGTGGATGAACGAAGAATTTCCTTCCGACTTCCATCCGCGTCGCGTACAAACCTTCGCGAGGACGGCGGAGACAGGCCAGTTAGTAAAGAAGGAGATGAAGCGCTTGCGTAAGGAACTGGGTCCTGAAGAGGGCGGGAAGGCGTGAAGGGAATCCTCAAGCAATTTATTCACTTAACTGATGAGAATTAGTGTATCACTCAGCATATGATAAAACGCGCGTTTGCTTACAGTTGGAGCTTAAACCTTCACGAGCCAACAATATTCAACTTCCACCAGCTATCGCCCCATGTAATCGGCTCGTACGAGTTCATTCAGGCGTCTGTTGTTACAAGTGGACCGCAGCATGGTGGAGAGTGCAAGATCAACCCTGAATGAGTCACAGAGGTTGATTCAGTCGTATGTACAGAAGCAACAGAGCGTGGTTGCTCGAATCGCATCATGATTCTGCGCAAGTATCGATGAGGAGACAGAGTTGAGCGCTCGCGTCCCTCGGCCGGTGAGAACGAGGCATGCCGCCGGCTGCAACGGCATGCGATCACATGACACTTTGCGGGCCCAAGCCGCAACACCTATAATGCGGCCCTTCGACATCGTCCGCTATGGCCTCCCAGCAGCAGACTCGGGGTGACAATATCTCCCGAGTGTCAACCGCGCGATCTGAGGCCATCGGCGAAGAGGCTCCGCCCAAAACCGACATCGACAGTTTCACTCAGGAGAGCCCTCCTACGCAAGGCGCGGTGGACATCCCGCCTAACGGAGGTTACGGCTGGCTTTGTTGCGCAGCAACATTTTGGATCAACGCCCATACATGGGGTGTCAATAGTGTGAGCTCTTTCCTTCCTTTCTCCGTCTGAACCACGACGAATCGAAGTGACTGAACTTCTGACATACGGCAGGCTTACGGAGTTTTCCTCGCCCACTACCTGAGTAGCAACTTCTTCCCCGGGGCGTCGACTCTCGACTTTGCCTTTGTAGGCGGATTATCCATCTCGCAGGCAATGCTCATATCGCCTCTCGCGACGATCACTACCCGTCGCTTCGGCACCCGCACCACGCTCCTCGTCGGCGTTTTCTTCGAGACACTATCCCTCATCGGCGCGTCCTTCGCTAAGCAGATCTGGCAGCTCTTTCTCAGCCAGGGCGTATGCTTCGGATGGGGCATGGGCTTCCTTTTTGTGGGCTCTGTCGGCGTTGTCCCGCAGTGGTTCACCACCCGCCGCAGCTTTGCGAACGGGATCGCCGCGTCCGGCTCGGGCGTCGGCGGCCTCACCTACTCTCTCGCGACGAACGCTATGATTCAGCATATCGGCCTCCCCTGGGCGTTTCGCGTGCTCGGCATATGCGCTTTCACCGTGAACACCATCTGCGCTTTGCTGATCAAGGACCGGAACAAGCACGTTGGCGCGTCCGTGCGCGGCTTCGACGTTGCACTCTTCCGTCGACGCGAGTTCCTCGCGCTGCTCGCGTTTGGCTTCCTCAGCATGCTCGGATACATCGTCCTCCTGTTCTCGCTCCCCAATTACGCAAGCTCAATCGGCCTCTCCGCGCACCAGGGCAGCGTGGTCGGTGCGCTGCTCAACCTCGGCCAGGCCATGGGCCGCCCGCCGATCGGATATTTCTCCGACTCGGTGGGCCGGATCAACATGGCGGCGATCATGACGCTGCTCGCGGGCGTGTTCTCGCTCGTGGTGTGGACGAACGCGGTCGATTACGGCGTCACGCTGTTTTTCGCCTTGATTGGCGGAACAGTCGCGGGGACGTATTGGGCGATCATCGCGCCAGTCACGGCGGAGGTGATGGGCCTCGTGGACTTGCCCGCATCGCTGAGCATAACGTGGGTGGTAATATCAGTGCCCACGACGTTTTCGGAGGCCATCGCGCTGCAGATCACACAATCGAATGGAGGGAACTATCTAGGCGCACAGTTGTTCACGGGATTCATGTACGTGGGAGCAGCGGCGATAATGTGGTGGGTGAGGGTGTGGAAACTCGAAGAGTTGGAGAGGGAGGAGAGGGAGGCGGCTGAGGGGACGAAGATAGAGAAGACGGGGTCATCGGGGATGACGATTGAGAGGGGGGAAACAAGCTACTGGAGGAAATGGAAAATGATAACGAAAGTATAATGGTGTCTATAGATTATCGATTATCGTCTACATAGTAACATCAACCTCACTCTCAAGCTTGTACCTGCAATCGGACAGGGGCGGGAACCATCGACAACGGGATCGAAAAAATGCTCAGATAGCTTGTGCATACGTGCGGCACGGGCCTCTAGTTCTATCACCGCCCAGATTGATCTACCGGGCTCTGCTAAAGACCGAATCCTGAATCCACGCTTCATCCTTCTTATCGTTCTCCCGCTTATTCGGCGTGTGCTCCCCAATGAATCCCACCATCCATTCATGAAAACGAGAAGGGGGGATGGGGCTCCCTTGACCTCTAACCATCACCATGGCGAGGTTTCCCACGCTTTCGGGCTGGGAGGGGATGGGGGGGACGCGTTCCACCCCACAGGCGACAACCTGGCTATGAAAATATGGAATGTATAATAGGCACCATTAATGAATATCACCGAAAACCTTCCCCCTAGGAAGGGTACGAGGTGGATGCGCCGACTGCAAAGCGGATGACGGACCAGCGAGGAGAGAGCCGGGCGACGCCGAGAACACAGCCACGCACGGATGACCCGCCGAAGACAAACTAAGGCCTAGAAGGCGGAGAAATAAACGGACAAGAGAGAACCCAGGGATGAAATGGACGACGCAAGTCCAAGGAAACTAACGCTAGACCAAAGCAAGACAGAGCCGAGACCAAACGGAATTCAGCCAAGCGAACGCAGTAGTGCTGAACCGCTTAACGCCAGCGCGATCAGAGCGCCTGAGATATAGTCCTCCAAAACGTAATAGAACCCACTACAAAAGCCAATATACGATAACGGCAAAACTCAGTGGATATATAAAGTGAACGCATAGCGCCTCCAACACCCCCGCAACCCACCATGCCTAAGGACGAGCCACACGTCAGTATGAACATCGTCCCCTGGAACCTCATGTCGCACCTCTCAACCATGCTAGACCGAGACCAGGACGACTGTAAGCAACAACCCTAGACCCTAGTGAACAAACTAACCAGTCGAGCAGACAGAGCAAAACAAAGCATCGACTACATAGCGGCCTCTGCCCGCATTCAGTGCGCACGGGTGTGCAAACACATGGTATGAGACTCTCCGCGAAATTCCGAGGAGTGTCTCATAATCCGCCTATCAGCGAGGAGAGCCGGGAGCGAAAGAGCAACCGGTGGAGAATACCGACCCACCTGGAAGCCCGGAGGCCAAGACCAAACCCGATCCCCCCCGAACGGCGAAATCCATGGTGACCCGGTTCAGAAGCCGAATGCACGCAAGAACGAAGTCGGAACCGCGGCCTGGCGCTGAGAGCGGGAGAGAGAAGATGCCACGAGCAATGGAGATGATGGGACCGTAATATACAACGTATCGTAGACGATAGAGACCAAAATAACCTCCCCGGACCAGATGGGCCCCGAATGAGTTAAGAGAACGTAGAGGACAAGTAAGAGACCTGCCACCCCGCCCGCCCAAGAACGAACCGCCCCGCTGACTGAACCTTGCTAAACATGCCCCCCGAACCGACAAGCAATGTGGCAAAGTCGGCAACTCTCGCGAGCATGAACAAAACGGGAAAAGCTACCGGACGCGGTATGATACCCAGATGCGATACAGGAACAAGACCTAACCCCACCGTAGGACGCGGGAAAGCCAAGAACGTGGATGACGATGGCGCGATTGCAGTCGATGGCATTCCGGGGCACGACAATCAGTACGCCCTCCTTGACGAGGAGAACCCCCTCAATCTGGAACCGGCGAAGAGCAGCGGAAATAACGGAAAGAGACACAAATCTGTGAAGGACGTCGGTAAGTTTAAGACCCAAGCAACGAAACAACTGAAAACAAACCAATCCCAGCGAACGCGATCAGGGAGGCCAAAGCGGCCCTGGCGAAGAGCGCAGCTGAGGGAATCACCGGGGACGACCTCGCAATTGTTATCGACACGGCCCCTAGCACACTCCCTTCCCTTAACGAAACGGACGGGACAAACGGAACGCCCGCTACGGCCGACCCTGGCCTAACGTCGACTACGGATGCCCAGCCCCCCACCGGAGGCGTCAATGACACCGCTGCCCCCAACCCGACCGTCGCCCACACCCCCCACCTGGCTGAGCACCCCGGCGTCCTAGACGCCACTGCCCGCACCGGAGATGACGCCCCCACTGCCGCAGCCAGCCAAGCGATCGAAGGGAATACTCCAGTGCCCATTACCGCGATGAACCTGAACACCGCGCCGAATGGCCCGGAAACCGCAGGCCTGGCCCAGAACATCCCCGGCAAGGCCCGCGTCACCCTGATGCCCCACCCCGCTGAGCTGCACGAGGACAAGAGACAGACTCACGCACTCACAGAAGAGGCTACCGTCGCGCACGTCAACCCCAAGACGCAGGACGTGCAGATGTCGGCACCAGAGGACCCCTCGATCGAAGAAGAGCCCCCATTCATTCTAGTCGGTACACCCCGGAAGGCGATCCCCCCCCCATCCCGTGAAACGACGCTCCTCCACGAGGAGAAGAAAGTACGCCAACAGACGGAGGAGAACGACGCGGAACGACGCCGTCAGGAGATCGCGCTCCTCGTCTCGTCGTCCATAGCGAAAGGACCGTCGGGCTCCCTGGACTCGGACAAGATTGTTGACATCGACGTATCACGAGACAACGACCTTCCCCCGCCTCCCCCGGATAGTATTCCGGAGGGAAAGCTGGCCATCATCGGCGACCAACTCCTCGCGAACCGCGCATACGCGGCGGTGGCAAAAAGTCACCCGCAACGCCCTGAGGTACAACTCGCCCCGGTCCCGCCGAGCGGATGGACCGCGCCGCAGATGCGGTACCGGCTGCAGCAGCTGGAAGACATCGAGGAGGAACAAGTTAAATACTGGGCGGAGAACGACGAGCACTTCGGGAACAACGTACTCGTGACCGTCTTCGACAGACTTAACCTGACGGCGGACGAAGCTCAGGACGTCTTTGGGGAAGTGCGCGCAACCGTCCAAGCCTTCCTCCGAGAAGGGGCACCCCTCCGAATCATCCTACCTGTCGCGGCGAACAAACGGCAGCCGCGCACGGGGCTCCTTTCCTCTCTTACGACTGAGGATAAAGCCCTCATCCTAGCGCAGGGAGTCTTCGCCACGGCCGACATCGCCTTCTTCACGTTCACCTTCGACGATGTGGTCGTAAACCCATCGTTCTACATGACTCTCAAAGGCCCCATCGATGCAGATGAAGGGCTGATGCTGTACGCGATACAGGTCGCTCTCGCAGAGAAAGCATCGGACATAGTAGCTGCCCTCGGAATGGACCCCAAAGACAGGAAAGCGATCGGACAGGTAAATAGCTTCCTGCAGAACCTCAAGTGTCGGATTCTCCCCTTCCTCGCGCCGAAAGGCCGCCCGCAACCCCGCTACAACATATATGGACCCATCATTAACTCGGCACTCCCGTGCGCGTACCGGGACGTCCAAGCCATCATGAGGACGACGAACTTCTGGCACGCACAAGTCGGACCGGTAGACGAAATTATCATGGACCCCTGCACCTTCTGCTATGGCGCCGACCACGTATACGGGCTGTGCCCGATAAGGGCCCAAATTCCCCAAGGTTTCCTCGGCTCGACGAAGAACACGTCGCCGCGCGCCCAGGACTACGGGCGCAGAGGCGGAGGAACTTCCCGAGGTGCCTTCAGAGGCAGAGGGCGCGGACGGGCGACATAGATATGTAAACGAGACGCACAACTATAACGAGAACGTTACGAAACTTAGATGTCAGTATGATACGAGACTCCCCGATGACCTAGAAATAAAGCCGCTTGGTTCGGCACCTTAAAAGAGGCTCGGGACTCATAGGGACGTGCCAGCCGACCGTGGTGCGATCCCCTCTGGCGGAACCCGCCTAATATACAGCTCCTCCCCCCGGGGAGGAGGACTGATGGCGGAGACCCCTTCACGGTCGGTGATTTGACAAAGTGTCAGCGGAGACCTATTCAGGTCGGACGAGCCGCGCGTGGAAGCTTAAGTCGAGAGGAAACTCAGACGAACGCCCGAGTGTTCACCCGAGCGAAATCTCGACATAGTCCATGTCCGTGGAAGGCCGGACGATAATAGCCTTCCCCCGACGCTCCTAAGGCAAGGCGCGTACACGGGATGATTGCCTACTGCAAACCCCACCTTCTCCACCCTTTCCCCCCATCTAGCGGGGCACACGGTCTTAAACCCTGGTACTGGTTCGCGGGCCCTGACGAGCGGAGGCATGGCGCCCCCAACCGCCGAGCGCAACGCCGATGACACTCCTAGGGTTTTCGGAGGCGGAGCCGCGAACACGGCAACGGCTAACCCCGACCCAGCCAAAACGAGCCCGAAAACGGCAAGACGAGCACACCTAAAAATCGCAACCCTGAACATGAACGGGCACTCAGAACAGGGTGGAACCCGACTAAATAAGTGGAATGACTTACATGCAATGATGCGAGAAGAGAAGATCGCTGTCCTTGCGCTGCAGGAAACTCATCTGAAGGAGGAACAATGTGAATCCCTACGAAACATGTACGGGAAACGACTCTGGATTCATAACTCACCGGACCCAGATCGAGCGTCCAACTCAGCCGGAGTAGCTTTTGTGCTCAACAGGGACCTGGTAAGCACAGCCAACTGCGAAACGAAAGTGATCGAGGAGGGACGGGCAACGGCCCTGACACTACGATGGCACGACCGAGACACAGTCACTATAGTGAATGTGTACGCACCGAACGAATCGGGCCGTCACGCGGCCTTCTGGAACGGAATTAGAGACGCGAGAAGACAAGGTATAATACCCAAGGTGGACATACTTTTAGGCGACTTTAATGTCGTGGAAGATGATGTAGACAGGGCTCCACCAAGGAAGGAGCTGGAAAATGCCGTAACGGCCCTGCGCGAATGCCGACAAGCGCTGAATATACACGACGTGTGGCGGGAAGAATACCCCTCCTCGAGAAACTATACATACATCAGCAAAGCAACGGGCTCGATGTCGCGACTAGACAGAATGTACATAGCGGAGGATAGAAGGAAAGACGTATATGAATGGTGCTGTCAAACCGCGAATGTCAAGTCTGACCACCGGATAGTCTGGATGAAGTACGCACCAACGGCAATGCCCTATAATGGGTCAGGCAGGTGGACTTGGCCTCTGGGATTTGTGAACGAATGGCACGCGATTGCAGCGATTGAAGCGCGAGGAATGAGACTCCAGGACGAGCTCAGGAACCTGAAAAACGAGCAACGATCACCGGAGAAGAACGCGCAAACTCTGTGGAAAGCTTTCAAAGAAGATATGATAACCACCGGGGCGTTGATCACAGGCGCCGTCATGTCGCGAACGAGACGGAAAATAGCAACCTGGGAGACCATCCTACAAATCGAAATGGAGAAGGAGGGGATAGATCGCATAGACGACGAAGAGCCACGGCGGAATGTCGCCGTGCTAGAAGAGAAAGTAAGCCGGCTACGAGCTAAGGTGAGGAAGGACGCGAAACGAACCAGGCAGGCGAGATGGATGAAAGATGGAGAGACAGTCTCGAAATACTGGACATCCATCAATATGGAGAAAAAGCCACGGGAACTAATGATGAGACTGCGGAAGCTAGATAGGCCCGACCAATACGTGCTCCGCACGGACAGGATGGCCAAGATAGCAAGAGATCACCATGAACGAATCCAAAGCGACCACGAGAAGGAAGCGTGGAGCCCTGGCACACACGACGAATTCATCGAGAGGACACTCACCTCAATTCCGGATGAGAGACGGCTCCCCGAGAATGCACGAGAAGTAATGGAAGAACCCCTGGGGGAACACCATGTGAGAGAAGCCCTGAGAACCTCCAAGAACGGGAAGGCGACAGGATTGGACGGGGTCCCATACGAAGTATGGAAAACGCTAGACGAGAGACACCAAGAAAAAAACAAAGCACAGGTGGAATCTTTCAACGTACTAGCAGCGATGACAATCGTATTTAACGACATCCAAGAATATGGAATCGACGAAAATTCAACGTTCACGGAGGGCTGGATGTGCCCAATATACAAAAAGGGCGACAAGTCAGACATAGCGAACTACCGCCCCATAACACTCCTGAACACCGATTACAAAATACTCACGAAGGCTCTAGCGATGCAGCTAGCAGAGGTCGTCGGCCGAATGGTGCACAAGGACCAGGCCGGTTTCGTCCCAGGCCGGTCCATCTTCAACCAAGTGCGGCTGTCCCAGATAATGGTACGATATGCCGAAGCGATGGAGGAAAACGGGGTGATTGTAGCACTAGACCAGGAGAAAGCGTACGACAAAATTGACCACTCATACCTGTGGGCAACCCTAAGAGCATTCAATATGCCTGAGAGATTCATAAACACAGTGAAGGCCCTGTATGCGAAAGCAGAGACCAAGGTAATGATTAACGGCACCTTCAGTGAACCCTTCAGGGTGACGAGAGGCGTGCGGCAAGGGGACCCCCTATCATGCCTACTTTTCGACCTTGCGATTGAGCCCCTAGCTAACATGCTGCGGTCGGACCCGAGACTATGCGGATTCAAAATCCCGGGTGAGGTTGAGAGGATCCTAGTCGCCCTGTTCGCCGATGACACAACGGTTTACCTATCTGAGAATGATAAGTACTGCGACCTTTTAGACGTACTGGAAACGTGGTGCAAAGCCTCGCGGGCACGATTCAACAAAAATAAGACCGAAATCATACCGATTGGGACGAAAGAGTACCGAGACAAGGTGCGAAGAACGCGCTCCCTGAACGGAACCGAAGCCGACATACCGGAAGATGTGGAAATCTTGAAAGATGGCCAAGCAACCAGGCTGCTCGGCGCGTGGGTTGGCAACGGGATTGACCAAGCGGCCGTATGGACGGACACGGTAAGGAAAGTTGACAAAGAACTTCGGAGGTGGCACACGGCAAAACCAACGCTGCATGCGAAAGCTCTGGTTGTGCAAATGACAGTAGGCGGCCTAACACAGTACAAAACACGGGTCCAAGGAATGCCAAACTCGATACAAGAGGAACTGAATAAGAGCATTAGGAAGTTCATATGGGGTGAAGGACGCGGCTCACCGATTGCGATGGCGGAGCTACAGAGGCAGCGACACGAAGGAGGGATAGACCTCCTGAACCTACAGGCAAGGAACGATGCGATATGGCTGGTCTGGCTCCGGGAATACCTGGCGAGTCATGAGAAACGACCGAGGTGGGCGTGCCTAGTTGACATAATGATCAACAACGTAGCCCCTGGTGGACTTGACTCCTACGACAAAGTAAATGTATTCGTACAGGCGTGGTCGGTGCCAACGCGTGGCCCGAATGCGGAGAAATTACCGAGAGAAATAACTGGGATGCTGAAGGCGGCGAAGAAGTATGAAGTGACCTTTGACGCGATACGAATAGCGGACTCTGTGAAGGGAAGCATGCCGGCATGGTGCCAGTTAGGTGCACCACGGTGGACGTACCACAAGGGAAAAGACAAGTGCCTAAAAACGAGACATGAAGTAGAGACTGTAAAGAACATGCTTGACATGGCCCGCAGACTGGAGAGCATCCAGCACTCGCACCACGGGGTATGCCAATGCGACAAATGCACGTCTGACCGAGAAAAGGGATGTAAGGACCCAAATAGATGTTGCGAACGGGCACGAACCATACTAGATCGCATCGCATCCCGTTTCTCCACGAGACGGAACGACCAAGGGGATGGCTTAACGCTTACACACACGCGCAAGGAAAAAAACGAACAAGAGAGAGGGAGAAGAGGCACAATACGCTTCGACCCATCGGTGTCCCTGAAGACGTGCTGGAACGATGGGATTAGAGTCTTTGCTGGAGAACAAGATGTAGCGAGATCACCTGCGACGAGACTAAGCAGGCCCGCGAGAGGGAGAGTTGCGCCAGACGAGGCAACGGTGATATATACGGACGGGTCGTGCGAGAAGAACGGGACTTTGGAAGCGGTTTGTGGGAGCGGAATATGGATCCCGGACGTGCCGGGCGCGAGTAAAGCTATCAAGGTCCCAGGGAACGAACACTCCAACCAGAGAGGGGAGATCGTGGCCGTTCTAGTAGCCCTCCAGACAACGGCGCCTTTCGAACACATCCTGTTCAAAACAGACTCAATGTACGTGATAGAGGGCTTAACAAGACACCTAGCGAAATGGGAGGACATAGGCTGGATAGAGATAAAGAATGCTGACCTATTCAAGGCAACGGCCTTCCACCTGAGGAGACGGTCCGCGCCAACAGACTTCCTATGGGTCAAAGGACACTCAGGCGAGGAAGGGAATGAAATGGCAGACGCACTAGCCCGGGAAGGAGTAATGAAACAGATTGCGGATGATATCGATCTCGGAGTGCCGGCGGAATTTGACCTCCGTGGAGCACGCCTAGCGTCCATGTCGCAGTCCCTCCTATACCGGGGGATAATGAACAGACAAGGTCCAACAGGTGTACGGAGAGCAGCCCTAGCTCCACTTGACATGGCAAGACACGCAATAGCAGACCTAAACGGATCCATGCTCAGCGACGAAGCGCTATGGATGTCGACACGACGCAAAGACCTACGGACACCCATTAGGCAATTTCTGTTTCGCGCCCTGCATAACTCCCACCGCATAGGAGGGTTCTGGAGGAATATCCCAGGGTATGCTGAACGTGAGAAATGTGCATACTGCGGCGAGGAGGAATCGATGGAGCACATCATGATTGAATGCGAACGGAGTAGATGTATGATAATATGGGACCTAGTGAAGGATGCATGGCCCGAAGGAAGGGGCCCACTCCCACGGATAACTTTAGGCCTAATACTGGGATGTGGCGCACTACAGATCAACGTTGAGGACCAACAGTCAAAACGTGAGCGGCCAGCGCAGGGCCGATCGCGGCTATTGCGGATCCTAATATCGGAATCGGCGTACCTAGTGTGGGTACTAAGATGTGAACACACGATGGGAGGAAGATCTCACACCCCCCAAGAAGTACAGCGACGCTGGGCCAATGCCATCCAAAGACGGCTGGAAGCAGACCAGGCCACGGCATCGAAGATAATCCGGACACCATCTTACTCAAGGAAGGTGCAGGGAACTTGGACGGGACTGCTCGCTGAAGAGCAAGCACTCCCAGAACATTGGGCTAAAAGCCTGGAGGTTTTAGTGGGTATTAAGCTGCCTAGGCTCCGACGACAGGAACACCCTAGGTAGTGCACGAGCCCCACTCGCCCTGGAGTTCCCCGGGGGTTGTGGTATTGAGCATTTTTCCTCGGACCGGGCCTCATGAGGTCCGCTATTGTAGGAGTAGCTTATTTAGGGTCAGACACGCTTGTCGATTGCTGAATAAGATTATCTGCTCGTCCAAAAAAAAAAAAAAAAACGAGAAGGGGGTCACCATCGCGACCATATCAAGTTTCTCCGTGCAGATCATCTAAGATCGCATGAGGCAAACACAGTTATGTTTGCCCGGCGGCGTAGGACACTGCAAAGCGCTGTCGATGATGGATTCATTTGTGGTTGTAGACGGCGCTGACCATGTACCAGGTGAAGTTTGATGATGTTCAGAACCCACGAATGCTTATGTCGTGATCCTGTGCAGATCACCAGGCACCCGGCCTACACAAGGACTCGACATAAGTTCTACATCCGGGGACGTTGAAGCGCCGCCGTGTACCCACACTACAGGCCATAACATTCCTGCGATGAGAATGCAGACCAGAACGGGATCGGGGAGATAATCCCAGCCCCACGGTTTTCCCGACGAAAAGACATAACTTCTCGGTGTACTCGGAATCACAAAGGCGATACACATATAGTCACCCAACTCCTCCTAAGCGATGTCTTTCGGTGCGAGGGTTACAGCGTACGATTAACATTGGGTTCTGCGAGGAGGTTGCCAGACCGACCAGCGCCGACCAAGTTCTCTCAAACAGATCATGTGGCACCGGGAGAGGGACGGTGAGAATTTTGTATGCTCATCCTCCTGCAACTCGGACGCGCAGGTAAACGCAGGCGCGGGCGAAGGTAGCGTTGAGCGGGATCACTAGGCGTGGGTTACGGAGAGTAGTTGATAGGAGCCTCATACAAACGCAGGTCGCGGAAATGCGGCAGCGGTGCCGGCCCTATGCAGGGCATGCCGATATTTGCATGGAGACGAGTGGCGGCAGGTCACAACGAGATACCAAGGGGCGAGGGTCATGATAGTCGTGTTCGTGGATTCTAGGGGAGGCGCTGGTCGCGAGCATGGAGAGACCGTGATGGTGTCCGAACCAGGGCATCTATGGCACTGAGCGGCTAAGGCCTTGGCTGTGCCCTTCGTCTCGAGGTGAGATACGACGACTGCTTTCGCGCAAGTGCGGGATACCCGATGACCTAAGGTCGTGCCGTCGCAACGGCGGGCGCGTTGCTGGCTTCAGCAGGGAAAGCTGCTCACTTCGACTACTCTCGATACGAAACGAGATGGTTTTGAATACTTCGAGACAGCGATAAGAGGTAGACAGTCTATACTCGAAGCCATACAAATCCGCTAGGCAGTACTAGTCTGCACTGTGGGCTCCACTGCTATCTACGCCGATAGAGTGACTTGTCCATGCGACACTCCTGGATACAGGCAGCGTAATACAGATTCAGGCTCCACAGTTTGCGCTGGACGCCTCTGCATAGCGAAGAACGGGCAGAAATCGTCATGAAGCTGACAGGGCCGGAGGAACGTTAAACTGATATAGAACGGGCTTCAATGGGCACGTGTACATAGAGTACAACGGCGGTCTGTGGCGGTCGATTGTGATTTAAATTGTTTGCTACATACTTGAGAGCAGCAATGTAAATATGCAATAGGACTGGTGGTTTATGCGGCGCAGTTTCGTTTGTGGTGCATGACTCGGGTAAGTATCGGACGCCGGACGGTACCATGACACGTCACCGGTCACTCCTGATAACGGAATGGGATAAAGCATGTTATTGGCAAACACTGCTACTGACGAGGCCCGAGCTCATGTAGCGGTATAGATAGAATTCATGAGTTGGACAGACAGCATCTGGATTAATGCATATCCTATAATATGTGGCCGCAGGACCGGGAACCGCCCGAACGAATCCAGAAACCAAGGTTTGATTTTGCAGCATGAGTCCTGCGCCCTTAGGAAGCACAACTGCATCGTCCCAGATAGCGCTTCGCATGTCTCAATAGGCAACACATCACTGCACCAGGCCTGCTTCGGGTGTCCATCTGTAAAGCGCGGACTCGAGCAAGGAGTTCTGGACACCGTAGTCACTCGGCAGACGGGAGATGCTATACAGATCGAATTGAGATTACGCGGTAGCGACGCCGGCGGGCGAAGGCCGAGATGTCCGCGTCGGGGCTAGGGAGCGCGCCTATGTAGTGCTCGACATGATGATCGCGAGCTGCGGGTGCGCATACTTCAGCTATCCATACCGATCCCATAGGAAATACTTACGGACGACTGAGGACGCCGCAGCATGCTAGGTCTTTTCCGTATTCGGACGAACGAGACCTTTTTGATGCCGAGTATCTGAACCACCGCTGACGTCACTTCCCGCGATTTTTGGGAGGTCTCGGACCCTCGGAGAGATCGAGAGGCCGATCAGGGCGTCGTTATGCTGCCGGCATGCCCCAGTTGGGAATAAGGGGCAGAGAGCCAACCTGGAGAATACGGGGAAGGAGGGGCACGTCGAGGACGGCCGGGCCCATGAGCAACGTGAAGACGGGTGTTTTCGTGGACGAGTTTGTATGTGGATGGTAGGCGTGTAGAGTCGAGATCCGTCGGGTCCGATTGCGTGAGGGTTCGAATCTTCGATCTTCTGAGACTGGGCTCAGAGGCCGTCTGAGTCTCGTCTGACGGGATGACGTCGAGGTATTCAGCCTGCTTCGTTAGGAGCCTCTGGACGCGCTCCTGGAGCACGAGCGCGCCCGTATGACTGGCATGATCGTGACTTTCGCTACCGTGAGCGTTCGCCGCGACGCGTAGACCACCTTCGACCGGAGTGTATACGGATTATCCAGTGTAATATGACGGCAAAGTCGAGCACAAAGCACCCAGCTCGTCATCGTGGAGTTAGCAACCACCAAGGTCGCGCGGATATCATGGGCGCTATGAGCGCATGACAGGTCGGCCACCGCACGTGACGCCGACGCCATGGCAGATTTGAACCGCGACCAAATAGCGCGTAAACAAATCGAGCCCGTCGTCTCGTCCACCCATGTCGTCCGCAAATTAAGGGCGACCGAGAGTCAAGGCCACGACCGTCGCGACATTATACTCGCACATTCGGGATACCGAGTGTTATTTTTCCAGTACGTGTGTGTTCTACCGCTTCGCAGGGACGGAGCGTGGCCGAGGTCGGCGGTGGCCCCACAGGTGCCCACCGTTGCAGCGCCTCCCCGCCCTTGTTGAATTCCCCTCGAAACCCGCGCCTCGTGTTTTCCCCGACGTTGTCCTTTCGCGTTCAGCACGACCAGCGACACTCACCTCCCGTCTTTTCCCCTTTCTCTAGGCGCGGCCTCCTCCGTCAGTCCGCTCGTTACTTACGAAGGTGAGGCCGGCCCTCCTCGTCTCTACGTCGCTTGCGCTTCGGCCACACGCGCCCGCGTGGCTTCCGCAACCATCTTGGGCGGACAATGGCGAACCTACGGCCAGCGGCCAGCGCAACAACCCCCTCCAACTCCGAAACACTGCCACGAGCGTCCCGGCCGTGGTTCGTATTCGATCTGAGGCTGACCTTTTTCATTGTCTGTAGCCGCACCCCCGATTCCCGATTCGTTCGACAGGAGACCATCTAATCTTGCGGTCCGTTCCTTCTTTCTCCAACCACGCCTCCGGGTGGCTTGCGAGTTCGTCTTTACTGACGTCCCGTGATATGTTCGTTCTATATATCCTGTAACGTTCTCCGCACCTTCGTCCTCAACTTGCACGGACATCGTTGTCGTCGGCGCACGTTCTTGTATTCACCACCCACGACGCGACACGAACCTCAACACTGTATCGCTATCCACATCTTGTTGCAACAACTATACTCGACCGTCACCCTATACCAAATCAAAATCAAACCAACACCGCAATGGCTCCTCGATTCGACCGACGTCCAACAGCCTTCCACCCGTTCAAGCGACAGAAGCGATCACCCACCCCGAACGACACCGAGAACGACTACATGGCCTTCCTCCCACCGACTGCGACCGTTTCACAATTTCTTCAAGCCCCGTCCGCACCGGGCCGTAAACCGCTCAACCGCCCGCGAGACGCCGTCGACGACTTTCTCTCCTCCGACCTTGAAATGTCCTTCGCGTCCACCATGTCTCTCCATTCCTCGTCCTCGTCCCCTTGCGGCGAGGCCATGGACATTTCTCCCGCGCCGTCGAACAAGATTGGCAAACCGCTGTTCGACGACGACGTGGTGGCGAAGATGGCCGGCCGGCCGCGCTCGTTCACAAGCAACGGACGGCTGTTTGGTACGGACGTCTCCAACGGTGGCGTGAACCCACCCAACAACAACGACAATGCGAAGAACAGCACGAACAACTCTATCAGCAACCGCAAGCTCGCCCGACCCGGACTACCCACCGAATGGTTCTCGCCTTCGCCAACCGGCAACCGTCTCCGCTCGCACACCTTCGCCGAGGGAGTAAGTATTACCCACCGATGCCTCACTTGTGTCAGAGACTGATATTGCCCTGTAGATCACCCCACCTACTCCGAGTGACTGCGGTATGGACGTCGACTCCGAGTTCGGTTTCGATCAGCCCGCGGTGCCGCTCTCCGCCGCGCCGACGATTACCGCCTTCCAGGACCTCTCCTCGCCTGCGCCCGCGACGGCGCACCCGCTCGTCTCGCACTTCCGCGACCTCTCGTCGCCCATGGCCCAGCGTGACTACGACGACGATCAGCAACAGCAGCCCGGAAAGGGGTCTGACTTCGGCAACTTCTTCTACGAAAGCTCGTCTCCGCACTCGCACCGCCAACGCCGCAGCCTCGACTCCCCTGCAGGCCCCTTCGTCGCCCGAAAGCGCCGCTCGGCCTCGCCTGAGCCGGCGGAATACGGCTCCGTCCTAGCAGGGCTCGACGCCGACGACCATTCGTCCTCGCCCGCGCCCTCCTCACCGATGCAGCGCAAGCTCGAGCGCATCACGAGCAACCCGCTTTTGAACAAGTTCATGCGCTCCGCCGTCGACAGCTCGCCCGAGGCGGCCTACCACCAGGACGACCTCGGCTCCCCGCTCAACCTCCTCCAGAAGCGCCCCCGCCGCCCTGCTCTCTCCGTCTTGTATGACGGCCAAAGCGCGCACTCGGCCTACCCGATGCTCAAGGCCGCCAGCGCGCACCCCGAGCTCCAGCAGCAGCCCCGCCGCCCATCCGCCGCGCTCCCCCCGCCGCGTCGCGCCTTCTCCGCGATGATGCCCCCGACTGTCTTCGGCCAGCAGCAGCACCGCCTCGAGGATATCCCGGCCTCGCCCGCGGACGAGGCCAACTCGTCCTTCGGCGACGGCTCGTTCGGCGACATGTCGAGCCCCGCGCAGGCGTACGCGAAGCGCGCGCAGATGAAGACGATCCGCCGTTGTGATGGCACGGAGGACTTCCGGCCGCTTACGGGCGCGAGCGCGCTCGTCAGGCGCGACGAGCAGCAGCAGCACCAGGCCATGATGGCGAGCCCCGGCAGCCGGATGCTCATGTCGCCCGGCCTGCCCGGGTTCGGCGACAACGAGGCGCACGGGAAGATTCTGCCCTGCCACCGCGTCAAGGAGGATGGTTTGATGCGGATCGTACCCCAGACGCTGAACGATTTGCTCGATGGACGGTACGACGCGCGCGTGGCAAGGTTCTTCGTGATCGACTGCCGGTTCGACTACGAGTACGAGGGTGGACACGTGCCCGGCGCGGTGAACATCAATACGACGGCTGGCGTCGAGGAATTTTTACTCGCGCAGGCCAAAGCGAAGCCGTCGCCGTGCACGAGCGGGGATACCTCGAAGAAGACGGTGCTCGTGTTCCACTGCGAGTTCAGCGCGAAGCGTGCGCCGACATTGTAAGTGACCTCCTTTTCGGTTGGTGTGGTGTCTCTTGGGGCGTGGCTGAACTCGAGTTTGTAACGCAAAGTGCAAAGCACCTGCGTTCGAAGGACCGGGCGATGAATAACCACAACTACCCCAAGATCCACTACCCGGAGGTATACATCCTCGAGGGCGGCTACTGCGAGTACTACAAGCAGATGGCGCACCGCTGCCAGCCGAGCGGTTACGTGCGCATGGATGATCCCTCCCACGCCCAGTCGCGCAAGGAGGACCTCGACCAGTTCCGCAAGGCCAAGTTTGGCCGGACCAAGTCGTACGCGTACGGCGACTCGCTCCTCGCGTCCAAGGCTCTCACCTCCGGGGCAGCGCCGGCGAAGGTCGGGTCCGGGAAGGAGAAGAGGAACACGGCGCCAGCGGGCGGTGCGCCGAGCGTGTTCGCGGCGGCGAATGTGGCGCGGACGAGGAGGGGAGGCGCGCTGGCGACGCTCGCGGAGACGGCCGGCGGTCTGGACGGCGGCGAGACGACGGAGACGGAGGACGAGACCGATTTTGGGGATAGTCCGTGCCCTGCGCCTGGCAAGAACGCAGGCGTACCCTTCGTGGTCAAGAAGGCCGGCAGAGCGCCATTGTTGCGCGCGGAGACGGCGGGGCGGTTCGGCTATTAACCTCCGTGGCGGTTTCCTCAAACGAATCCCCATCGGCACCAGGCGTGTCCTAACGACATCCACGCAACGCTATTGACAATCTATCGACGATTTCAACGAAAGCAATATCCATCGGTATACCTCCGCGCCAAGCACGACACCGCCCCGACTGCTACGTTTTCTCCGCTTCCCTCTCGCCTCATTGCCAAAGGTTCGGTTCGGGATATCTAAATCATCCCTATCACCAGCCGCGATCGCTCCTTACGGTCTCTCTCGCGCTTCGTCATCAAGAAACAGGTTCGTCCTCGCCCAACGCAACCAGCAAATAAACGAAACTATCCTATCTCATCACTCTGTCTCGTCCGTCCCCCTTCGAAACTGTCTACCCCGGCCCAGATTTTCCTCATTCCTCTCTCCTCATCGCGAGCTACGCGCTCCGCAAACAACCACGCTCCCGCTTCAAGCTCAAGTCTGCATCATCTCATCAACACCATATATGCCCTCAAGGGGCACTCGATCGATCACTGCCAGCCTGTATAAGCAGCACATCAAGCCGAATGTCTTCATATATGCATCAAGGTATCCTCAACATAACAAATACAAGACAAGGACACAAGAACATCACCCCCCGGACCTGCCATCGTTCCCCCACCAGACTTGCATTTCCACCATCTCATTGCCTATTTTTTCTTTTTTTTTCGCACCAGCCACCGTCTCTGTTCTCTCTTCGCCCATTAGTTCCGGTTCTATCTATCGCCTGCGCCTGTTTCTTTAATCCCCCTATTCTTGGTTGTGCGCCAGCCTATCCTCTGCCCTTCATCCGTTCGCCAGGGGACTTGCTGGGCCAAACTCCTTCCGACATCCCAAGGACATTCGCAAGGATCCCTCGCCCCCTTCTCCCTCTTCCAATCTGGTTCCATCTTATCATCTCTCTGTACATCCTTTCCCTATCCCTTCTGCTATGTATGATCCTTTCGCAGCGTAGCTCCCTCGTCACATTCCTGATGTCTCGTCAATGAATAAGCTTATACAACCTGCGTGCCAGTCTTTTCGTTCTTTTCGTCAGACCTATACAAACGCGATGGATCCGCGACTGTCGCAGGCAGCAGGTTCCTGACCTCACCTTGGTATAAAGCTGACACCAATTCGATATCCAGATCATGCCCTTGTTGGTGATGTGTTGTCCCACCTGCCGCAGGTCAGTGAGCCAGTTACTATTCTCGGCCGCATACGTTATGACGTCGCCCACCAGCAGGCTCCACGCCAGTGACAAGGCCCAAGCATGTCGCTTCCTCCCCCCAATAGAAGACCAGAGTTATCGGAGTGGTTCCGCGCTCAGGCCGGGACAGATCAAGCTTCCTCTTCAATTCGTCATCCGAGACGGACGGGAGACGATCGACGTGCCTTCTCCCTCTTCCCTGCTGAGGCACTCCTCTTCCGATCGTAATGTTGTCTTTGACCTCGACGTGCGCCGCGACCTTGACCATCTTCCTCCCATTACAATCGAGCGCCTTCACGCCTACCTTCCCCGAGCGTGCCCCAGACCGTCGCCGAGTCGCTTTGACGTTGGAGGTCTGTCAGCGTCCAGGGTTTGACTACGTTATATACAGTCACATGTACTGGGGGTAAGTGCGAACAGTCCGCACATGCACGATATATGCTGACCGACCTTACCTCCGCGCAGACCACACTGGTGACTCGAGACCCTTTACGGACAGCACTTTGCATCGTCAGCAGGGACACCGATGAGATGTGCCATCCACAAGATTCACAGCCATTGTCTTCCGACTTCCTTCCCGCGGACCGGACAGGATACCAAGACAGGACAGGATGGACGCCTGTCGCCCCTTCCCCGCTCGCGCGCGATCTCTTTGAGGCCGACAGCGCGTACCTAGTTGATGCACAGGGACATCGTCCAGGCCATCTCTATCTGCTCGCTCGAACCTCGGCTGATGGGTGTTGGTTCTACCTTGCGAGAGCTAGCATGCACGACAGGCGTCTGCTCATAGGGAAACCTAGATGACCGGTCGCGTGTCGGATGACGGGACTCTTTCTCGGTGTCCTGGGAGCTTTAACGCCATGTGCCGGGCATCCGTCCATGCCAATTTTAGGTCATATTTTAGGAATGAGAACTACAAAGAAGCAGCTACGGGAGGGCGTAGGACAAGACGCTTGATCATTGACGTCACGGTGAGTAAGCGGCTTTGCTATTTTCGATTGCATTCGTTGCAAGATGTGAGTACTAAGCATCGGGCTTGAGTCGAGGTAAGATCTTACCCCCCCGGTGTACTCAAAGCCAACATGCCGCTCCCTCCGGCCGCAGAGGACCAAAGCTTTTGGCATGTCTCCGCTCTCGAGGCGGGTACACTTCATCTGCCCCTGGAACTCGTCATTGCGGGAGCGCAGGAGACGATTGTCGTACCTGCACTGTCTTTCCTCTTACGGCACTCCTCTACGGGCCGCACGGTCGTCTTCGATTTGGGTGTGCGCCGCGACTTCGAAAACCTCCCCCCGAAGACAGTCGAGCGCGTGCACAAGTTTTTTTGTCCCAGCGTACCACAAACCGTTACCGAGTCACTCGCAATCGGTGGGCTTCAAGCGAGTGACGTTGACTACGTCATATACAGTCACCTACATTGGGGTCGGTACCGGTCCGTCATCGCATTCGTAAAGGCCACAGCCTAATGAATTCATCGCAGACCACATTGGCGATCCTGGTCCATTCACGAACAGCACCTTCATCGTGGGCGAAGACGCCCATGAGATGTGTGATCCCGGTTATCCACAGGATCCCCATGCCATGGTAGCTTCCGATCTCCTGCCCAGGGAGCGAACGAGGTTCGAGCCGAGAAAGGACTGGACATCTTTAGGTCCTTTCCCGCTCGCCCATGACCTCTTCGGGGACGGTAGCGCATACCTTGTCGATGCGCAGGGCCATTGCCCTGGTCATATCAACCTCCTGGCTCGAACCTCGACTGACGGTGGATGGATCTATCTCGCAGGAGACAGTGCACACGATAGACGCCTCCTCACAGGAGAAGCACAGGAAGCCACCGAGGTGTCGGATGACGGCGTAGTCAGGGCACTTATGCACAGAAACATGGAGCTCGCCGAATCACATATGCGACGTATCGTGGCGCTTTTATCTGAAGAATCGAGGGTGAGGATGATACTTGCGCACGATAAAGATTGGTGGGAGATCAACCGAGGAGGGGAAGCATATTGGCCTGGCAAAATCCCGAGCTTATAGCAGACATCCAGAAAGCGGATTGGACACCGAGAAGCGTCCATACTAGATCTTTGAAACATATGTGCATATATAGGTATGAGAAGGAGGATTTATCATGGGGTATTCTGCGATGGATGAAGAATGCGCATGCGCCAGCGGTATCTTGGAGTGAAGGAATGAAGCAATAACGAACCGGTGTGGAAACTACCTAATCTACTTCCATGTCCCATATCATCACCAGCCCGTCGGACCCCCCGGACACGATACGCTTGTCATTCGGTGAGGACGCGAACGCAACCGATCGAACCGAGCTTTTGTGACCCTGCAGAGGTTTCCCGATGGTCTGCCCCGTCTGTGCGTTCCATATCCGGACCGCGCCATCATACGACCCGGAGACAAAATATTTGCCATCTGGAGAGAACGCGACCGAGTACACCGTGCCCGAGCGCTTTTGCAAGGGACCCAACGTCACCTGGTGGGTCTGGGTATCCCAAACCCGAATCGTCTTGTCCGAGGAGCTGCAGACGCGCTTGCCATCAGGCGAGTACGAGAGCGAGCAGACGTTCCGGCGATCCCCGCTGATCAACTCCCCTACCGGACGGCGTGTATGCACGTCATGAATGCAGATGGAGCCATCGGAAGATCCGGAGGCAATAGACCTGCCGTCGGGAGAGAAGGAGACACTTTGGATCCAGTCCGCGTGTCCTTGTAGAGGCTCGCCAACAGCGACGCCTCCCTGACCAACGTTCCATAGCCGTATCATGCAGTCGTCTGAGCCGGAGCCGATCAATTCCCCGTCTGGCGAGAATGCAACGCACAGCACCCGGCGGGCGTGTCCCTGCTCGAGGACGATTTCTCCTGTGCTGGCATCCCAGAGTCGTACGGTTCCGTCGCTTGAGCCCGAGACTAGGTGCTTCCCGCTCGGGGAGAACGCAACAGAATTGACTTGTTCCGTATGCCCGTAGAGAGTCAGTGATGCACCCGTGGCAACGGTATAAACGCGAATGGCGCCATTCTCTAAGCCCCAAGCAACCCGAGCGGCGTCTGGCGAGAAGGTAACTGAAAGGACTGGAATGAGTAATGAATGATCCTGCGGGGGCCGAAGTGTCAGTGTTGGTCCTGTGGTCTCATGTGAGCATCCGAAAAAGCATTTCAGAGCGTCGTAACGCGTACCGTTTCCAAACACATGCATGATGTTGTTCACAGCACGACGGACTTCTGGCCCGTCCTCCTCCTTCTCGCTAGGTAGCAATCCCCGTAATTTGACGTTCGCGTATGGCATGGCATCACTGGGAAGCGAAGGGAAAGCGCCAAGCGCTAGCAGCAAGTCCTTGATCCGTTGCTTGCGATGGAGATCACTGTCGTCTCCTTCGGCTTCACCTTCAAGAGCTGTGAATAGCATCCGTGAGGCATCGGGGATGTCCATCATACGTCGCCCGCTTTCCTCTAAAATTGACCCGAGCTGTGAGATGGCTAGATGGACCTCACACAAAGAAACTCACTAGACGAAGCTAAGGTGACGAGGACACCGCGATCCTCCTCAGGGAGTTTTCCTTTGATGACTTGGTCCACCAGAACGGGCACAGAAGTATACGGGTCGAGTTCAAGCATGTTCTTGGTGCACAAGGATTCTCGCTCGTAGCGGACGTTTTCTGGAAGATGGGCCAGTGGCTTGTAATCTCTGTCAAGCTCAGGATCGAATACGGATTCATGGATCATCTGGTTTTCCATGACCCGACGAGGTGATCCCAAGGGAGGCGGCCTGTAAAGAGCGCGATCAAGATGGAGAAGATGTAGCAGGTAGCGGAGAACTAACCACCGCCGCTGGTCGTTCGAGCTTCGGTCTGGACGATACGACAGCCTCGTCACAGGCAGGTATTCGATGATTCGCCAAACCAAAGACATTGAAGGATTGGGCTTGAACGGGCGCCACTTTCCTTCGAATGGCCTGAGACGAAGCCCCCAGCGCTGGGCTTCGTACGACATCCAGCGAGAAGCAGGTCCGAATTGATCTGCTTCGAGATTGGGGCTGTTGCCGCCACCACTAGTGTGCATGTCAGGGGCAAGAACATACTTGTATGAGATTTGCTCACATGTCCGAATGTGACCCAGCGAACCACACTTCCTTGATATTACCCTTGGACATAGCTGATGATGAGGATGGGCCGGCCCCGCCGTTCGCGTATTCGGGTAGGAACTTGACACGCAATTCGTCAAGGGCAAGGGCATGCCGGAAGGCGCACACATGCGCCATGCCGGTGGTCGTCTCTGGTAAACTAGGTCCTTTGATGATTCCGATAGACGAGACAGTATCCCTGAGGTGGCGACTACATGAGGGAAGATCATGCTGGACACGCATATCTGACTGACCATGCTCCTACAAAATGAACCTTGACATTGTCGCGTGAAAGGGTGCGCTTGAAATTGGCACACAGAGCCTCTTCGGTGTTATACGCTCCTTTGTGCTGTGAGTCCTTGAACGCACGGTGCCAAATTCGCTTCCGGTGAGCCATAGCAGCGGCGTAAAGTTCGTATGCGCTGCAAGGTCATGTGAGATCTTATACGGTTTCGTGAGGTAGGCACTGAACGTACAATGATATCTGGTCGTTGTTCCCTTCTGGAAGGAGGCCGACCTGATCGAAAGCCGGAGGCTAGATTAAGTCGATGACGATGCGGATGCAGTACCTTCTCTATCATCCCCGCGACCACACGAGCTTGATATGCTCCTCGAGAGAATCCTACCGGGGCCCCAGAAAGTTTATCGATAGTGTAGCACCTCGTATGGACCCGACTTGCCCAATAAGAAAATCCGGTCGTCTTTCCTGTATTTCTCTGAGAGCCATTGATAAGCGCTCAGAACGATCCTCTTGAAGTTCCTGAGAGAATTGACATTCAGGAACAACGTATAGATTGGGCCGAATGAACAAATACCATGCGATAGCCATATCTACCGTATGATCGAATGTTTGCCTCCAATGTCGCGGAGACGCCTTGGATTCCTTGACGAACGTTCCGATACCGCTGTTGTAGTACGTCAGCTGATCCTCGTTCTTCTCCAGTCGACTGTAAAGCTCGACGACGTTCGTGTTCTGTTCAAGAATGCACTTAGTGAGGGGAGCGAAGATGTCAAGGTGGTCTGACCTTCATTCCGAACTGGTTCGCAGTTCCGTCGATACAAACTACGAGATTCCTGCCCGTACAGCCGCACGGAGGCGATTGAGCGCTCTTCCTTTCTGATATTGCAGGCTTGGTGCCTGGTCCATTGTCGACGTTGGTGCCATTGGACGCTGACGTCAACGTGGGCGTTCCTGGGGTTGGAAGGGTGACGGGGCTGAGCTCTGTGGGCGAAGACATCTTCTCGTCAACGAACTCCATGAGTGTCAAGCCTTCTTAATCCGAGTTCGAGGGAATGACTGGAACGCAGATATCTGGCGATTCGCCGTCTTTAATAGACTCGTGTCCGAGACAATGTACCCAAAATAGATTGCCAGCAACGCCTTAGCCCCAAGGCAGTCGTTAAGGCGTTGGTCAAGCGAGGTGATCGGGAAACCCGCTCATCGCAGTGATTGGGTTCGCTGTCAGCGGTTGGGAAAGAGTTTGGTGAAAGTGAAGACGTGTTTCTGGCTCGGATATGGATGCTTACGCTGAATCATATACGGAGCATGTCAAATCGAGGGCGTGATGGTATGGAAGATATCGCCTGGACCAACTCGCGGTGCAGCCCATAAGCACGACGACCATGCATATGCACTTCGCTCTATGTGGTTCATTTCCGATGACGAAGACCGTAGTATGTATTCGTTGTCGGACGGAAGATGGGTCGTCCAATACTCAAACCTTCCACGTCTCGTTATACACGGGATCGCAGGCCTATATCGCGTTACACCAGCTTCTACCTGACGATGTTCGCATTGTGGTCTGACGTGCACAGCGACATGCTGTTTGGTAACTCCGGTCGACCTTCGCCTCGTGCGGACAGCACCCTTGCGTTCCAGCGTTTCTTTCCTCTGACTTGGGATCGCCAGAAAGATACATGTAACATAATGGAGGGTAATCAATGGTAGGAGGTAGGCAGGTAGATTGCCGACTTGGTCCCGGTAGTGGAACAGCCGGTTGCTGCGCTGCACGTCCCAGGGAGTACTGTCGGAAGGTACCGGTACCTAAACAGGCAATTATGTCAATTACACAGGGGCGCGCACCACGCGCACATACGTGTCGTCTTCCAGGCTTCCTGCCCTCGTCCTCCGTGTCCCGAGAACGCTATGGCGCATTGTGCGCGCGATACATAGTTCACGATCGCGAGACAATCGCAGAACTACATGACCAGTTGCAACCGCAATCGCGACTCGCGTCAGTAATGCTTCCCGCCCGTAGCCCCTCTGAGGCAAGGATAGAAACAAGCAGTGACACGGAAATACAGGCGTTGCTCGCACAGAATGACTCGTTGCTTGATCATGAGCGAGTGCACTCACTGCGTGGACGACACAACTAGCTTGCCCTGGTCGCTCGGCTTCCCCCTGAAGTGCTTGCTGCCCCTTTTCCGCATTTGCACACCCATCAAAGCTAGCGTACGCCATTTCCCCTCGAGTAGCATTTTCCAACGTTAGTGTGCAGTTGCATTGGACGTGGGTGACCTTTGGACGGCAGCGGGAGGTCGATGGACCGTATGGAGTCTACGACCCTATCCGCTCCAGGATTGACGTATGCGATCTTCTGGAGCATATTGCAATGCCTCTGAACGTATCGTTGAAATTCGATCGCGCAGATCAGGCTTGGAACGCGTGGCTTCTTCGGATGTTTCTCGAAAACCGCTGTTCAGTTTCGGACGATAGGACACGCCGTGCGGTGCTTGCATTACGCTCTGGCCGTGGAGTAAGATGTGAGTGTATACGACGACTCGCATATGAATGGTCTTGAGCAATGTAGGTTATCCGGATTCGGGAGCGGCCGGCGAACACTGTGGAACGGATCTTGCACATGGAGAGGGGCGACAATAGCTGCTGCGTCATTCAGGAGGGGGACCCCCAGACCACGAGATTTTGCGCTTAGCGGACTCTCCAGCAGGTATTGGGGAAAAGACCAAGCTGAGGGCCCCGAGACTGAAGAATGAGGAAAAGAGAGGTTTCCATCCAGCCATTTATACGGAATCTCAAGGAGATACGGACGGAGTACAGGATAGATAGATACGCACGTGTGTAGGGAGCCCAAAAAGGGGTAGCGGCACGCCGAGCCGGTTCGTCAGATCGGTCGGGCCGCGCCAATCTTGCACGGTCCTCAAAATGTCGGCAGGACCATGCTCGCCATCGTACCTCGATGTCCGCGACACCCCGCGTCATCCGCCTCGTATTCAACAAGAAGACGCTCGCCTATGCCTCAGCGGGCACTGTGGTCGCTGCCGGCGGCGGTTACTGGTATCTGAACTCGGGGCCTGCTTACCCCTTACCGACCCTTCAGACCCGAAGGCCGCCTCCGCCATGGACGCCGCCGTCGAGGGAGACGATGCTGGACAACCTGAAGGCGTCAGGCAGCTCGAGTGAGGAGGAGTTCGACCTACTGATTGTTGGCGGTGGTGCTACCGGAGCGGGTGTGGCGGTTGATGCTGCCACGCGCGGGTTGAAGGTCGCTTTGGTCGAACGAGACGACTTTTCGGCAGGTGAGTCTACATCCGTATATGACGGTCACTCAAGGAAACTCAGTATTCACATAGGTACATCCTCCAAATCCACGAAGTTGGTCCATGGTGGTGTGCGTTACTTGCAGAAGGCGGTCATGGAGCTCGACTATGAGCAGTACAAGCTCGTAAGGGAAGCCCTTCACGAGCGGAAAATCTTCTTGCAGACCGCGCCCTACCTCTCGCACATGTTGCCCATCATGCTGCCGATCTACAAGTAAGCCCCTCGCGCATGGCTTTAGAGGGTCACTCCTGACGCAGACTTAGGTACTGGCAAGTGCCTTACTACTGGGTCGGTTGCAAGATGTACGACATACTCGCCGGCAAGGAGAACATGGAGAGCTCGTACCTCATGAGCCGCGGCAAGGCAATGGAAGCCTTTCCGATGCTGAAGAGCGACGGCCTCGTTGGCGCCTTGGTGTACTATGATGGTAAGCTACCCCTAAATCGCGATTCCAAGCGGGGATTTGAACCTCTCGCTCCAAGGGCAGCATAATGACTCCAGAATGAACGTTGCGTTGATCATGACGGCGGTCAAGCACGGAGCGACTGTTGCAAACCACACGGAGGTCATCGCCCTTCACAAAGACGCCACCGGCAAGCTCAACGGCGCCCGCGTCAAGGACAAGCTCACTGGCGAAGAGTGGAACGTGAAGTGCAAGGTATACATCCTTGTATCGATTCACATGAATGTCTGTTGCTCAACGTGTACTAGGGTATCGTCAACGCCACGGGTCCCTTCTCCGACTCGCTCCTGAGCATGGACAACCCGAGCCACAAACCCATCGTTCAAGCCGCATCTGGTATCCACATCACCCTCCCGAACTACTACTCCCCGCGCACGATGGGTCTCCTCGACCCCGCCACCTCGGACGGCCGCGTGATCTTCTTCCTGCCCTGGCAGGGCAACACCATCGCCGGTACGACCGACACCGCTGCTGAAGTGACCGAGGAGCCGCGCGCGCAGGAGGAAGAAATCCGGTGGGTGCTCGAGGAGGTCCGTCGCTACCTCTCGCCGGACATCAAGGTCCGCCGGGGCGACGTGCTCAGCGCGTGGAGCGGCCTGCGGCCGCTCGTGCGCAACCCGAATGCGGCGAGCACCGAGGGCCTCGTCCGGAACCACATGATCAACTTGAGCGACAGCGGCCTGCTCACGATCGCCGGCGGGAAGTGGACGACGTACCGCGCGATGGCGGAGGAGACGGTGGACGAGGCGGTGAAGGCGTTCGGGCTCAAGCCGAAGAACGGGTGCGTGACGGAGCGCGTGCAGCTCGTCGGCAGCGACGCGTGGAGCAGGAACATGTTCATCGGCTTGATTCAGCGCGTGAGTCTCGATGATGACCAGTATGGAATGAGGGAGAGCTGATGGTATACCGTAGTACGGTCTTGACACTGAGGTTGCAAAGCACCTTGCGGAGAACTACGGTGACCGCGCTTGGACGGTATGCTCTCTTGCCGAGCCCACTGGAGCATCGTGGCCCCTGCACGGTGTTCGCCTCAGCCCTGCGTACCCTTGTACGTCTCTTTCGTATGTGGTCGCAGGCTGATCACTGACGATGACTCTGTAGACATCGAGGCCGAGGTGCGCTACGCGGTCAGGCACGAGTACGCGCAGACGGCGGTGGACGTCCTCGCCCGTCGCACGCGACTGTCGTTCCTGAACGCGCAGGCGGCGTTTGACGCGCTCCCGCGCGTGGTCGAGATCATGGGCGAGGAGATGGGCTGGAACCTCGCGCGGAAGACGAAGGAGCTGGAGCGCGCGACGGCCTTCCTCGCGAGCATGGGCCTGCAGGAGGGCATCGCGCCCCCACCGCTGCACCCGCGAAACCTCGTCGAGAAGGTCGAGAGCGCGCTGTACACCGGCCTCGGCACGCGCACCCGCGCGCCGACGTCTGCTGTCGCGTACAGCCGTGCGCAGTTCGAGGCGGGCGAGGTGGACGCGTTGAAGGTGGCGTTCGAAGGCCGGGCGAAGATCGTGCCGCCTGCGGACGGGAAGCAGGAGCCGGCGAGGTTGCTCGAGACCGAGGACGTGCGCTCGCTCGTGGGCGGGCTGCATGGTCTCGAGTTGGTGAGCGATAAGGACGTCAAGTATGTGCTCGAGGAGGCTGGCTTCGCGGGCAGGAAGGACGTCGACTTTGACGAGTTCGTCGAGGTGAGTGGCTGCTTCGATGACCGATGCGATTATCTGGAAGCTGATGATCGTGCAGATTTGCGCCGAGCTCAAGGAGGTGTCGACGGCGCCGAAGGTGCTTGCCACCGAGAAGGCGGAGAGGAGAAGGATACCGGTCGAGCGCACGGGTGGTGGTGTATGATTGGACCTCGGGGCTTCGTTTCGCTCTCGTAGCGTCGGTCGCTTGGTTCCTTGATAAAATCCGTACCGATAACCATTGTTGTGTGTACGTCTTATTTCACGATACATAGACACGCGTTTACCTGCAGTAAGCCTTGAGATGAGATGGTCTGGGTCTGGGCTAGGTACCGGAGTGGACTCTTTCGTCGGCAAGCGTTGACCTTCGCCCGAACATGCACAAACCTCGTTCAATCGCGTGATGCTACAAAACTTAGACCACGTCCAGAAGCATGCGTAGGTTCCAGGCGTTCGGGATCAAACGAAACATATCATTGCCTGATAAAGATAGCGGCTCTCATGTCAGAGCTCGCAGCTGGGGCGGGCGTAGATGACACGCCAACACATTGTATACGTGGATTACGTCGAAGGCGACCCCGTACTATATGCTCTGTGACTGGTTGAGGACCGTCCATGATTACGGTCTCCTACGTCCGAATCTCCATCGGCGACGGATGAATAGAGTAGAGTGGCAACTCGGACTTACAGCGCCGATTCCGCACTGTACCTCAGCCGTTGTTTCCACCCCACCAGAAGCATCAGGACATACGACAATAGAATAGCAAAAGAAGCACTTCGTGATGGCTGTAAAGTCTTCTGGGAGGATATATGCAACGGCAATCCGAGGCACGAATGCGATCCGTGAGGTGGACCAGAACCCAAATACACCAAGAACCGGCTTCGGCGCGCTTTAACGGACATTCGGACTAAACGGCATGCCTTTGTATGTGGCCGGAGAGAGCGCTCGGATGGCTTCAATATGCCGTGGGCTTTGAATGCCGAATTATGCCAGAGCGGCGTGTCCACGTCCTGCGCTGGTGAGTTTCCGCGACGGAAAAGGGGTAGCAATCTATACGTCTTCGAGAACCGGACAGTGGTACATAACTTACGCGTACGGTACAAAGAACACGCTGACGATGTGCATCGATGTAGGTGCGTGCTGCCATCCTGAGGCTCCCGTGAGACCGTCAGCAGTCTTTTCTTGTTCCCTTTCAGCCACGACAGGCGGCGCGTTCCGCAGGGCTTGAACGAACTCTCGGAAAGTGTGTGACCAGGTCCCCCTTCCCGACTCGTTTGACAGAAGGCTTCGTGTTCCGTCGTGACCTGCCGCGATGCGGACGCGAGGCACGCTTGGACGGAGAACCCCCCAGACAGCCTGAAGAGCTGCGACCAACCTTGCTGAGACGGGAAACGGATAAGGTGCATGATGTGCCCTGCGCGTTCCAGCGGATTGTAGACCGAGAGGATAGACGTGCACGACGTCGAGGGCGAGAGCAAGAGGACCGCTCAGTGGCAGGGGTCCGCATAGCACGCTCTCTCTCTTAGACGACGTCGACGAGGAATACATGCGTACGGACCGATTTGTTATTCTGCGCCGAGCCCTCCGACGAAGCCGCAGAACCTGGCAGGCGCAAGGCAAGGAACGAGCGCGTGGGGTCGGAGGCCCAGATGAACTCCATGGTCTGGAAATGAAGTCACACACCCCACCCGTAAAGCCACCTGGCCGATTGCCATAAGAGCCAACTGCGGGCCCTGCGTCCCGTCTCGTCTCTCATCATGGCTCCTCCTAGCCCGACCGTCGAGAGACACGAAACGTTCACCTCCAGGTCCGCCGAGGAGTCGCGCCGCCGCCGTGCGTCCGATGCCACCTCCAAGTCGTCCCCGAGCTTCAGCAACCTGACCGTACGTTGCCCTCGCCGTGTTCGTCGTCGATGGCAGATCATGATTGACGTTCCTGATTACAGCCGATGTGGGCGGGTATCGCTGGCATGCTCACCGACGGGAGCACGGGCATCGAGCTCGCTCTCTCGATCCACGATGGCATCTACACGACCGACTTCCAGACCGCGCTTCTCCCTTATGACAAGAAAAATCCCGACGCGCAATCCGAGGCGATCGAGGAGCTCATCATCGACACCCTGCGCAGGTTCAGCAAAGACCATATGTGCAAGTTCATCGGTGCCGGCATCACCATGGCCCTCCTTAAGGAGGTGCGTTGTTCCAGATCACTACTGCGAAGATGGCGTTTCTCATGCTCGTTCAGGCTCCGAACCTCTGCACTCGTCTTTGGCTCGAGCTCGATATCGTGCCCATTGTCTTCAACATCAAGGTGCGCTCGCTCGCTCGCACGTCATCGGATATCTGGCTAACGGCCGCAATCTCAGCCGTACCACACCGAATCCAAGACCCGTCCGAACATCAAGCACCGTGTCTCGTACGGCCCCTCGGCGGTGGCGTCCGGCGCCGCGTCCGGCTCGCAAACCCCGGCCGTCCTCGTGGATGCCGCGCAGGCCCAAGGTCTCCTCAAGCACCTCGGCGTCCAGAGCGCGACCGGCAAGCTCCCCATTCCCCGCAACGTGGACGAGCAGTCCGACTCGGCCGCCCGAAAATGCCTCATGTACTTTGGCCCGGGTAACAACCCGCGCCTCGAGATCGGCCCCCGTAACCAGGTCTTGGTAGACGCTGCGGGCAAGATCCATCTCATCGGTGCGAACGATTCGTGTTTTGGGGCTGCCGACATCATCTCACGCGATATGCTCAGATGACCTCGACGAATACCGTAAGGGCGTCCACGGAGGCACATGGGAGGCGGTTATCGCCATGGCCGAGGAACTCCGTGAGAAGAACGTCAAGATCGGCTTCTTTTCGTCTACCCCACAAGGAGGTGAGGTTTACATCCGGTGGCTGTGTTCGTGCGGGGAACGCTCATGCCCGCCAATCGTTTCCCAGGAGGAGTCGCTCTGGTGAGTGCCTTGCGACTGGACCATTCCCGGCGAAGGTCGAGCGTGGCTTGATTTCTCTTTGCATCGCAGATGCGACATGCCCTTATCCGGTTCTTGACCCTCCTCGACGTCGACGCGAGGTGGTATGTCCCCAACCCGTCGCCGCAGGTGTTCAGGACGACCAAGAACAACCACAACATCCTCCAGGGCGTCGCCGCCCCCGATGTTCGCCTCACCGACGAACAGAAGGAGGCCTTCGACGCTTGGATCCTCAAGAACGGGCTTCGCTGGACTGCCGAGGGTGGCCCTCTTGCACCCGGCGGCGTCGACATCGCCTTCATCGGTCAGTCCCGTGGTCCCGCAGAACGCGTTTGGAATCAACTATCCTGACGACTTTTGCACTCCAGACGACCCTCAGATGCCGGGTCTGATCCCGCTCATCAAGAAGGTCCGACCGGATCTCCCGATCATCTACCGCTCGCACATCGAGATCCGCAGCGACCTCGTGCACAAGAAGGGCTCCCCCCAGGAGGAAGTCTGGCAGTACCTCTGGAAGAACATCCAGCTCGCGGACATGTTCATCAGCCACCCGGTGAACAAGTTCGTGCCGAGCGACGTGCCGGTCGAGAAGCTCTCCCTCCTCGGCGCTGCCACGGACTGGCTCGATGGTTTGAACAAGCACCTCGATTCTTGGGACTCGCAGTTTGTAAGTGGTCACACCCCGACGTCTTGTGGAGCTGCTCCGTACTCACGTCATCCTGCAGTACATGGGCGAGTTCCGGGGGCTCTGCATCAGGGAGAAGATGAACACGCTCGCGTGGCCGCAACGTGACTATGTCGTCCAGGTCGCGCGGTTCGACCCGTCAAAGGGTATCCCGCACGTCATCGACTCCTACTCGAGGTTGCGCCAGCTCCTCGCGAAGCACGGCATGCCCGAGGCCGACCACCCGCAGCTTTTGGTCTGCGGTCACGGCGCCGTCGACGACCCCGACGCCAGCATCATCTACGACGAGACCCTCCGCCTCATCAACGACACGTACTCGGAGTACGCGCAGGACATTGTTGTCATGAGGATCCCGCCCAGCGACCAACGTGAGTCGCGTTTCCTCTCCGGGTTTTTTCCACGTTTCAGCTAACGATCCTTTGTACCTAGTTCTTAACGCCCTCATGGCGAACGGTAAGATCGCCCTCCAGCTATCCACCCGCGAGGGCTTCGAAGTCAAGGTCTCCGAGGCGCTGCACGCCGGCATCCCCGTCGTCGCCTCGCGCACGGGCGGCATCCCGCTCCAGATCCAGCACGGCAAGTCGGGCTACCTCGTCGACGCCGGCGACAACGCGAGCGTTGCCCAGCACCTGTTCGAGCTCTACACCGACAAGGCGCTGTACAAGCGCGTGAGCGAGTTTGCGGCGAACAACGTCTCGGACGAGGTCGGCACCGTCGGGAACGCGTCGGCGTGGATGTACCTCGCGATGATGTACGTCTGCCGCGGCGCGAAGCTCAAGCCGAACGGCCGCTGGTTGAACGACATGATGAGGGAGGAGATGGGCAAGCCGCTCGCGCCTGGCGAGCCGCAGCTGCCGCGCACCGGCCTTAACATCCAGGGTTGAGCGGGCTTTCGCTTCATACCGGTTGATCTCGATTGGGGAATCATCGTAAAACGTGTACCGTGTCTCGTCTTGCTGTATAACAACGTCTTGTATGTAGAGTAGATCACAGGTGTAGAAATTCAAGGGAAGCAGAAAAGCGATGTTTCTACTATGCGCCAATCTGATCGAACCGCTCGCCCCGAGTCCAGACTTCAAGATCAGCGATGTTACGAAGCTCCTTGGTGGAGCTTGACATGCTGTTGACTGGTCTAAGAGAGGCGATACTGTTAGCCGTGCCTCATTTAAACCCGGTGGCATCAATGGCGAGCGAAAAGGACAGGCGAGGTCAAGGGCTTGGATGTACTGTGCAGGCCGTAAGAAGAAAAGAAACAGAAGAATAAGAATAAGCTACAGATTTGCCGGTGTACAGACTCCGGGACTTGCAAGCGAGTTGAAGTTGATTCTCGAGTATGCAGAACATACCTGATCATGAAAGTCAGTTGTCCATGCGAAAAGATTTCCGACACGGGGAATCGAACCCCGGGCTATCGCGCACCCAAATCACGTGACCACCGATTAGTCAGCTGCTGAGAGGCGATAATGTTGGCCACTACACCATATCGGATTGACAATGCTGGTAACATAGAAGACCTATGTTTCGCACCGAAGACAACCGAGCCCCGGTTTCTTCGTCCGAGGACTTGAGACCGAATCCTTAGCCTAGGTAGTCACCTCGAGAGCTCGTTCATCGGAAAAGGATTTGCATAAGCACAGAATGAGTCTAATCCCTTGATCACGGATGCCCCATCTCACACCATTTTATGGTCCGCACCCATCGAAGATGGTGCGCGGGCGATTCAGTACGTATCAGCGCCACACAGATTATTACTTTCGTAACGGACGTAAATCATGTCGGATCATAGGAGTGACAAACGCGACAACCGATAAAACAACAGAGACAAGTCGAGGGGGATAAAAGACTGCAACTCATGTCTTCATTGCGTTCTCGACATCCGACGCCTCCGTCTCAGGTGATTCGCCGTCGCAAGATCCCATCTCTGTTCCACTCTCTTCGTCCTCTTCGTCCTCCGCCTCGAATTCGCTGTCCAAATCCGGACCTAGCTTCGCCTTCAGCTCTTCATCCGAAGACTCGAGATCAGCGGTATCATATAGGTATGCTTTGCCGAACTTCTTCTTCACGTGTCGCATTACCACCTTTGGAATTGTATGCCTCTGCGCGTTCAGAGTCAGACAAGCTCTGCGGAAAAAGTTGCAGAACGTACCGTGTCTAGATCTTCCGTTCGAGGAACGTTGGCATCATAATACCAAAGGGGCTGCGAGTTCGGTGAGAGCCCGAGTTCATCTCTGATGTTCTTGAGGATCATCTCTTCATCATACGACGAACGCCGAAATCGGTTGACGTTGAAGTTGTTGTGTAGGGCGACCACGCCAAAGTGACGAGGATGCGAAACCGTGGCATACTTTACAGGAGCATGACAACGTTCTGCCAGGAGAGAGACTATGTGCGGGTAGGCACGGAAGCACGCAATACGGTCAGTAACATCGTCGAGCAATCCGTTTTTAGCGCCATAGTCGATAAGCATGTCGACGGGAAGAGGGATTCCATAATGGAACAACGGGCAGTCGCCTTTGCGCAGATATTTGTCGGTCATCCACGTCGGGAGTCGCCTGATCCCCTTGCGATGCTCTAGAGCAAATTTGAGACATTGCCTTTGCACAGGGGTCAGAGGTTTCCCTGTAGACATGGGCCGTGCGTCGTTGAGGTGTTCCGGTAGGGGGGTTGGCTATCGTCCCAAGAAGACTTTAGTCTTGCATCCACATCGACGAGCAAGCAAAGGCGGGTTTCCGTGGGAATTCAATGAACTCGTGATGTTCACGCTGCCGCGCTGCCGGCACTTGCTCGTTGGCGTCAAGGCGACTAACCACAAGAGCCCCGATACGTGAAGGTTCCAGCCACTCTCATGCGCGTCTGGTTTTTCGCGCTGCGCTCAACCTTTTCGGAAACGGCTGTACTGTGTACCGTCATCGGGTTTCACAAATGAAGGATATAAGCACAATGTGTGTAGGCTTGCGCGGCGAACATGATACGAACTTAATCTCAGAGCGGTGTGATCATATCAATAGCAACTGCAACAACGGAAAGCTATGCGAAGACCGATGGAAAGGAACCAAGAAATATGTCTCCGATACGTGCTCTCATGTCTGACTGCCTGCATCGTCATCCTCTACTCCGCTCTCTTCATCGCTATAATCTTCCGTATCGCTTTCGCTATAATCTTCCATATCGCTTTCGCTTTCAACTGACGACAGCTTTGTCTTCAGTTCTTCGTCCGAAGACTCGCATTCGGCTTCCTCGTCCACGTATTCGGGACCCAACGTCTGCTCCACGTGCTTAGCGACAGCGCAGGGAATTCGACGTTTCTGCTTGTGTTCGCATTCAGTCAAGCTTCGCAAAGGCAATGACGAAACATACCGTCCCCAGTTTCTCTGTCATTGGAACTTCGAGATCCCAATACCAGCGGGGCTGCAAGTTCGGTGACAGTCCGAGCTCTGCTATGATGGTTTGGATAATCGCCGCTTCCTTGTCTGGAGAGGGCTGCAGCCGGTGTTTGTCAAAGTTGTTGTAGAGGGCAATCACACCGAAGTGACGAGGATGCATTACCACCCTATGCTGCAAAGGAATACCACAATCTTTGGCGAGGCGAGAGATGGGGCGGACCACTGACAGGCCAACTATTATGGGCTCTACATCGTCAGAGTATATCTTTTGTTTGATTCCATAGGTGCGGAGCTGTTGGACGGAAACGGGGATGCCATAATGGAATAGAGGGCAGTCGTCTGTGCGCAATTTCTTGTCGGTCATCCAAGTTGGAAGTCGCTTGATCGCCTTGCGGTGTTGTACGGAGAACTTGAGATAGAATTTACGGTCCGAAGATAGAGATGCTGCCGAGGGCATCATTCGATCGAATTGCTCAGAGCTCAATTGATCCGCCTGAGTCAGATTTCTATAGGAGACGAGAGTGAAATAAGCGATGCGGGTGCAGACGACGTCAGTATTGGACCACCTCCCGGAAGCATGCGCTCGGTCGGAAGGAACTCAGGAAGAGGTCCAACAATCTCGTCCGAGGCTGCTGGTAAGCGCCGGCAGGAGTAGGTCAGCAGCCCAAGCATATGGCATCAAACGTCCACGTGCCTGGTCATTACTGTGTACCGTCATCGGGTTTCACAAATGAAGGATATAAGCACAATGTGTGTAGGCTTGCGCGGCGAACATGATACGAACTTAGTCTCAGAGCGGTGTGACCATATAGCAACTTCAACAACGGAAAGCTATGCAAAGACCAATGGAAAGGAACCAAGAAATATGTCTTCGATACGTGCTCTCATGTCTGACTGCCTGCATCATCATCCTCTACTCCGCTCTCTTCATCGCTATAATCTTCCGTATCGCTTTCGCTATAATCTTCCGTATCGCTTTCGTTTTCACCTGACGACAGCTTTGTCTTCAATTCTTCGTCCGAAGACTCGCATTCGGCTTCCTCGTCCACGTATTCGGGACCCAACGTCTCCTTCACATGCTCAGCGACAGCGGGGGGAATTTGAGGTTTCTGCTCGTGTTCGCGTTCAGTCCAGCTTCGCAAAGGCAATGACGAAACATACCGTGCCTAGTTTCTCCGTTATCGGAACACTGAGATCCCAATACCAGAGGGGCTGCGAGTTCGGCGACAGCTCAAGCTCTGCTATGATGGTCTGGATGATCACCGCTTCCCGGTCTGGAGAGGTCTGCAGCTGGTGTTTGTCAAAGTTGTTGTAGAGGGCAATCACACCGTTGTGACGAGGATGCATTACCACCCTATGCTGCAAGGGAATACCGCAACGTTTCGCGAGGTCAGAGACGGGGAGGGACACTGTCAGGCCGACCATTATGGCATCTTCGTTGGTATTGTATATCCCTTGTTTGATGCCATAGGCGCCGAGCTGTCGGACGGAAACGGGGATACCATAATGGAATAGAGGGCAGTCATCTTTGTGCAAATACTTGTCGGTCATCCACATTGGAAGTCGCTTGATTGCCTTGCGGTGTCGTACGGAGAACTTGAGATAAAATTTAGTATCCGAAGATAGAGACGTTGCCGAGGACATCATTCGAACGAACTGCTGGGGCTGGGGTAGGCGAGCTATTGCGACGGCGGTTACTGAGCAGGCTCAAGTCTGCCGAGCTATCGGCACGAGTGGCGTACGTGCAGCGCAGCACCTGGCTGTTCCGCTACCGCGACCACGTCGTCAATCTACCTACCTCAACTGTCACATGACCGTACATGATTCAATCTGAGTTTCATGAAATCGTAATCGTAACTGAAGAAACAGGAGAGCGACCACGCCAACTAGATCCAAACGAGGAGCATGAATTCAAGAAGAGATCTCTGGGAGCCTATACAAACCCGAGCTCGAGCCCGAAGGTGAGGCCTGAGCACGCTGACGATGTGCAACCCGAACCGGCAGTCAATACGCCTTGCCGAGCAGGTGGAAACGCAGTGCGGGTGGTTGGCTATGGAGAACGCTGATAAATGTAGGAGATGCGTCATAGTCGACGTCAATTTTCATGAGCATGACCTCTATAATCCATGAACCACTTATCTCCCTCTCGCAGCATGATACCAAAACGGTTCTCAACTTCGGAGTCGACCCCTGGAACTGTGAAAACATCATACTTATACGCATTCAGAGATATTGTGACATACTTCATAAGCGAAACATGCATCACCCTAAATCATCGTGTATCGTCCGAAGCCCATCTTGTCCTCCCATTGTACATTAGACAGATACCCGGACATCCAAATCCCGCCCGAAGGGTCGTCCGGCCCAATGACGAACATGTTCCTCATCTGTACATCAGTGTAAGCATGCGCATGTAAATGCAGACATTTCGGTTTCGCCCTTTCTGGGTCGAGGGTGGCAGGCGTCCAGTCGAGACGCATGAAGTCCATCTCCCGCCAGTTCGTGATCGCCGTCCATAGACCGGTCGGCTCCATGAACATCGGGACCTTCTTGGGATAGGCGAGACGCCATTGAAAGTATCGATTTAGGGCAGCAGGTTGAAGCTGCGCCCCGAGCTGGCGCCGAACGAGGAGGGATAAAGGCCCAAGGGAGGTGGAGCGTACCGACGACGCGTCTGCGATGGGGACCAGTATTGCTATATTCGCATTGCGGATGTATGGTGACGGGATAATAGTCAAGTGCTTGCGGATGTTTGCGGTGTATGCGACGGAAAGGGGTTTATGCCTCTTCTCCGACGAGAACATGCACTAGAGGGGAAGATCAACAACGGCAAGTAGTATAAAAGGCGAAGGATTTCACCTTCAGCACAAAAGCGACCATAGCATCGCTCGTGCTGATCCATGCCTGCTCGCCGTCAACGGAAGAAACGTCGGACATGGCCTCCGCTTTCAGGCGTGCCACATCTTCTGCAGGAACATATACCACACGCAACCCGTCACTCGGACACCAAATCCGCTCCCAGATTGTGAACACTACGAGCGCTATTATCTGGAAGACAGAGAAGAACCTCCAACCTTCGGGTGGTGAAGGATCATCGACCGTATCGTACGTCTGGAAGGGGTCGATAGTTTCCAATGGTAAAACCTCTTCGCCACTGAGGATGCTGAGAAGAGCAGACACCACCTCCTTCACACCGGCCCCATCCGAGAGGGAGTGAGAGATCGAGAGCCCGACGATAGTCGCATCATCGAAATGAGTGACATGGAGGGCCGCGACGGGGGCATCCTTATCCAATAGTGCTTTGGCTGAACAACGAGAAGGATGAGAATAGAAGTGGTGCGGGATGTCGAATTCCCTGCAGAAGATGGACCCGGTGGGCTTCGGGTAGTCGAAGTGCGATGCCACGGGCCCGTAGATGGTGGTCGTCGTGAAGCCGCAAGCAGACGCGACCGCAGATGATTCAGGCACATGGAGCTCCCAGTTTCCCGTCTATGTCAACGTTTTCGAGTCTGAGCTACTGGTGCGAGACTGAAAAGGACGTACGCGGGTGTTGGTCTTCAGCCTCGCTGACATGATCGGCCAGACAGTGTTCAGTTGGCACCAAGCCCGCTCCAACTTCACTCCGTCCAGAGGGCAGTCGATCAGCCAGCCAATGTTCAGGATGATGCTTGCGGCCGTGTAGGCGGTATCATATCGTCCAAGAGGCACGACACACGGAAGCGAGGCCATTTCCAGGGTTTTGCGCCGTTCACTGCTAGATTGGGTCGCTGTTGACGAGTGAGCGCTTGAGCGCTAGAGTAAGCAGCGAAACTTCAAGCTGGACGATGAATAGACGTTAGGCGCCGTGGCAAGTAATAGGTTTGCGGTCTCTCCCAGTGGCTTCTACATGGCGGGCGCATCCCAGTTCTCTTCAGATATCTCTCACTGAGAGTCTGAACGGGAGCAAGGGTGATCGTAGTTCGAGCGAGATCCGGATATATGCTGGAAGTGGACAAAGATGAAGCGCGCCAATTCGCGCAGCTGGCTGTGAGCACATGCAGTTCATCGATCGAACCGCCAACGCGTCTTCTTCCTCTTGCTCCCTACTGGCGCTCATTGATATTGCCACTGACCTTCGTCGATTGATTGTGACATCACCAGGCATCCAGCTCACCGATCCATTCAGCAAAACGAGCGGGCTGCAGAACTGGATATTGGTAGATGCTTGCGATTGCGGATCATGGTTGCACGACTCGGTCGCCATTGGGACTATGCGCCATCTTCACCTCGTTAAGATTGGGCCAATGCTACGCCTAGCAAGAGCACTACGAAAATCCACGAGAACGTTGACGTAAGAGCTCTCTCCGCAAGGTTGGATGAACGGAACTTGAAGAAGTTTGCGCGAGGAGAGGTGGAGGTTCTCTAACATTGCCTGCCGGTGACAAGCCGATCAAGTATTTTACCTGCTTCCTCGTAGATTAGCAAAGCTGAGCCGTCGTTTTGGCTTCTCCGCCAAGGTGCATCGAATATATATTCATGACGTCGCGGTCGAGCGCGAACAAGATAGGACTACCGCTACAACATCGGACACCAAGACGTCCCACCCCGAATACAAGCGAATGTCACATATCCCTTCCCCACTACACTTCGCATGCTATGCATTCGCTACAGCGGATTAGGGTCTCCTTCTGTGCCTCCAACGTATTTCTTGCTTCCCGGAAACCTCTTGCAGGAGCATTTGAGATGCCGCCGAAGCGCATCTGGGCGGCTGAAGTCATTGAAGCAATGATCACACTCAACACGCTGGGGCTGGGTGCCCGCGCGGCGAGCATGCCTCCCAGATATCTTATGGCGCTTCAAGTCAAACTCTCGTCTGAACGACTTTTTGCATTCGTGGCACGAATGGTCTTCCGGCTCTTCGATACTGCGACCGCGTTCGTTCTCGTATGCGTTGTTGGAGGCCTTCTCGACCGTACCAGGGAGATCCTTGTTCTGCTCGTCTTTGTCGGCGTCGTCTATCTTTCGCTTGCGGCTGCTCATGGATGCCCCAGACGACGTCGTCTTCCCCACAACTTGAAGCCCGTGAGAGCGGCGTTGATCACGCTCTCTTGTCACGGATCCTCTCCTACCAGGAGATCGGCGATGATTGGACCTCGCAGGCGAGCTAGCGGTGGTCGGGTACATGGAGCAAGAAGCAACCATAGGCGTCACCTCCGGTAGCGGCGCAACCCTTTGCGACTCCCAATCAGAACCGGAATCACGAAAAGAGAAATTCTGTTGGGTGATGTAGTATGAAGAGTCACCGCTGAGATCCAGAGAATCGGCGCGGTGGGTCTCATTGGATTTGTACGTTAAAGTACGACCCATGAACTCATGTCCAGGCAGGAACCTCGGCGAACCAGCGCCCTCTGACGGCAGTGTGGAGTGGGTCCGCCAGGAAGGTGATAATGTCGAAGGCGCCTCAACCGATGGCAGCGTACGGCTTGGCGTCCATGCAAGGGGCCGTGTGGAGGTACGACTATCCCATGAAGAAGGAAAGATGCTATTCTGAAGGAGGTGTCAGGTGTATTCGATCTGTGTGCAATACGAACATACCCCGGTTGGGTAGTTTCGGTGCTGAATATGTCCTCCGTTTGTATGGCCTGGTACGTCGCCCAGAATTGTGGAGTGGGAAGCCAACCGGTCATGTGGGCCGAAAATGGTTGCGTTCTCGTATGCAAACTGTTGCGCAACGTGCCCGCCGTACCCGGAGTTAGAGGCAGTTCCATTCGCGGGCGCGTACGTTTCTCTGTCGATTACCCTGTCAGTCAAGGCGCGGCTGAGACAAAATATTGAATTGGCTACATACAGTCCTTCCAAAGCGGCGTTGAGGTCTATATCATTATCGCTAGGATTGACCGTGACCTCGACCTCGTCGAAATCAGTCATGTCATCCAAGGCGAGAGCGGAAGGGTCGAGCAAGCTCGGCAATGATGCTGGTACGGGCATGCAGTCTTGCCCGAATGCTGATCCAGAGGGCGGATCGTCAAGGCCGACCGAGATAAGCGGGAACTGGTTGAGCCAACGAGCTGATGAAGAGGACATTCGTACGTGGTATGTTGTCAGTCCTTGGGATGAGATTGTACCGACTTTTCCTGAAGGGACGCATTTTAAGGGAAGGCTGGTTTTTGAGAAAGCTTATTCTTCTTGTGACCTATTATCCGCCGAATAGCAATATGTAGGTCCACCAGCTGCGGATATCAACGTCTCTGATTGTAGTCTAGCTGCATGAATGCTGATGGCTTCCAGTTGCTTGGGGCAGCCGGGTAACATGAGTGCACATACTGTGTGCGGTGTTAAACGAGTTGAGCCTGCGATGGTATCCAACTTGTGAGTATTCGGGGTATCGTCTTCAGTAGAAGGGCTGGCAGCTTGAATACGCGCGTAGCGGACAGCACGCCAGCGCAATACATTCTTGCTTCCAGCATGGGCTTGGTAGCCGTCGGGATGAGACCGCTTGCGTTGGAATGATTATTTTGCAACAGACTACGCACCTCCGGTACAGCTCCGTAAAATCCGTTCTTGAATCGCAAGGACGCTGTGATGACGTTTCAGCCTGGCTGGAACGGTACCCTTTTGTTCCAAGCAGCACGATCCCACAAACAGACGGAGGACAATCGCCTCGATGCGTCGAACTTGATTGCAAGGCCTCACTTCATCAAACACAGTAATATTCAATTATGAGAGCCAACATACTTACAGTGCGGATATCCTAACCGAAGATCATATCCTCAGCATAACGTCAACCGTTGGCGTATGCCCTTGTTGCTCAATCAAAGTGCAGTTCTCCCCAGAAGTTTTCGCTGCGAGGGAGAAAAATGCTGTATTATATTCCAGTGCACAATCTGTGCACCAGATCGATGTGCGGATGCTCATACTGAAAATGATGAAGAGACATGCAGAACAAGTTCACAGACAATAAAACATACTGCTCGGCTGCTGGATTTAGAGCGGTGAGCAAATAGCTGTATGTATGTTCCTCCATTGTTATGAGGGAGGAACAGAACTAGATCATGGAAGAGCATACCCTCATCCGCGGCTGAACGCGTGGTACATAGCACTGCCTTCGCTGGTCCACGTTGTTTCCACTCGTTCATCAAGTCTTTCCGTACTCGCTCAGACTTGCTGCTGTGACTGTCCGTAATGAAGGCCTTGTGTCCTGCATCCTTTGCACAGCAATATGATGGAATGAAGAGCATCGCTGCGGCCTCGCGTTGTACGCAACTCGCGCCGTTTCCATGAGTCCGCATCCGCCTTCAAAGACAGTACCGATCAACATGTCTTGTTTCTCCTCATCTCTCTTCCGTTTTACCTGAAGCATACAATCCTCGGACTGTTCACCGCTTATCAAATAATGCCAGTAATGTCTACTAGACATGGTACGTTTGAGGTTCTTACCTTTCGCGACCTCGGACTGATTGACCTATAAACGGCCGGGCCAGATAATCATGTTAGGACCAGTAGGACAGACGTCGCTTCAGTCGGATCATCTGCAGGAGCGCGACTGCGACGCACGCCAGGCCTCTCGTCATTCCAAAGGACATGGTCGGATGAAGCGCTCGCTCTCTTGTGGTTAGACCCATCTAGCGACAAGGGCAGAACTCCACCGCTACGACCCCTCGTCCAGGTTAAGCCTACCACCAAGCCACCACGTTCTACACAAGCGCATTCCATGCATTCAAAATCCTCTATTGCACGTGCCCCACCGGCACCGCTCATAGACCAAGCCTCCACCCTCCTTCATGAGAGCACCCACCTCGTCGCCTCAGCTGTACACAGAGCGCAAACAGCATCCTCTCGCGCCGCTCGCCTCGAATCCAAGCTTGCTTCGCTCGAAGCTCAACTTGTTGAGTCGGACGCAGCTCTCGAAGAGACTGCGGAGGAAGTGCTTGCATTGCGGGCGGCGCTGGACACAGCCGAGCGGCGGCGGGAAGCGGCCGAGCAGCGCGCGGGCATGCTGGGTATCATCCTCGGCAGTATATTTGCCGCACTCTCGGAGAGAATTGCGAGGATGTCGTGGTATCACTATTGATCGCCTGTTATCCTTATTCTGCATTCCTGTTGTGCGATGATGGTCTTGTGTATTTATACTTCAGGGGATAAGGAATTATGTTTGCTATGTAACGAACGAAAGCGACGAAATGCGATGCGATGCGAAAGCGACGAATTGCGAGACTAGACATGCGAAGAAAAGGATGAGTTGTAGAATACAGATGCGTGTAAGTCCTTGAGAATTGCAAAGCGTTTAACGATACTCGATGTTGCGAATGTTGAAAAAGAATGCTCTTGGTTTGGTTCGAGGTCTTGCCTGTGGTCTTCATCCGTCCACAACCATCGGATCGTCTTCCTTCTCTTCCTCCACAGTCACCACCATCATGCCCAACGGCGACCTCCTCGCTGGCGTCCACAACATTCCCCTTCCCCTTCCCCTCCTCGCCTCCGCCTCCACCTCTCGCATCATCCCGGTCCTTGCGCGCTCCGCTGCACGCTCCGCAAATCTCGCGCCGCCGGCCCGCTTTTTCTGCAGAGCCATCCGCTCCGGCCGCTGTAATAACATCTCTGCCACAAGCCGATCGAGATCCCATGTGCCAGGTGTCATCTCCAGCATGTCCGCCATGTATTCATCATCCAGCAGCTCGTCCGTGTCTGCCCCCCACACGTCCGACGTGACCTGCCGCCCGAGCTCGTGCTCGATGTGCGCAAGCAACTTCTTGTCCTGCGTCCGTAGCACCACCCACGCTGCAGATCTCGACCGCCCTCCACGAGTCCAATAGCAGAGCCCGAACGCGATGCTTCTCGCGATGAGTGTCAGCCAGCGTTCGTTCTCGACCTGCGCTTGCGCGCTCACGACCGTGAGCCCTAGCGGCGATCGCTTTGCGGGAATCCACGGTTTCCGCTGCTTCGCTCGCGCTGCGATCTCCGCCACCGCGCCCGCCCACCCCTCTTCGAGTAGCATCCTCTCCTGCACTCGCTGGTTCACGACGTGAGATCCCTTCCGTCGGCTAGCCGCCCCCTCGCGGTGCCGGAAAACGAGCGAGGCCACGAGACGAGGAAGCGGGACTGTGGTCTGTCCGCGGAGAAACAGGGCCGCCACGTCGTCGTCGTCCCCATCGCGGCCTTCATCTTCCGGACCGGTCATATCCACGTCGCCGTCACCGTCGCGGTCTTGCTGGTCCCACACCATAGCATCCCAGCCGAACTTCTGCCCGATGCGTTCCACAAGGCGCCGGTCCTGCTCCCAAACCGGCGCGCGAGAAGCGTCCGCATTCCGCTTCTGGAAGTCCTGCGACAACCTGGCCGCGTACGCGACGCTCATGCACAAGGTTTTCAGCCAGCGCTCCTCGGCCACCTGGCGCTTGGTCTTCTTCGCCTGGGCCTTCTTGGGCTGCGTGACCTCTGTCGAATTCGTGTCTGCGTTTCGCTTATCCTTCCCGGCACCCGACGTTGATGCAGGGCGCAGCCGGGTCGAGCGTACCCTTGGCCGTGGCCTCACCATTTTTTGCAGTTCGGTGTCTCCATCCGCGGCAGACGTAGACCGCGAGCGCTTGGCTGACTTGCGTCCACTTGCATGGGGAAGAAGCTTACGCTTCGATGCTCGCGACGAGGAGGAGGGGAGCACAGCCTCGTCGAAGGATAGACTGCGAGGCGTCATGAGCGGACGGGCAAGACCCGATCCAAATACTGGGTCCACATCCATGCGCGAGTCGTTGGATGAGCGCGAGGTCGGCGGTATACACACCGTGCCGGGTGGAGCTCCCATCTCTGGAAACGTGGGAGATAGCGACGTGCTCGGCGCGAGCGAGCGCCCGAGCGCGAGGAACTGAGCGTCGGGGATGTCCGACATCGACTGTCTACGGGCCGGGATGAGACGCATAACGGGCTGAATGGGCACATCCGTGGGCATAGAATGGGCGGTGTCTATTACGATGCAATCAGTCGGCTCTCGTAGAGCCGTACTCCGTGCCTGTGGGACGGGTCCAGGGTCGGTCTTGCATCGCCCATGTTCCGGAGGAAGTGAAGTTGGGAAAGGAACAGAGTTAGAGGTACAAGCCGAAGCCGACGTAAGGGTGACGACCGGCGCGCAGGGAACAGTGGCGCCGAGGAGAGATTGTGTCGGACTCGCAGGAAAAAGGATGAAAGCCGAAGGTGTTGCAGCTGGATTAGACGAAGGTGAAAAGGGTGCACCGTGTCCCTTGGGTTGCGACGGCCCGTGAACCGAGGCGAGTCCTGCTCCGCGACCTCGCCCGGTTGCGGCACCGAACGCGCTCCTAAATGACGTCGCCTTTGGCCCGCCCGCTCGAGGAACCAGGACAGCTCTGCTCTTCGGAAAAGGTGTCGGCGGACGGGCAATCGATCCCGTTATGGGATAGGAAGACGCGACTGTCGCAGGGGCTTTGAGGTACTTGAGCGTGGATGGGCGGTTAGTCTTCTCGTGCAGAACTCCGTTGTTGCTCTGGCTCAAGGAAAGACGAGCGGGCGATAGCGGAATATTCATGGTGAAGGCTCTGAGAGATGTCGTGTGAGGGTCGGTGTACTTGATAGCGAAGACCCGCGTGCGTACCGACTGCTGGCGCATATATGCACCTAGAACACACCGGTGAGCCCTTCCCGCTTCTGAGAGCGTTCTCTAATAGAGAGGGCGCCCTCCTCGGCGGCCGGCGAAACGAAAGCGAGAGCAAGGCGAGAGAATACGAAGGAGAGACAAATCCGATGCGGGTTCAACTGACAGAACGTTCTTTGGCATGCGCGACAGAAGGTGGCATACAGCGAAGGAGAAAGTGTAACCTGGTTATTCAGAAGTATTGCACGTCGTTGTCGACGGCGGCGACAACGCGAACGGTGAAAGCGAAAGCGCGAAGCGACGGGCCGACGGGCGCGTTCAGGTTTCGCGGGGTAGGGACCCCGAGCGCTGCGAGGCGGGAGTGAGTCGGGGTCCTACTGGACTTATCACCTCTCAATATCTCTCATTCTTGGTACGACGAGCGAGATGGCAAGTAAAACGTTGAGCGATATCGGCATTGCGAAGGACGCCAGCATCCTAAATCGTGCTCCACATACATACGAGCTCATTGCTTTCTTCACTGAACGGTACACCCCGACGGCGCCCCGAAGGTCAATTCGCGAGAGATGCCGACGCCGACCCTGCGGACGACGAACCAGATGTCGCCCAGCTCCTCCTCAGCACTCCGGGCGCGTTGCATCGCGACTTGAAGACTGCGCTCGGACTCGGCGAGCGCGAGCCGCATCTTTTCTCCCTCGTCGTGCGTGCTCGTTTCCCTGTTCGCGGCCAGGTGTTTGCCAGCCTCGTCTGCGTCGGCGAGTTGCGCTTGTAACGATTCGAGTTGGGCCTGAACGCTAGCAGCGCGTGCCTGCGCGTCGTGCAAGCGGGTTTCGGCGTCGCGCACCCTGGAGTCCATGTCGCGTGCCGTGACTTCCGCGTTATCCGCGCGCGCTCCCTCCTCCATCGCCAACGCCTCCGCCTCGCGAACGTGTTGGTCGGCGTCCGCAAGCCTCGTCTCTAGGTCCTGCATCCGTTCCTCCATCTCTACCAGCCGTTCGCCGGTCTCGGCCGCTTGCATTTCCGCGGCGTGCGCACGTTGGTTGGCCTGCAGTAATCGGGTTTCAAGGTCTTGGACACCCGCCCCCATCTCCCCCAGCTGTCCACTCAGCTCGGCGATCTGCGCTTCCGCGTGAACGACGCGGTCCGCCGCCTCGTCGATCTTCGCTGACTGTGTTACGACCATCTCCTCCAACTCCACTCTCCTCGCATCGGCCAGCGCCAGCGCCCTTCCCGCCTCCGCGCAGCGCTCCTCCGCCTCCACAACCCTGACCTCAGAGATATGAAGTCGCTCCTGAACGTGCACCAATTCGGCATGTGCGTTGCGTGCCGCCGTCTCCGCCACCTCCGCGCGCGTTGTAGCAGCGTTCGCCCGCGCTTCCGCCTCCAGCTTGCTCGACTCGGCAGCAGCGGCTGTCTCGTTGGCTGTGCGCATCCTCTCCTCTGCCTCTTCCACCTCCATTTTCGCCTTTTTCTCCTTTGCCTCAGCCTCAGCCTCTACGCGGTCGGCCCTCTCGCTCGCCGCTCTCGCCCGCTCTTCCACTTCCCGCGTCTCCGCTTCAGCGCGCTCGGCTCGCTCGTTAGCCTCCTTCTCTCGCCCCTCCGCCTCTCCTGCGCGCGTTTCCGCGTCCTCCGTGCGACTCTCCGCCTCCCACGCCCGCGCCATGGCCTCCTCCATACCGCTCTTCGCCTCCTCCGCCTTCGTCTCCGCCTCATTCAACTTTCTCTCCAACTCGCCCACCTTCGCTTCCGCCTCGCTGAGCTTACTCTCCGCCTCGTTCAGAAGCGCCTGCACTTCCTCCACCGTCTTCTTCGGCACGGTCACTTCCTCTTTCTGGCCGCGTGACGTGCGTGCCGCGCGGGAGCTGGTCAAGATACCTAGCGCCTTCAGCCGCGTTTGCAGCCGGCTCGACGTCGACTTCTCGGAGGGCGATGGCGATGGATCGCGTGCCCCGCGTCCGGCGCGGGGACCAGCGGCTGCGGGTGAGCCCGCCTTGCGCACGCTCGAGTTTGTGTCCGACTTGGTGCGGCCATGTCCAGGGCCGTCCAGCGTGCCTATAGTACGTGCATGAGCCTACCGCTGGCATAAGGGAAGAAGGGACGTACCACGACGAGATTGCATCCTCAGTACGTTCAGGGTGGGCGGGTAGTGCGAAGTATGGGTGCTGATTGTTCTGTCTCAGGTTGCCGGACGCGTACTTAACATTTCGATCCCCTGCGCATACCCCCGCGCGCATGTTCGCCACGCCCGAGCTTGCACCTCGCTCGTAATGCAGCGAGCACCCCCTTCCTTGCCAGCCTCGTGTCGTGGCTGTGCACACGACCCCACCGCACGCATCAGCCTCAAAGTTTGAAGTACGCCTCGCCCTCCCTTGCGGGGAGGCTGTCCCGGAGATGAACTTCTTCTGGCGTACGGCTCATGCGGGGCATGACTTCGGTAAACGTTGCGCATCGGCCCGAAGGCGTTGGGTCCTCCGAGATTGCACTCTGTCGGGGTTGTGGAGGAGAAGCTGCTGCACGCTGCGACATGGCGCCGACGCGGAGGAAACACGTCCACTGTACGGATGGCGGGGTTGCGGGTACCGGACGCATCATACCCTTGGAGCGCGTTGAAGATTTCATGGCTTTGGGGAATTGGCCGGACTACGGGGACTTTGCGGGGCCCGAGCGACGCTTCATCATGGCGTAGGCAAGCTCGATGCGATGCGCAGAGCCTTGGGGCCTCAGCCGCCGCGTTGTCGGGTGATTTAGCAGGACCAGAGTCCAACGACGATCCGATTGGAAAACCGAAGCGAGGAGGTTATGAGGCTCTTCGCTCCCCCACGCGTCGCAGAATGCCCTTGGCTTCCCTCCTGCAGTGATTGAGGGTGAGATTGAATTTCCGAAGGAGGCCACACAGGTTTTTAGTCACTCCCGGAGACGTACGTGGGGCAGGCGCTCGCGTACCCGTCGGTCCTCGGGCGCGAAAAGGTGTGGCGCAAACCCTTTTGAGGTCATCGCGGATGCTGGGGCTTATGTTGCAGTCCCTGTGTTGGGACTCCTAAGCATCTTCTGTTCCCCGACGTGAACCCTCCTGCGAGTGCAACGGACGCACCGACTCCGACCGTCAAGTGTGATACTTGGGTTGATGCGGCTGCTGAAATACCGTTCCCATGCTGGTCTTGAGACTTTACGCAACAACGAGGGCGGGATAATTCATTGGGTTATTGTGACACGAGTGCGACAGGAAGGACGACATACGTGTATGTCTTGCGGGAGGGTGCGTCTTGTTTGATTAAATCGGCCTGGACATAATCAGGATCATCCAGGCTACGCAGTGGGAACCGCCAATATGCAGTGGCTCGACGGTCGAATGCAGCGAGCATATGCGAGTTGAACAAGCAGGAAGATGTGTTTGCGAGGACTTGCTCGGCTACGCGACTCGACTTCGGTCGGTGGATGCCAGAACTGTGGGAACATCGATACACCGTTGTGGACATGGTTGTTTTTTTGTGGTGGCTTCCGCGCCGTTTACAACCCTTTCCTCCTCCTCCTTTATCCCGTTTCATGTGGCGTTAAAACCACCCCGACGAAGATTCGCTGAATACCCTCCGACCTAAATCCTTCACCCCGCTAATATACAACACCCCCCTGTCTACACGCTGTTTCACCCTCGAGTTCCTCAAGATGCGCATGTGAGTTTACACAATGCGTGTTGCGGCGACTATCAAAGTCTCAACAAGTTGACCAGCGTATCCCTGCGCATGAAATTTTCCGGGAGAATCGCGTCGAAGTCAAATACGCCCAAGTCAGATACGCCCCGCCACATGCGCCTTGAAGACAACGTGTTGAGGCGGACATTTGTCTACCTTGCGTCAGACGCTTATTTGTCAGACGCCTCAACGCTGTTAGGTATTCCGGCCGTCGCGCTCGTATGCAAGCATTGGCTAGAAATTGCGAAGAGCGTTCCGTCCCTGTGGATGATTGCCGTTCAAAATTGGGAGCCGCAGCGCTTCCTCCGCTTGCTAGAACCGCCGCTACCTCTCTGCAGCATTGGCGGGATAGGTCCTCGCAGTACGACAGAACGACCAGTCCGACTGGATTGGTACATTGGGCCTCACGCCGTATTCGATATTCTCTCTGACCAGGACCTCACACTCCACGTGAAAACACGGATACAAAACATTACCGAAATGCATCTCGCGGTGGGGCTTGAGTTTCTGGACGAGTTGATCAAAGGCGTGCCGGAGATGCCGAAGTTAAAAGTGCTTCGTATCGACGAGCAAGCCCGGGCCACGGACTTGGATAGCCCTCGCTGGCATAGCCTACGGGTCACCTCCCTGGAGAACCTCTGCTTACAACACGCGCGAATCCCTCCGATCACCAGTTTCTTGAATGGTGCTCGACTATTCCATCTAGTTATTAGATTCCCTCCAGAGCAGCGGTACCAGATGAAAGATTTCCTCCATTTGTTGACCTTGCTCCCAAAGCTGGAAACTCTTACCTGGGAAGCGAGTCTCCCGCAGGACCAAGACGAGAGTTTACTGAACCGCATTCCAATGGCGGACTTGTACCGCCTTCGCCGCCTTCGTCTGGCCGGGAACACTGCCAGTTGTACCCGCATCCTGCAGCGCGTTCGAACCCCCGGACCAGTCCAGATTAGCATATCGGCTGAACATCCCACCGGGGTTCATGCATGTTCTTCTGTGATCGACGCGGCCAAGACCTTCTATGGGCACAGGTTCAGTGACGAGACGGAACTCGCCATCGCCGTTTCGGAAGACTTTTTTGCCATTGGCGTCGGCAAACCTAGATCCAAATCTCATCCGGAGACGATGAAGTGGCGCTATGAGTTTTACGTCGCCTTCCATGCTCTCAAGAAGCCCGCCTCAGGACAAGAGCTTGCAGACCGACTGGTCCCGGAATTTCGACCACACGCGTACAAAAGCCTTGTGATCAATGCATCCGATATTCACCATGCTGCGATCACTCCATGGTACGCCATGATTGCTCGGGACGGTGGTATGGACCAGATCGACTCGCTAACCCTCATTGGGACTACGGCCGTGTTATCCATGCTTGGTGCCGTCAGACATCATCGCAACGCTGGATCAAGCGTGCTGCCTAAACTCGCTACTTTGAATGTCCTTGTCACGTTACCGACGCCGGACCCATTTTGGCTGAAGAATTATGACGAGGAAGCCTGTTTCTGCAGAGGGTCAGATACACCCCTGCGGTCTATTCGGTTCGGTCGGTACTGTTTCGACGACAACGGTCCCGAGATCAACTTGCCATTTGAGCTCCACCTTCGCAGAGAAATATTTCAATTGTTTACGCTATCGGGCGTGACCGACGTCGACGTCGCCGATGAGGCACAGCGGCATATATCCAGGAGAAACGGGCGCTTGGACGCATATATCTCCCTTACTGGGGCGATGGAGCTCAACGACCGCCCCTGGCCTTGGAGGAAGGGCGCAACTTGGGACGGGCTGCACATGGAACCCATGACAGAATCTCGCGCGCATAACTTGCTCGACCAGGTCTTCTGTCCCGAGATAGACTTCCTAGCCCCACCCGCCGAAGCCGATGCCGCCGTTTAGCTGTATCAGTTCAAAAGAGCCCCCTTGTGCTAGCCATGACTCCTCATGTATTGATCATTGTGTGCGGGTTGGGTTCCGAAAAGACTGTTTCGTACACACTGACATCGCCTGACCGTCGACTGAACTTGTGGTCGGATATATATAACGAACTATTCATATATACGCATCTTTGCGCGGCGGTTTACGACGACATTTGATGGCGCACAAGAGCCGATAATCAAGTATTACGACCTCATGCCCGATTGAATCGCTGGACGCGCAGCGGCATGCGAGCGGATTCGTTCTCCTTCCCTTCCGTGCAAGGTGAGTTCACGAAAGACAGTTTCCACACGATTCGGTCCTTAGGAGGATAGAAAACGAACTCGCGCACCAACAAGGCGATCACGGCCTCTGCGAACGGAGAAGTATTTCGCGTGAGCACCATATCTTTCGCTTCAAAGATCGGAGCAACGCACTCATCTCGATCTCTGCAAACTTGAAGCCCAGGCATCCCCTGGATCCGCTGAGGAAAGTCATCCTGATATCCAGGATTAATCGTCAGCGTCATTGACAATGCCCAAGGGGGACTAGAGAAGAGAGTGACGCACAAGTTTGCGTATATACCCGGGACCTGCGCCTTGGACACGCCTTCCGGCAAGCCCTCCATCCACCTCGCAGGATTAAACTCCCCCGCATCCGGTCCCCAAATCCGTTCGTCTCTATTGCACCCCGCAATACCTAGCAGCACGCTCTGACCCTTCCTCACGGGGACCTCGTCGATCTCCTTCCCGTCCGTACCGACGGCAGGGAAATGAAGGGGAAGGATCGCGTCTTCACGTGCATTCCTGTGCCACATGTGGATCGGGGGGTGCAGTCGCAGGACCTCTTTCACCACCGCGTCGAGGTAGGGAAGCGAGGAGAGCGCGTCGTAGTCGATCGGGCTGTCCTCAGGAAAGGTGGCGATGAGCTGGTCTCGAAGACACTGTTGGACGTCTTGATGCAAGGCCAACATTTCGAAGGATCTGGCGAGCGCGCTGCTCGTGGTATCTACATACCCTCAGAAGTCAGTGTTGGCGGTCGTCGCTTCATAGCTATGAAGCTTACCGGTCCCGGCAAATAGGATATTACTAATGCGCAGTGAAGTTATTACATAGGAATGCTATCGATAAGAATGCGGGAACTTACCCAATCTCGGAAATGAGCACCTCTGGCGGCATACGCATGTTCTCGGGGAGCTCATTGTTCGCCTCGACTGCGCCAATCAGAAGTGGTAAGTAGCACTTCCATGAGCTACACATTGTGCGAGAGGAGAGCAACGCACCGAGCTTCGTGTAAATGTCGGAAGTGACGTCCTCGCTACCTTGGCCGGTTTCTAGCATCATCTGCCTCTTCTGATAAATGTCCGTCGTATACTTATGTAAAGCGTCCACCACATCTCGATAGTCTCGAATGCTGCGGAACCTCACGGAAAGGAGGTCGACGCAATAGCGCATAACCGTGGAGACTATACCAGACCGGACGTAAGCCACTAATCCGAGAACCGGCATGAACGGCCAAGTGGCTTGCCTGGACATGGAAAATAGGTGAAGAGGTGGAATTGCGGTTCAGTCGGAGAAACCACCGGCCTAAGGAGAAAGACTTACAGCAGTTTAACGAAGGTATGGCTGAATTCGTTTTCCTCCATGCTCTGGTCAAAGACGCCGAACGTATAACCTATGCCTGCTCTGCCAATCATCTCGAGCGAGGCGCGGGACAGCTGGTGGTACATGTCGATTTCAATCGCACCACCATCGACGCCGTCTAAGATCGTAACACGGAGCTTCGTATTCGTTCCATAAGCATCACAGGAATCGGTGCTAGTACGAGACTTGAGACATACCTCATTGGCTACATCAAGGAAGACAGAGCTGAGACTTCGTATGTTGGTGGTGGAAAAGTGAGGAAGCATGATTTTTCGTTGCGCTCGGTGCGCTGCGCCTGCAGAAGAAAATGTCTCCATGAAGCCATCATTGCGATCGTCTGCAGTCAAATACCTTCCAAAGACGGAAGCGAGCGACCAAAGTTTAACAACGTGAACCTAGAATTGGACCATCGAGCACTGCACCCAGATTCGCAAATGAAAGAAAGCACGTACCCGACAACAGATCTCAGTTCTTCGAATTTACCCTCATCCCTTATAAGGATGTGCTGCAGCGCGCGGGGGTCGGTAACGTAGAGCTGCTCATCCTAGGGATACCATCAGGGACCATCCATGCGTAGAGGAATCCGCGTACTCACTCCGATAAAGCCGTTGAATTGAACAATACTGCCGAGTTTGGCACATAGCTCTTGCTTCTCCATGCCCGCGATGGGATCAAGGATGTCTGCGAGGTTTCCTGCACTTCAGTATATTAGCGTGAGTGGGTAGCCGAGAGGTGATATATAGCCATACCCTGCAAGAAGCCCGCGACAGGCAATCTAGGAAGATTGCGGAGGATGGACTTGGTTACCAATCTGCGGTACATCGACCACATCGACCATAGCAGAAGAAAGAGCCCAACGACGAGCAGGGTGGACATCGTGAGATGCCTCGCAATAGAATCTGCGCAGACAACGCTAGAAGTTCTCGAGAGCCGGTTCGGATACTTATATACTGATAGGAATTCAGTTTACAGTTCAAATAAGATGCTAGCAAGGGTAAGCAAGCTTGGTCAGCGGCTCCGCACCTGAATACTTGGAAGTTTCCGGTTCAGCCTTATTACGTTCTCCGCATGGACGGAGGGCAAGCACGACCCATCGATCAATGCGTAGTTGACGTCCGTATGGAACCCGTAGGTAGAACGGGCCGGAAACAGCTCTCGTTGGGTTATAATATTGCCATATCGAGGAGCTCTGGAAAGCTTCAGCCTCCAGTGCAGCGCTTATGGTAACGTGCACGTTGATATACATACGGATTGGCGTTGGTCCATGCGCCCCGTGATATGCTGTCGTTCGGATGTTCAACAAAGTTCGCGCTGTACAGGCAGAATTGGGGGGATGACTTACCAAAGGATGTCTCCTTGGGAGAGCAAAGGCAAACACGATATTTTACATTTGCCCCATTCGCATCGTCGGGGACGATTCGACGATCCCGGTGTCGATGCTGCACGTCAGGGGGCAGAAGAGCGATCATCCGGAGCTTCATTTGCGGGGAAGCTCGGTAGAGAGAATCGGAACCGAGGGAGTCAAAGGATGCCTGTCACTATTTCCCTGGCTGGTCCAGGTGATGGAAGACGAAACCGAGCTAGGAACGCGTCACTAAAACGTGACGCGCAGAAATCGCAAGGTTGCCTGTGCTACCGATGCTGAAAGCATCACCCCGGAGACTCACGGCTGAGAATTACGTTCGCCGTGTGTCATACTTCAGGATACAGCCAGACAACTGCACAGACAACGTTGTACGTCGAGAACAGATTGCTCTGTACTTGTATTCATAGCTCGTCTCTGGACGAGGACGAGAGCCTGGGCTTGTATGACACTTCCACCCCTGGGATCGCACTCCTCGGATCGTTTCACACCCTCCTCTGACGTGTCACCGCAGCTGTCGAACGCCATCGACCTGAATACGGGAAGGCCGTCGTTTCCGGTCAACGACAACACATCTTCAACTCTCCCACAGGACGTCATCGTAGTGTTCAGCGCACTCCAGCGTGAGCGAAGCCAAATTTGGGAGAGTCCACTTCGACCGGCCATCGGTGGAGGGGTTTGTTGTTCAAAAAGCTTTCACGAAGGGTATTCCGGGCGTCAGAGAAATGCGGACGGTGTGAATGGAGGGCTGCTCTGCGAGGACCTTCCGTAAACCCCAGTGGTTTCCGTGGAGCGTCAATGTCGTCATAGACTTTGAAGGAAGGAGAAGAATGCTGCCTAAGGGGTACATAACGTGCAGGGGATCCCGTGCTTCATAGTTGAACACGAAGGGGTGCCCTGCGTTCTGGCGGCGCGGGGAACATCTTTTGAAGTAGCGGCCATAGCTCATCAAGCGCAGTCGGTCACGAAGGTACGATAGCGGGGACACGAGCTCCGAGTCCTTCATGAGGTTGAAGCAAGAGCAGACGATCCAGAATTTGGTATCCCGAAGCGAATCCATCTTGAATGACGGCCCAGCATCGACTTCCATATCGACTTCCTCATCCACATAGACATCGTGTTCTTGAGGACACACTAGGCAGCCGACCAAAGCGCGTCTAGTCATTTCCATTAGCGGTCCTGGAATAGTGCTTCGTATTTCCGAGCGCGCTCCAACTCGATCTGCGTATAGACATATTGAGGGGGAGCCAACAAGTCAAGGAGAGCGTGTGTGGCGGGCTGTGACGGGGATCCGATTCCGGAGAATCGCGACTTGCTGCACATCTTTTTGGACCACGTCAACACGTCAGGATTCATTCGATTCAACCTCCAGCGTTTCTGTCGAGACCATGTACTCTTTGCTGAGCGTAGACGAAGAGAACTTCAGCTGTATGCTAGGACATCTCTTCGACAGTGACTCCCGCAACGGCGTGATCCGAAATCGACTTGCGCATTCGTGTCCCGGCGCACTTTGATGGAGATGACTTCCTCATTGGACGTCCTTCTGTTCATCCGCCGTGTCTGCAAACATTGCAGTAGACAGCTCTTCTCGAGGCTGAAAACGGAAGAGTCGCGAACGGGAAAAGGAGTGTTTTTTGTGCAGGTAACGTTCGCGTCTTCAGGTTCATACCGACACGAGGTGGAGACTGACTGCGTCGCCCCTCCTCCCTATCAGTCTCATCAGATCACGGAAGTCATTCTCGGATTCGCCACGTCCGTCGCGGACCTTGCTTCCCTGCGTCCAGAATTTCTCGTGCTGACGCACAACTCCTCAACCATGGCTACCGTATTCCTCGTTCCGCGCCCTAGAGCATCGTGAACATCCAAACCATCTAAACTGTGTTGGCAACCTGCCTACCGATATTACGCCTTCGACACCGTCTGGTGGCTGTGTAAGACGCCCCAGCCTGTTGAAATCTCGAGAGGGAGTACTCCTGGCCTAACGCCCCACAATTCGCTGGAAGCTTCAATTGTGGTTGTCTGACCCTGGAACCAACTGACATCATGGGGATTAGGACGGTTCGAATGTGTGCATGGTGGAAAACGCACGATTTTTACGACCTTAGTCTTGGAGGCGTTACCCCACCACGCATGCCCCGGCTCCGAACCGAGCTAGTACGACGAACGAACTGGTCGCGTTGCACATTATACTACAGGTCTTGCTCTGCGTCATATCTTGCCCAAATAAAATTTCTGAGGAAGCCAGCTGTATCGGCGAACAGGGCGTGGTTTTTCGAACAAGGAGGTGGCGCATCGATGTTCCACGGCCACCTGGGACGCTGGAAAGAAGAATATATTACAGCGTGACCTGCTCTGCGCTAAAAGCTGAAGGGGGCAATAAGACAAGATGTCATCGTTGACTTCACTCTGCGTCGAACGCCGTGGACAATCGCCGTACCAGCATTATGCGGACTAGGACCGATAGGAATACGGCGATCTTCCGTCTTGCCCGCACCGTTGCCTCGTCGGAAGAATATTAGAAGATTACTGCGATGCATTCAGCTGGCATAGTCAGCCACTGCTCAAGACGAACACTCACGACAGTGATACTCGTCAGAAAATCAATGCGCCCCACGGTTCGTGTCGCAATTTCTCCCGGTTGAGTCTCCTTGTACCCGTTTCCCCGAAAGGTATGTTCGAGACAAGGGTGGCAAGAGTGGCGGCAGCGGCGACAGGGCTTCGGCAGCCGATACTCATTGACTGCGTGTGACAAGGTGCGATAGACATCCCAACAAATTCTCGGATGTCAATAACGTTCTACACAGTCCATGGAGTGCTGCACGGATATGATATAAAGGCCAGTGTGCTGTGTAGGTTTGTAAGTTCTAAGTTCGGTTGGGATATTCCGATTGTGGGAAATATCCCCATCGATCCACGTACGAACCTGTCTTCCAGCAATCCTACCGGCCTGCCCTATGTGGCGTCCGCAACCTGGCCCTTTCTTGGACGACGCTGATTATCACGTTCATGGTCATCGGTCCAAACTCTTGGATATTCTGAACACCGTTGATATCATTCTTCCTGGTCTCTGAGGAATCGCGTCAAACCGAGCCCCTTCGCCACATGATAACATGGTATTCACAACGTGAGTTGACCGTCCCAATTCCGACGTGGAACATAGGTTCTGACACACATCTTAGCTTTTCTCGGTTCACGCCTATGGCGCCGCCCAAGGAGTGGAGAATCTTAAGGATCAACCTATCCTCGGAGAATCATGGAATCCTCAAAAGCAGTGGATCGTCAACGACACCGTGCATTTCAAACTGCCCCGTCCACACTCTCCCTGTGGAATTGCTTATCGAGATCTTCTCATATCTTCCGCCACATGGTGCAACACAGAGGAGTAATCCCGCAGTGGCATCGGTATGCTGGTGGTGGCGCTCAGTGGCACATCAGACGCGGTCACTATGGAACGTGGCCCAAAACGGCTGGCCCCAACGATCTCTTGCCCATCTGAATTACGAGTTCACATCAAATTTCCCTATCCACGTACGGTGGAACGAAGAGCTTTCTTGGCTTTCGCTATACTATCACGAAGATGAGGAGCTACGAATGCTTCTGTCGGAGCAGTTGCACCGCATCGCAATTATGGAGTTAACAGCGCCATCGGATTTTCTGGACAATATGACTGACGGCGCCTCTGAGCTGCCGCTACTGAGGAAGCTCTGCTTTAAGGAAATATCCTTAGGTTCCCAGTCGATTATGCCCTCGTGGTACGGCAAAAAGGCTCCGCGCCTGGAGATTCTTTCTTTACAGGGTGCGCCAGTGCCATGGCAATCGACCTTTATCCAGTCGGCAGCCTCTCACCTCCGGAAACTGGAGGTCCGGTACCCTCGTGGAGAACGGTGCGAGGTTGATAGCTTCCTCGAGTGCCTGGAGAGCATGTCGGCGCTGGATAGTCTTGTATGGGAAGGGCATCTTCCGCACGCAACCGCTGGGAAAGTACTGGAGCCACCCATCAGGGTGCATATGCCCCGTCTCCGCAACCTCCGCTTGGCTGGAGAAATATGGAGCTGTGCCGGTATCGTACAGAGTCTTTCCTGCGGTGGACCGGTTAGGGTGAGCGTTTCCGTAGAAGGCGGTCCTGATTCTGCGGCCTGCTCCTCCATGCTCGACATCGTCAAGTCGTTTTACGGAAAAGGGGCCGGTTACGAAACCCAGTTGTCCCTCGCCGTCTCGAAGGACGTTTTTGCGATCGGAGTCGGCCGGCCTCGGCCTCAGGATTATCCTACCAATATGAAATGGTGTTACCATTTATACATGTATGTGGCATTTCACGATCTTCCTCCAACCAGCACCGGCCCGCATGTCGCACGATGCCTTGCTTCACAATATCCGGCTTTCGACTATCATTCACTCCTGATAAACGGCGCGGACATTCATGATGTGAACCTGTGGTGTACTCTGCTCGGATACCGTGAAAACATGGATCAAGTCAGGTCTTTGATCCTGGTGGGGAGTTCCACGATTACGTCCATGTTCGGCGCCATTTCCGAGTATCGACAAGGAGGCATGCATGTCCTACCGTCGCTCGAATCTATTGACCTCGTGGACACGTCGTCCACAATAGGATTCCCTTGGATCCGATCTCTGGAAGAGGAAGCCAGGATTCGTACCTGTTTCCAGTTTCATGCGCTTCACACAATTCGTATCAAGCAGCACGGATTCATGGGTGCCTGTCGTCATGCATGCTGGCGTAAAGTCGTGGCGCTCATTGTACGGATGAATCTGGTCAGAAGGATGCAAAGATTCGTTCCTGTCGTCGAATGTGACGCGTGGGCTTCGACTAGGCCCCGGCGGGGCTACAACTGCTATTTCGCGGACCTTATCGGGCACGATGGCCTTGATATGGGTGAACGATCTTGGCCTTGGAGAGAAGGGGGAACATGGGAGGGTTTGGCAATGACCGCCCTCGCGTCGTCGGGTGACTGGTCTTCCTCAGCCACGGTTCTTCCCCAGATTGATTTCTATGCTCCACCGAAAACTCATTGATACATTGGGAACACTACTATGCCGTCTCTATCCCGACAAAATGTTACGTACTCGTTCCCGCAAAAAGTATGGAAACGCCAGCACGTGATTGACGCGCGGTTCTCCTCCTCGCCTTTCCGCATGGCTCCTCGCGGTACAACTGAGTTTACCCCTTCGAAAAGGGGACGTATACTTGCGCTTAGAGAAGAGGGATATACATACCAGCAAATTTCAGAGAAAGTTGGAGCCTCTGCATCAGCATGCCAGAAGACTGTTCGACGTGATCAGATCTACCATACCCGACAATCCCTGCCCAGGTCTGGACGGCCACGCACTCTCACCGACCGGGATCGTCGCCGAATCATCCATACGGCTCGAAAACATCGCTTTGATACATATCATGCCATTTCGGACCGTGTCGGGACTGTGTCTGCCCGCCAAGTTCGGCAGGCTTTGCAAGAAGCTGGTTATCACCGACGAATAGCACGCCGAAAATTCTTTCTCACGGCTGTAGCTGCAAAAAAGCGACTTGCCTGGGCTAGAGCCAACTCAGGAAGGGACTGGGGTTCAGTAGTATGGACAGATGAAAGCTCTATTGAGCTGGGAGAGCGTCCTGTGCACCGCAAGGTCACCCGGCTACCTGGAGAAGAATTTCTGCTTGACACGATTCAGCCCACATTCCGTAGTGGCAGGAAATCGATCATGGTATGGGGCTGTATCTCTTACAAGAAGAAGGGCCCTCTCATCATCTTGGAGAAGCCGCCGACAGTACCGGGTGCAAAGGGAAGGGGAGGGCTAGGTGGCAAGGAGTATGTTGAACAGGTCCTTCGAGGCCTGCTATCGACATATGTCAGGCAGCTATCACACGAGCAGGGAAGGGAGATTCTGGTTGTGGAAGATGGAGCACCAGCGCACCGAAGTGCCCTTGCAAATCAGGCCCGTTCGCAACTCGGTATCAAGTCACTGCCGCATCCAGCAAGTTCACCGGATCTCAATCCCATTGAACCAATCTGGCTATTACTCAAGAGTTGTGTGGCAGATATTCAGGGTTCCTCCCGATCCATTGAGGCCCTCCAATCGGCTGTGAGGGAGGCTTGGGATGGCATATCAGACAAGGATGTTGAGAGGCATACATCTCAGATGGATGCACGTGTAGAAGCAGTCAAAAAAGCTCGAGGCTGGCATACCAAGTTCTGAGTCCTTAGCATAGATCCATACACTGTATAGTTTATATTAACATGGGTATACTTGCCATTACTATGTGCGCTCGTGAGTTGGAACCTCCACTTTGTGCGATATGCATGGGGATTGTGGCTGTGCGTTTCCATACTTTTTGCGGGAACGAGTACACCGTGTAATCAATGCGTCCATTGATGCTCCGCTATATTCGAAAGGCAAGACTGCCAACTACGTTGGGACCAATACATTCTGATAACGTTTGGGAAACAGCATCACACTAATTGTCACATAAGGGTAGATGCACCGACGGCTACAGCAGCCATGTAGACGGCGACCATTGTCGCCCGAGTTCGACGCCCATACGTTGCGTTTTGAGCGTGCTTCTCCTCCTCCTCTCCCATCGTCTTCAATCCTTGCTCCGCCTCTTGTGCCCTCGTCGCTGCTTCCTCCGCACGCGCATCCGCTTGGGCGATCCGCGCGCTCGCGTCTCTGGCCAGTGCAGCCGCCGCCTTCGCCTTTTCCTCAATCTCCCGAGTCCTCGCCTCCGCCATCGAGAGTTGCACCCTCGCCTCCCTTGCTGACTTCTCCGCCTCGCGGATCTTGATTTGAGCCGTTTGTAGCTTGCTCTCGGCTTCCCGCGCCTTCCACTCTGCCTTCGCAGCTCGAGCATTGGCCTCCATCATCTTCTCCTTCACAACGTCGCTCTGTGCCTGCCCATCCAGCAACCTCCCCTTAAAGGAGTCCATCTGCGACTGAAGCACGCGAGTTTTCTCGTCTGCCTGGCGGGCTCTCGCAAGTGCTTCAGCCAGACGAGAGCTCGCTTCCTCAACGCGTACATCTGCGGCGCGTGAGCGGGCTTCCGCCTTCTCGGCCCTGCTATACGATCGTCCGATCCGCAAATCGGAGTCCCTCAGACGAGCGACGGCCTCTTGGTTGCGCGTCTCCGCATCATGCGCCCTCTTCTCGGCGTCTTGAAGGCGGAGCTTCGCATCGCTCGCCTGCCTTTCCGCTTCCATGGCCATCTCGTCCGCCTCTACGACCTGCCTCTCAAGTTGTTCGACCTTGGCGCGAGCTTCCTCCACCATCTTCTCCGCCGAAAGGGCCCTCGCGTCCGCTTCGGCGACCCGCATCGCAGAGCCGAGTGCCCTGGCTTTCGCCTCGCCGGCTCGAAGGCCGGCTTCCAGAGCTTGGTCTTCTGCAGCCTGGCGTCGCGCATCCGCTTCCGCCGTCCGCGCGTTGGCCTCCCGTACCAGCGCATCGGCATTCGCCGCTCGTTCCTCGGCATCCAGTGCGCGGGATTCCGCATCGCGCACGATGCATTCCTGTTCAGCTAGCTCTCGTCGAACTTCTCGCAGCTCGGATGCCGCCGCACGTATTCCGGATTCCAGCCCCGCGACTCGTGCGGCTAACGCGAGCGCTTGCGCCTCAGCGTCCTTTCCCCGTGTTTCCAGCTCACGAGCTCGAGCGTGGGCGTCCTGAAGCTGAATGTCCAAGTCCGCAGCACGGGTTGTCGCATCCAGCGCGCGCTGTTCCGCAGCCTCGAACTTGACCTCGGCCTCCTCCACCTCGGCCTTCGCCAGCCGCATCGTCGTCTCAATCTCGTCGACGCGGTCATAAGCGTCTTGAACGCGCCCCAGCGATTCTTGCGCCATCGCCTCCGCGGCGTGAACTCGGCGGTCGGCCTGGTGCAACCTCGCTTCGGCCTCCTCAGTTCGCGCGTCAGCTTCGTCAGCCCGCACGAGAGCGGCACGAGCCATGGCCTTCGCGTCTTCCGCCCTGGCATTCCCTTCCGCAAGCTTTGCCTGCATAGCTTGGACGGATTGGCGCGCTTCGTCGGCGGCTCGCTGGGCGATACGTTCCCTATCCTCGAGTTCTGCCATTCGGGCGACCATCTCCTTCACCCTAGCTTCCGCCTCCGCAGCTTGGATGCGAGCGGCTTCGGCCTGAGTCTCCGCTGCCTGGGCTCTCGCGTATGCTTCGTCGGCCTTGTCTATCGCTTCAGCCTCCCTGGCCTTCGATTCTTCCGCCGCCCTCTGATGTTCTTCAGCCAACCGGCGAGCGTCTTTCTCTCTGGCCTCCGCGCTGCTGGCCCTCTCTTCCGCGATCCGCGCAGCGTTCTCCACCTCAGCCGTCCGTTGCTCTGTAGCGACGGCCCTCCCGTCCGCCAGTGAACGGGCCTCGTCCACCTCCTTCTGCAGCTCCTCCGCCCTTCGTTCGGCAATCCTCGCCTTTGCCTCAGCAGCGGCGATCGCCTCCGCCTCCCTCACGCTCGCGGCCTCCGCGTTCCTCGCGTTCGCAGCAGCCACCTCCCTCTCCAATTCCTCCGCTCGACGTTCGGCTGCCTCCTTCTCCGCGATGCGCTCTCGGAGGAGCTCCTGGAGCGCGGCGTTACCGGACCGGCCGGCGAGTACCTCCGCTTCGAGGTCCTTAAGGCGCTTCTTCCGCAGTGAACCGCCGAAGCCGAGCTTGGCCTTGATGCGGTCGCGCATACGATCCGGGGCGGCGGTCTTGGTGGACGGGGCGAGCGAGAGGACGTCTGTGCTGGTTGCCGGGGGAGAGGATGATGTTGCGGGGTTATTGTTGATGCTCATAGTGAGTAGAACTTGCAATCTGGTAGCAGGGTAGCGTCAGTTGAATAATCATACGCTTGAACGGGACGTCATTTCGTACCGTAGTGGTGGTATGAAGCTGGTGGTTCAGGTCGGACGGTGTCGCGAGCTGCGCTGATACTTATGGTGAACACGACCATGGGACTCTGTGCTGTGGGGCGCAATGCATGCTTAACACGCCTACAAAGAGGATCCATAACTCCAGCGCGTTCTCGGGGCAGAAGACAGGACCTGGAATCTCGTTGCATGATGTGGCGGTGCTCGCGGAAGGGCGGGTGTACGGCATGCGTGAACCCTCAAAGGTTCAACGTGTTCACGGCGCGTCCACAGCGGAAATGAGGGTACAATCGCCTGTTGTGGGTGGCAGCGTCTTCATTTCGTGCTAATCGCCTGCAAGACATCCGTTGATGGGATGGTCGCACTCTGGCCAAGATACACGTACGAACTACCATTCGCCTGGAGCGGCTTGAGGCGATGATCCACACCCGAGTCCAGTCGTATCAGAGCACTGTAGTCGGGAGGACAGGCTGGAATGAACGAAGCTCTTGTCGGCACGATACCTGGACCGATGTAAATAGCAGTCAGACGTGCCCGGTGTGACTGTAGAGATCGTGATGAAAACTGGTACGAATCAGCTACGGAGAGCATCTCCTTCCATGCTCTGAGCAATCGAAAACATCAGGCAGATGCGTAGGATTCGATGTCAAGTTGGAGTGTGAATACAAATCACAGAAAGCACTGTACTTCTATTTGCGCAGCACGGACAGAATTCGTCCACCCCGGAAACCTTGAGAGCAGGAGTAATCGTTAACGCCAAGGAGACGTATCAACCACCATTCGAGCTTTCATGACTCACCTCGCTTCCGCACACAACATCAGCATGTCCCCCGACTTCAGCTGTTTAATGAATTCGTGATGGCGCTCCAACGTCATTTCTTTCCTCTGCCACCGCTTATCCGCGTGAAGGTTGACATAATACCGTAATGGGTCGCCCGAGCAGTGACGGTCCAAGACGACCTGGTCCAGGGGCACGTCGGCCGCCTCCCTGTCGCAAACGCGGAGGTCGATCCAGGTCCAGCTGTTATTGTGCGTCCCCTTGTCTTCGGGAAAGCTGCTCCATCCTTGATCGTGGCTCTCCGTGACGATGGTGACCTTCACAATGGACTCTGGGCGAGGTATCGGCGGCGTCCGAACGAGGACGCGCGAGTGAGCAAGGTTGCTCGCCGAGACGGTGCGCGGCAGTTGTTCATCGAGCCGGCGCGAGTAGCGGGTGTAGTATTCGGCCTCGTGCAAAATCTGGTCGACGAGCTCGATGGGTAGCAGGTGGAGGAGGCTGAGTCGGACGGTGACGATGTCGGCGCGGGACGGATTGTGGAGAGGGGAAGACGGGCGATTCGGAGAGGTCGCGCCTAGTAGCGACGAGACTCCAGAAGCTACGAGCGATAGTACGTTCATCGTGGTGTCTGTCAACGCGACGGTGATGGTGCGGGATGGTGAGGAATTTCGGACTCAAACCTTTGGGAGGAGTGTGATAATACTTATCAGGGCAGGGAAGCCAAGGACAGAAAAACGACATCGGCACATGATCGTGGGAAAGTACGATTTCTATGAGCTTGAGACGCGTTCCGGGCGTGTATGCAATACGAGCGCTACAGTGGCGAATCACCGGTCGTTCGGAAGGCGAAGCAGTGGAGGAGTACGATACCGTGAAGGCCCTCAGCCTCGCGCGCTCAGCCGCTATGTTCGGCAGTGGGACTACGGTCTGGGACGTCTACAATGTCAATGATACCACAAAGGTACGGTTATTTTCCTTCTTCTGTCTCATGTACCCCTTTCGCTGGCTGTAATACAGAGTCAGCCGTACGTGCTGAAACGGTTGTGGCGCGATGAATCACCCAGCCTAGAAAACGACATGATTCCGGATGGCCTCGAGGATTCTCCTGTTGTTCGGATTGTGTGGTCCAGGGATGCTTACCTAGCCGACGAGACTCGCGAAGATGTTCTCGTGGTGATCTGACAATGTACAGCGATCAAAGACGCTGCGACGAAAGTAGGAGACCACTACAAGCCGGGCAAATGGAAGCTGAGCGACGTGAATATAGCCGATGAACGCGTACACACGGCCGTAACAGATTATCTCCATTTTACCACCGTACAGCAGTACAAGCCACGTAATCGTATCCGGACCTATACCTTGATGTTGACGCGTGGCGCTGAGATTAGGCGCTTCAAGAACTTCCCTGCGCTCTTGAGTCTTGACCGCCATGCGCGACGTCATCCAAGGTAAGACCGACAGCGCGTATGACACCTCATCGGCGCTAACTGCTAACGTCAGGGCACAAAGACCTATGGTTCCGGGACGTTCTGTATAGGGAAATCAGCCCTGGCAATATTCTCATCATGTCGCAGGACAAGGATCGCCCAGCGGGATGTTTGATCGATCTTGACCATGGTAAGAAATACAAGAAAGAGGAAATGACAAAGGCTCCTATCGCAGGAACAGATATTGATGACTATGACGTGTCACTCGTCATCAGGCGCGCCAAGTTGGGATACAATACGACACTCACAGAGGCGGTCGCGTCGAGGCTATTAGCTGCGATGGGAACCCCGGAAATGGCGGTGCTATTCATCAACGAGGCTAAAACGTTTTGGGATGATGTATGTTCAACGCTCGTCGAGCGTGTTTCAAACAAGCTGACGCTGGATGCAGATCCCAGGATTTATCATACCTGATCTTGAAAGAAACGTAAGTACTGGAGCCACTCAGATAGTTCCAACGCCACTGAAACTCTGACAGATCGAATGGCCCAACGTCAATCTTGTCGCGCGAGATGATCACACACGTAACAGGTTTCACCCTAGATGCTGCCGCCTATGCAAAAAGCGACTGCGACTCCAAAGGTCCTGTCCCTAAGAAGAACAAGATGGAGGGGAATTGAATCTTTGGTAGGCGCACGCGGTAAAAAACCGCATTTGAACTGATGGTTCATTCTTCCTAGCCTACATTGACGGTCGTTCGACGCTTTGCCTGTTTTCCGCCTCCGCGCTTCGCTCTCATCGTGCTCTGATCATATGTTGTTGCAATGCTATCCTTGGCCGAGATTCAGCGGATATCGATATCAATGATGTCCATTCGCTTAATCGTGCTTTCTTGCTTTCGTTCCTGTTGTCTTGGTTTGTATACTATCACGAATTTATGACGATCACGACCATGCGACCAAACGTCTGAGTTGCTTGTCATCTCCCAGTGGAAAGCAACCGTTCTTCGTGCACTTGATCTGTTTGCTTCGTTCAAGAAAGCCACGCAGGTCTTGCGCCTTTGACCCAGAATTCGATTGAGTAGTACGCCATTTTCAATCCCGCAACGTAAGACGCTACCGAGCGAGCATAAAGCGCCGGCCCCTACGCTCCCAAGCACGATGTTCTCTCATACGATCTTGGCCCCGGTAACCAACACTTGGTCAACACAACAAGAACAAATGCAAGAAAACATGCTTGCGGAGCACCGCTCGCGAGCTGACCATCTACGATGCGACGAGGATGCGATCCGTCGCGCTCTGTGCGTACAGGCTCGAGCGCGGGAGCAAGGGCAGGCGTGGAAGCGTGCAGGTTGTCTGAGGTGGGCAGGTCCTCGGCGACAATGCCTGTTGCTCCGTGATTGATTGCAACGGCGATCGGATGCTTGCCTGTCTGATGAGTCCCAATACGGCATTAACCTTGTCGGATAAGCAGTGGTCGAAGAGAAATAGATCTCAAATATGTGCTGATTGGCCTTTTCTCCCGGCGATGGACATCTTCTAACATGAAAGACAAGGGAGTGATCGTTCCTGGTGACTAGGTGAGTGAACTAAGGGGAAACCGCTCACACGCGGGCTCGCGTTATCATGGAATCGAGGCATCCATAACGAAATGGACTCCAGGATTGGTTCAGAATATACACTGGGGACCAATCAAACGAGGAGCTCATGGTGCGTATATTTTTGGGATGTTGTTACGAGGAATGCTTCTGCACTTCCCCCCATCGATCGGATGAAGGGCACCGCCCTGGAAAACCTGGGTTCTCCAACGGCCCTATCATGTACCCACTTCCCGGTTTTGGCTTGCCCGTTGAGGAGCCGACAGGTTTGGATAACAATCAGTTTTGGGGGCACGGGAAAGGCGTGTTGTTCGACGCATCCATTTCAGAGTGTCCACCCAGAAATCTGACACAAGGGGGTCCATTTTGGGGCATAGCATGCAACGTCGACCGTCGGTTGCGGTCGATAAGCATGACTCGGCGTGTATTCCTATGTTCTTGCTGTGTGGCGTCTTGTTCACATTTAAAGTCTCACGTCTGAGACCGCGACACCTCGGTGTTCACCTGATCCCAATCTGACTAGCCACAGACCCTATCCTATGGTTTCATCCTACAAGGACGCCGAGGGGGGTTACGCCACCCACCAGCATCTCACTCCAAACAACACCAGCACCTCCCAGACTTACCATAGGGCTGGCATTACATCGGCGCGTGAAATGACTACCAAGGTTCTCGCCGAGGTGGGAGGTCGTGCCTGCACCATTGACACTCTTGATTTCCTTGAAGACATTCTCGGCTCAAACGGTGATGAGGTCGACTTAGCTCATGAGGTCTATAAGAAGTTGGAGGACGCCGGACACTACGACACGAACATCAGTCTCTGGAAAGACTTTCCACTGGAGATCGAGCAGGAGCAGGAGCTTTACGCGCCTTTCGTCAATGCTGCCACTGCAATCGGCGACACACTTCGAACCCTAGGTCACGAACCGCGTACGAGTGTGCTGTGGACGGATGGCGCGAATATTTCTCCTATATCCCCAAACCTAGCAGCCCCCAAGCTCCGCCCTGACATCCTGGCGACAATCGGACAGCGAAACCTGGACCAGGAGCAACAAGTACGTCCATTCCCTCATATCCGTCACTGTTTCGGTCTGATCCATTATACCTAGGTGATTCCTCACTGGACTCGCGTTCACTCCCCGGTAGAAGTGAAGAAGAAATCTGACGACGATACTGTGGCGCCTGCCCTCGCACAGCTTGGGAACTATATGCGCATGGTTCTCTCCGAACAAGTTAACCGTCGCTTCGTTCTTGGCCTGCTTCTCTGCGGGACGGAGCTTTCGATATGGATGTGCGACAGGTCCGGTTTGGTGGGAACGCACCGTGCGTTCGACATACACGAGGCGAGTCCCTTACCTTCGCGTTAGACTGCCTCCTCATGCGTATTTATGCAGTCTCCGCTCTTGTTTATTCGCACCATCATGGCTTTCTATCGAATGGATGCCTTGCGTAGTGGCTGGGACACCGATATGAAGCTGTTGCGAACGCGGAATCACCAGCTCGAAGCTGTTTGTACCTCGGATCTGACTGTCATTCCAGCCGACTTTGGGGGCGACATTTACGATACAAAGTGGCGAATCACGGTTCGATCGCAGAACGGTGAAGTGGAGGTGTTTGAAACAGTGAAGGCCCTTAGCCTCGCGCGCTCGGCAGCTATGTTCGGAAGCGGGAGTACGGTTTGGGACGTCTACAATGTCAAGGACACGGAAAAGGTAAGGTGCCATTCCTTCCGCCTACCTGTTGCTGACTACCATCGGGGATCAGTTATATGTCCTGAAGCGGTTGTGGCGCGATGACACAGCCGGCTTGGAAGCTGACATGATTCCAGGCGGCCTCGGCAATTCTCCTGTCGTACAAATTTTATGGTCCCGGGATGCTTATCTGGATGGTGGTATCCGTGACGAGACTCTCGGCGTGATTCGAGGACGCACTACGGTTCAGGACGCCGCCACGAAAATAGGAGATCAGCCCAAGCGTGGCAAGAGGAAGCGGAGTGACGCGAACTCCGCTGATCAACGTGTTCACACCGCAGTCACCGACCATTCCAATTTTCAAACCGTATTACAGTACAACCCATGCAACCGTATCCGGACATACACCTTGATGTTGACACGTGGCATTGAACTCAAGCGGTTCAAGAGCGTACCTGTGCTGCTGAACGCCATGCGCGACGCCATCCAAGGTATGTCAGACTTCACTATGTGCTTACCCTTATGGATGCTGATATGATTTATAGGCCACAAAGACCTGTGGTTCCGTGGCGTACTGCACAGGGATATCAGCCCTGGCAATATTCTGATCACATCGCAGGATAAGACGGGCAGAGTGGGTTGTTTGATTGATCTTGATCATGGGAAGAAGTACGAGGACCACATGATGTCTGCCCCCAGTCTATGGAGCGTAAGCTCTCAGAGGGCTGCCGTACTTGTTGAAGATGAGAAAACCTATCATGACATTGATCTCAAGGAGACGGACGCGATGAAACTGTTGGCTTGCTTTGGACCACGCGATGCACACATTTTCTTGGAAGAGGCGGCACTGGACATTTGGCCGGAAGGGGTACGTATCCAATCTGACTGGACGATCATCGTATAGAGGTTGACGCTGAAGACGCAGATCCCAGACTATATCATACCTGAGCTCGAGCCAGACGTGAGTACAGGGTGTACCGAGACGCATAGTATGATTGAGACTCTGGCAGGCGCGCTGGCCCAACGTGGATGCCGATTCGGAAACAGGATTTATACACACGGTACGGTGAATCCTGTTAGTTAACGTCGATGATTTCAAACATTCTCTTCAGGGAACCAAGGCATTCATGAGTGCTGAATTATTGCCTCAAGGGCGGCCATATAGATACGCCATTAAACGTCCTGGTGGGCCCATCAAGCAAGGTGTCATCCATGACATCGAATCCTTTTTCTGGGTTCTCATCTATGTCTGCCTTGTGCGCCGTGATGACGGTCGCTTGCGCGATGAACTGCGCTCGGACCCCCCTGAAGGCGATACATATGCCAAGACTCTGCATAACATCGTTTACTGCCTGTTCGACACATCGGACGAGGAGACACTCCGCTCCAACAAGTTCGAATTGTTTGAGAACCCTGCAGACATGGAAAACTACGTTATTCGCTACTTTCACCCGAGCATGGCATGTTTGAAACCGTTCGTGCGGAAATGGTGGAAGCTACTCATCTTCTCGTATCGGGCATACAACGCTTTTACGCCCGGCGTCATACACTCGCAGGTTCTCCGACTTTTCAATGACGAAATCGCGACCTTCGGCGAAACGGGCACGCGTGGCGTGGCTGGCGCTACTGAACCATTCCAGCCGAGCCCGGAGCGTCCGCGAGCAAAACCCGCACAGCCCGAATCACGAACGTACCCTGTTGGAACGGGGTTCAGACTGGATCCTGCCGCCTATGCGAAAAGCAGCTCCGAGTCTGAAAGTTCTGCGCGCAAGAAGGCGAAGTCGGAGAACAATTAGTTGCTGGTAGGCACACGCAATGATCGCATATGATGAAATGACGATCGATCGTTTCTGGTCCACATCCGAGGTCGCTATGCATCGGTCCCGCTCCGCGCTTCCCTCTCGTCATGCTGTCCTCATACGCTGTCGCAATGCTATCTAGGCGGACGTCGATGGCGCCGGTTTACTCTGTGCTGCGACATCCCCGTGTTATCTACAGGTTGCTTTCTTGGTTCCGTGTCCATGAATTGTTGTCGAGGTTTTTGTACGAAGCTATTGACGATCACGATCATGTAATCGAACGCTCGAGTTGCTTGGCGTTGAATAGCGCCTAAGGCGATCACGCTCTTCATTATTGCATGTTTCTTCGATACGCGTAAGTGGCGTGTTTATGTGAGATCGATTGAGCAGCACATCGTTGTATTCTCGCACATAAGACATCACCGAGCGAGTACGAACGCGCTGGTCACTACGCTCCTACGCTCCTACGCTCCCCAACACGGTGTTCTCCCCCACGATCTTGGCCCTGGTATCCAACACCTGGTTTAACCCAGCCCTCGCCGCCGCACGGAGCGCCGCTGGGATAGGCACTGCATTTACCTCGTACTTGAGGTTCGTGGCGAGCAGCAACGCTCGTGAGCCGACTGTTCACGTCGCGACGTCGACGCGATCCGTGGCGCTCTGCGTGTACACTGCCTCGGGGCTGAGGATGAACGCCTTGGCAGGCTCGGGCGCGGCGGCAAGTGCAGACGCGGCGGCGAACAGGTCGTCTGGCGCGGGCTGATCCCACGCGACGACAGCCGTCGCGGCATGGTTGATAGTGAGCGCGGCGAACACGGTGTACTCCGCTCCGGTCGGATACCGTTTCCAGTATGTGTCGTTTCCGAAGGCTTGAGGTACAGTCCAGACGGATTGAGGGAGTTCGGGGCCGAGGATCTGCTGGCGGGGGTGGAAAGAGTCTAATCCGGTCGGATATGTCTTCGAAAAGCCCTTGCAGTTGTCGCACCCGCAGTCGCCGTACTGGAGTTATTAACGTGTCAGCAGCAGCGACAGAGAGAAGGCAGGGAGAGACGTACGTCTGGAGTGCAGACCGTGCCCCACTGCGAACCGGATGTGACGTTACCGTCATGTACACATCCTGCATCACAATATCCGCGCCGGCAGAGTACACCGTGAAGTAGTAGTCCTGGCAGTTGAGCACGAGGCTGACGGGGTGGTAGCCCCAGTCGAGGCCGTAGATCGTATCGTACGCGAGCTGGGTCGCGTTTAGCGGGTCCTCCCATCCGTTGGGCTCGTCCCCGGTTGAGAGTTCGGCCGGTTCTTGGTCCGGTCCACCTCTTTCGCGACACCAGTGAGATTCGTGTACGTTCATCGCATGTCGTACATGAGGTAGATCCCAAGCTCCTGCATGCGCGCGACGACGGCGGTGGGGTTGTTGAACGAGTCGTCACGCACAGCACAACGTGGCCACGAGGGTATACGTACGCCCACGATGCTTGGCACCATCGGCGTCGCCATTTTCAACGTGTCCACATTTCGGTGGTGAAAATCCACGAATTCACATCTCGGCGGGGCAGAAGCATCAATATCATCGATACCCGGACGTATATCCATATCCTCCACAATATTGGCCTGCTCCGAACCCTGACAGAACCGGTTACCGTCTTCGCCTCATAGTTAAGTCGTGACAAGGAGCAAAGCGCGCACGCCAACCGCGCCGTCAATACTATCTGTCGCGCTCTCGGCGTACTCCGTGTCGGATAGGAAGGTTAAGTCGAGGGCCACCGCTCTTCATGTGCTTTATTGACGTTTTGTTAGGATGTCATAAAAGTGTGACCTTCACGAGTTCATGCGTGTCTGACTTGCAAATACAGAAGTAAGTTACATTCTATATCCGTCTGTGGTTAGTGATGTAGCGTTGCGTAACCACATGCGTACGTCGGAGTACTTCAATATATACTCGCTGTCAGCTTGTAGTGATATAGGGTATGCGGTTGACCTTCGCCTTTATTTCCTCCGCGCGAGGACGACCAGGGTCTGATAGTGTTTACCCATCTCCCCTTTCCTTTCCATCATCCTCTTGGGCGACCGTTGGGCGACGTTTATGTTACTTGTGTGGTGTTCTGACACCTTTGCTACGGATGGATGCATCGGACTCGGTCCGGATGACGCTCCTGGTGACGATTGGGCGACAATTGTGCTACACGACGATTGTGCTACTCCGCGGTGTTTTGACACCTATGTGTCGGATGTATGTGTCGGACTCGGTCCGGATGTCGTTTCTGTGATGCCCTCTCCGCAATTTGCATGCGATGTCCGGCCCTCCCCCTCCCTGACATCCCCCCCCTTGGGCGACCGATCTCTTCCGCGGCCGTTGGCTATGGATGGATGGATCGGACCTGGACCGGATGACGCTCCTTCCATGCTACTATCGCAAGTCGCTTGCGCGGTCCAACCCCCCTTTCCCGCTTGCGTTGCGCAATGCCTGTTCTATGCCCACATTATGCCTACTGTAGCGTGTCGACGCACAAGGGTTCGTGTACGCTACGCATATCGAATTGGCCCATCGACGTGCGCTCCTCACCACCGTCGCCGTACCTGCCCCCCTCCACCTCTGATGTTCTGGGCGACCTTTGGGCGACGTTTATGTTATGTTTGTGGTGTTCTGACACCTTGGATGCGTCGGACTCGGTCCGGATGACACTCCTTCGATGTTACTATCGCAAGTTGCTCGCCCCCCTGTCCCTTTGCGTTGCGCATTCGAAGATGAACTGAACCTGATTGTTTCCATGACCCGTGTTCCGTGCTCTTTGCCCGGGTGTCCCATTCGTTGTATGTCTTGCGGGGCTGTTTTGTGTGATGCTTTTCCCCCCACCCCCATTTTGTTTTTCCCTACAAGGTTTTTTTGCTGAGGGGTGGGTGGTTTTTAATGCACTATCGGAACTCCCTGTGTCGACACTCGACGGCTGAAGTGGGCGGCCGCTAGGTAATGTATTAGACAGCTTTCAAAGTCGATATATATCGAAATTGAAAGCTCTCTATTGCACATAGTAGCACATACATGTACCTAGTTACTTGCGCCAGTGCTGAAGCGGTGTGTCGGCTGTTATACAGCTCACGGGAACCGTGGATGCACTGTGTGCACCAAGCCGTACGTATTGGCGTGCGGTGCGGCAACCGGTTGTTCCGCTATTGGGACCGCGCCGGAAATATACCTACCTACCTATCTACCTCTTCTCCGCGTGCCACAGGCGATGCATATGCAACGAACCCATTTCAACCACTACCACCGGCGTCAGGCCTCGTGTCATCTATGTCAACCGCGCCACCTTATATCACCCAACCAGGCGCAGCATCAGGAAACACCCCCTCTGGGAATTAGTATCATAAAGGGGGGGAATGCCAAGTAATTACTGGACTATCCATACAGATAAAGCCATTTTGGGGCATTTTACAGTATATAGGAGCATATAGGAGCTAATAGGAGCACATAAGTACAAAAATGAGGATATCTGGAAGGTCCCCCTGAGCATTTGTCACAAAATGTTCACAAATATGTGGAATTTTATGAACTTTTTGGGCATATTTTGCTGATTTGTAACATCAATCATCTCTTCAATATGATATATTTTGGTTCAAATAACACCAGAAACCTCCAGACTTCATGTCACATCTTGTTAGATGTCTTCAGAATTTGGTCATGTGTACTATCCATTCATCAGGTATTATAATTACATTGTGCAGGAATCTGTATACATATGTGTGATTCAATCTTCTTCTTATTGTGCCATATCTCATGGGGAGCCAAAACAGATGGCATTGATGTATTACATTACAATAAACTCTATGGTTAGAGTTCAGCCGCCCGTGGCATGTGCGTCAAGCCTGCTGCGATGAGCATGTCGAATCAACTGCGGCACACCCCGAGCGTGGGGTGCCAGAGTGGCATTGAGTGGGGCACGAGTAAAGCAGGTCGGGAGCAGCGGGCGAGAGACCGAGCGTCACCCATTGCCGGGAGCTTCGAGTACGGGAAACACGTGCCTTCGACCATGAGAGATGTGCAGCTTCAAGCATGGGAGGCGAGGCAGGGTCAAGCATGGCAGCTGGGTAGATCAAGCACGGCGGCAAGGCGGGATGGAGCACGGCACTGCCGCAGAGTCTAGCACTGAAGGCAGGTTGGGGTCGAGCACGGGTGCACCGGGTGGGGGATGGCAAGGCAGCGGGCTTGGCGCAGTCCGGAGCAAGCGCATTGGCGCAGCAAACATCAGGCACATTGGCGCAGCGGAGCCGGTCGCGTTGACGCAGGTGAAGGCGGACGCGTTGAGCGCATTGGCGCAGTCCGGGACAAACACGCGGGCTCGGGCTCGGGCAAGCGCGTTGGCGCAGCAGATGTCGAGCGCTCTGGCACCATGGAGGTGGGTGCTTTGGCGCAGCGGGGACGCTGAGCGGAAGACATACGCAGTGCGCGCTCCGGGCTGAGCGAACGGGAGGGGAGGGAAGCTGCGCCAAGCGCGACCGCATTGGCGGTTTGCACTCGGCATTGAGTGAAAGAGGGCGGGAGGAGGAGACGACACCGAGCGCGATCGCGTTGGCGACTCGCGTTTGGTACTGGGCGAATGGCAGGTGCGGGGGTAGAAGCGGCGCTGAGCGAGACCGCGTGGGCCGCTCGCACGCGGGGAGGGGCAGACGGCAGCGGTGGTGGTGGAAGCTGCGCCGAGCGAAACCGCGTCGGCGGCAACCGCTCGGCAATGGGCAAACGGCAGACGGGGGGTGGAAGCAGCGCGAGCGCGACGCTGACCACGACCAATGGGCACCATGGCGTCGATGGGCTTGATACCAATCATCATGGGCTGGTTCACCGAGCGACGAGGGAGAATGCCGGGCGCCTTGAGCGAGGCACGGCTACGCTGGGTGGCCTCAATGGGGCCCTTACCGTCGATGGGGTTGCCGAGGGCGTCAACGACACGACCGAGGAGAGTAGGGCCGACGGGGACGTCGACGATCTGGCCGGTACGCTTGACGGTGTCACTCTCCTTGATGAGACGATCGTTACCGAAGATGGAGACACCGACGTTGTCGGCTTCCAAGTTCAAGCACATGCCACGGACACCGGAGAGAATTCCACCATCTCCTCGGCTATAAAATAGGTCAGTACCTGGCTTATGATAGGTACCGGGAA